AATAATATTTCTATTAATTTAGATTTTCAAATATTCTTATTTCTTTACAAAGTTTATAAAATACACCTGAGACAAACCTCTTATTTACAACAAAATTCTGAACCCAAAAACACTCTTTTTCTTTCCTAGCCACTAAATATATCAATTAGTTAATTTGTTTTAATCAACCCTTTTAATAAATTCTAAGGTTAGCCTCGAAAATACATGGACCAAACCAATTAACATTCATGTTGATGATGCTAAAAGATATAAAAGTAGATTAATTCATAAGTTCATTATAGATAAAGGCTAAATAGAATATAATTTTATAAAAATATTAATTCTTTTTAACATGAAATAATAATCATACGCAAATGACAATTATGCGCTTCAAACAGAAGTTACAGAAATCTTTAAATAAGGAGATAAGCTTTGGAATTGTGGAACCACAATAAATGAAAAAAAAAATGGATTAAATTTAATTCTAAAAGGGATTTAAAAACTACAACTTTGGAGAGAAAGTATAGTGTCATTCTTATAACTTCAAAATAGAAGAGCGTGATCCAGGACTTCGATTACAATTAGATTCTGTATATGATTCCAGAAGAATTTCAATAATTCAAGGTTTCAATTTACTCGAGAGTTATGAAAGAGGAGAGAAAATGGAATTTCAAGAACCTAAAAAGTACATAAAAAGAATATGTAGATAATATAAATAATAAATAAATACTTAAGAAAAAAATATTTTAAATAATGTATTTATGAAGGAAAAACCCAATGTGAGTTGGTCAGATATCATAGGTTTAGATATTGCGGTGGCAACTTTATAAGAATGTATTCTTGTTCCAATGAAATTTCCAAGTTTATTTGGATAAGCTAGATAAACTTGGAATGGAATACTTTTGTATGGAGTAACCTAAAATTATTATTATTAGCCACCTGGAGCAGGTAAAACGTATATTGCATAGGCTTGCGCTAATTAAACGATTGATAGTTGTAGTTTCTTTTTTATCTCAGCTACAGATCTCATTTCTTAAGCTGAAGCATTTAAAGATAAATTTATGAAAGATTTATTTGAAATAGTTAATTAAAAAAAACCCTCGCTGTTGTTTATTGATTAAGTTGAAATTGTTTCTGAGTGTTTTGGCAAATCTATTATCAAAGCCCTAATGGATACTATTCAGCGAAATTAGTCTCAAGTATTTGTAATTGGAGCTACTCATCTCCCCTGGAAACTTGATATTTCTACTATTCAGAGGTATTAATTTTTAAAATAATCTTTCAGCTTTGAAAAAAAAATATACATATCTCTACCTGACTTAGAAGCCAGAGGGAATCTAATTGCTAAATTTTTACATAAAATTCAAAACAATTTAACAAAATTGGATCTCTAGGATTTAGCAATTAAAACAGAAGGATACTCTTGTTTTGATATTAATGTTTTAGTTAGAGATGCAGCTTTGGAGCCTATTCGGAAAATTCAAACAGCTTAAAAATTTAAGATGGTGTAAGTGTAAGGAAAAGTGAAATGGATTCCAGCTGCAATAAATGAATTAGGAGAGTTAAAAACATTTTAGGATCTTGATATTTCAAGAATTCAAATTCCTGATGTTTGTTATGATGACTTTATAAAAGTCTTGAAATAATCAAAAAAATCAGTTTCCCAAGATTTACTTATGGAATTCCAAAAATGGATGAAGTAATATGGGTTAAAAGAATGAACTAAAATTTGTATTTTAGATGTTCTTAATTGTCAACATTTGTTAATAAATTTTCACGATCAAATAGTTTTTTTTTAATATATAGAATAGGTGTGCTAAATCATTTTATTCAAAATCCCAAAAATACACAGTTGCACATCTCTTAAATATGTTTCATTTTCAAAAAAGCTCCTTTTTAAATTTCTTAAATTTTTTTTGAATAGTTAATATATTTAATATTACAATATTTAATATATTTATGATAAAAATAATTATATTTTATCTTTTATAATCATGAAGTAAAATTATAAATATTCTTTTCCAATTTTTACTAAAATTAATGATCTTAATTTAATTTGACTATTAAAGGTCAAAATAGATTAGAACATTTCCAAAGGGCAACATTGATAAACTTTAAATATGACTAACATATAAAAGGTATCGAGTACTTCAAAACAATCAATTGGGTTAGTGCATCTACCCAAAACTATCAGCTTCATTGTGTTGAATTCATATGATTTACACTTCTCTTTGTTTTTCAATTTGCACAATAGATTTGTTTAATTTTAATTGTAATACCTTTTGCAAAAAATTTAAATTATGTTTATTAGCTAATTAAATATTAAAAACAACTTAAAAGATTATTTGGACTTCTCATTAATAAAGAGTTTCAATCGTAAATAAGTATTTAATTTCTTTAATATCTTCAAAATGTAGGTCGAACATTATTTTGGAAGGAAACGAAATAATTGACGTTATCTCCTTCTAAAATTGAAGTATTTATTTAGAAGATTCCATTAAAATAAATTACTTATTAAAAGTTGCATTTAAATGCGATAATGTATAGTTGGATAATAAATAGGATAGTAATGGCTTACAATTTTTCCATTTAAAAAAAATGTATTTAACAATCTTCTGAGCCTCCATTAGAAATATATTTCAATCTTTTTAAAAGAGCAGAAACATTAAAATAAAAAACACCCATCAAAAGTAAAGAATCAAATACAAGCTATTCTGAGATGCGTTTTAGTCATAGGAACTATAAAAATGGTATGTGAAAAATAACATTATTTGATAAATTTTAAATAAACTGTTTTTTTAACTTTCTGAAAAATTTTATATATTTATTGTATTCAAGTGATTTATCCTATTAATTAAATAGGATTCCTAAATTATAACCGTCTAAAAAGTGTTTAATCCATCCTCTTTTATCAAAACACAGACATAAGAATTTAATTTATTTAAGTCTGTATTGATTTATATAATTAAAATAATATTTAATTATCTAACTATCATTTCTGACTTCTTTACATTTATTCGAAAGTGGAGAGGAAATATTATTTTTGAAATGTTGTATTATATTAAAAATGATAAATGATTATATTATTTAATAGTAATAATATATATTTATAGTTTAAACTTAATATTCTAATTAATTTAATTTTCCTTAACTAAAATAAATATTCAAAGAAAAAATCCTTAAGTTTCTTGATAAAATCCTTCTAATGTAATTTTTATTCAATACATAATGTAAGTAATGTGGATGCAGTGTTTTATTTAATGATTTCCTTGTATAAGCATTTAGCTTTAGTGAAAAATGAAAAACAAATCATTAGAGAAATAGAATATCTTAAATTTTCATTATTAAATTATAAATATATATCTATTTGTTTGATAAGGTTGACTTCCAAAATCTATGGTAGAGGGTTTATTAAGTATATTATAAATTGATGGAAATGATTAATAAACTCAAGATTTTTAATAATCTTAAATTAAATGGATAAAACATTAAAGTTCTTACAGGTCAATAAATTGATACTTTCTTTAGCTATTATATTAAATAGAATTCTTTTAAGACAAATTTCAGTTATTAATGATAGGCATTAAATCCTTTTACAGGATTAGGAGATAAAAAATTAATATGAAGACAGCAATTTAAAATATCTTAATACATAATTGCATAAACAATACGGCATTAAACTTAATATCATCAAGAAAATAATAACATAAACCTTCCCCACTAAAAACATTTATTAATCGATATGAAATCCAAGTTAACACATGTTATAGTATTGGTAATTAGTGGACAAGTGAAATTGTATAACAATACTAATTGATAAAAGCATTTTTCAAATCAAATAATATAGTAGAATTAAGCTTAAATTCAATTTTTATCAACACTCTTGATATTACAGAGCCTTTTAAAGTATTAATTAAAAATTCAACAGAATTTCAATTTAACAGCAATTTTACTGAGGCAGATTTTTAAAATTATTGTAAAAAGAGAGTCTTTTATAAATAGTTGTTTGAAGATTAGATACTTAAATAAAAAATAGGAAACGCTTCCAAGAATTTACATATAAAACTGAATCAAAATACATATCAACTCTTAATAATATAAAAGCAGAAAGAAAAATTATAAATGAAGGATATGATCCTACAATTTTCATTTCGATTTATGATTTAAGAAGCAAAGAAGTTATTTATGAGGATATTTTAATAGAAACTTAGGACTTAGAGAATATATGAAGATCTAATTCAATCTTATTTAATAGAATCAAGGAATATCATTTATGTATGCGTAGAGACATATTATGAGATAAACTTAAATCCTAGATAATATATATTTAGAATAAATTTACCAAATGATGAATTTTTCAATTTTTATGTACAGAAGATTAACTCATTTATCAAATTTCACTCACCTCTTTCAAATAAAAATGAATTTTTTTTAAATAATTCAATTAAATACATTAAAATGTGTAAAAAGTATTATTTTTGCAAATTATGAAAAATATCATTACAAAAAAAATTATTATAATTATTCAATTATATATATTGAGAAAAATAATACAATTACATTTAATCAGAAATCCCAAAGATAGAAAACAATTTTAATATTCTTAAATTTAGTAACAAATAAAATTATTAGAAAAATACCACTTTCATCTTATTAAACCATTAAAAAGTTTTATCTTTTAAAAAATTAGACAGTGATTTGTTTAAAACATCAATCAGATTAAGTGGATTTGTATCAAATTTCAACATGAAAATAAATACTTTGCTTGGAGTATTTTTAAATATATCCAATCACGTAAGATGAATAACTAGCGATATGTATAAAAGAAGATGATATAAAAATATATTCATTAGCAAAATGATTTTTGAGTATTAAAATAAATAAAATAATTTCAAAATTAATTATATCTCCTTCAGATTATTTATTTTATATATTAAATTGAGTAACATTCACTTAAACTAAATCGTCACAGAAAGAAGACCTTTTTATTAGAAGAATATTGATCAAATCTTCATTTGAATGAGAAGGGGATTTCAATTTCAGAATCTCCATCTTAACGCTAAAAGATAGAAGTCCCTAAAAAATTTGTTTGGGAAATTTAAAAAATAAAATAAGCAATTCTATATTGATGTTATAAATACTTTTATTAATCATACTTTATGACAATAATTAATAATTGTTGATTTCAGTAGGTTATGAACTCATAGATTAAAAAAACTTTCAACGAGACTGACTATCAACTAAATTAATTATTGCCCAAAATCCTTAAAGACTATATATTTTTAATAATATGATATAAATATTAACCCTTTTTAATATTCATTTAGCATATTCTCAATAGTATTATACTTATGACTGAAAAATAATTTAAATACAATTTAATAATAAACTAATAATAATCTCTATTTTTATTAATTTTATATAAATTATAATATTTAGATTTTAATAACAATTTTACGCATTATTAACTGATTTAAATATATAGAAAATTAAAAATATAGAAAATAATAAAAATAAATGAAGAATTAAGTTCCCTCATAAATAGTCCTTGGCATAGATTCTCAAAGTCTCTAAAAATTTAATGATGAAAAATAAATAAGAAATGGAGATTTTAAAATATCAGGAATAAAAGTAAGTGTCGAAAGAGAAAAAATATGTGGAATAGCAATAATTTATCAGAATAAAGCAAATGGAAGAAATATTATATTCTCCGATACTTGTATTACTGGTAAAGATATTACATTATATGAATTTGTAATTCCTAAAGGTATTAAGTTAGATTTAATTAAGATGATTACATCTAAGTTATTTTTGGACACTATGAAATGGGAATCAACTAATTGGGCTTTGTTACTTATTTAGGAAAACAAGTCATATTTGGAGTTGATAAAGGTTATAAATTTTAATTTATGTTCATGGGCTTCACTTTTACTGATTGTTGTGGAACATTTAAACCAGGGTTTTTAGAATCACTTAGTTTTAAGGTCGTTAAACTTCCAAAATAATTTATATCGTTACATGTAATTTTTAGTAATTATTTAGCTCTTTCCTTTACTTGAAATAATGTATCCAAATAATTTAAATAATGATTTTTCATTTAACAGTCAAAATTCAATTCAAATTGAATTATAAGGATAATAAAATCAAGATAGAAATCTTTTTTTATAATAAAGAGATGAATTTCAAGTCGATTTTTAATCTGATTCATATATTTCTAATTTTAAAAATCAATAGTTTTTAATGAATTCCCTTTATTTTACCTAAAATATATCATCTGAAATAGAAAACTAAAATTAAATTCATAAGAAAAAAAGATATATAACACAAAATAATAATAATTAGAAAAGTATTTTAGGTAATAATCATGGATTTAGAATTATTAATTTCTTTCGTAATAGAAAAAATCGTTAAAATCATGGAGTATTAGGAAAACATCATCATCATCATCATCGTCATCATAGACACCATTGATACCATGAAATATAATTAATAAATCATATTTATTAAATCTTTTTTACAAATTTTATTAAATAATAGAACGATCTTAATAATTAAATATCAATAAACCTATTTATTTAGATGCATGCAATCAAAAACATTATTAACTTAATTTATACTATAAAATTCTTAGAGTTGATATCATTTTGGAAAAAATATATATATGTTATTGAAAAATGATATGATAATTAAAGCTCTTTAAAAATTAAAAACTGTTTTTTAAAATCATCTAGTACTTAGCTTTATTTTTGAAAATAGCAGACCAAACTAAGAATAATTATCTTTTACAATCAGACTTTACACATGTCTTTCATTAGCTGAAATAGATAAATCAATTAATATTAAGAATATGTAATAAAAATCTAATTTGATATTTTTTAAGTCAAATGTGGTCCTTTCATAAGTCTCATTATTTTTTTTGATAATCAAATTTAATTCTTACTCATCATATATGCGACTACTAATTGAATATTGATAACATATGTAGCTTGAGTAAACCCAAATGAAAAAGATGTACAAAAAAAGAGGAAAAAGAGATATCTAAGTTAATATATGAAACACTATAACTATTGCTTACAAAATACTAATGAGATATAGTTGAAGACGATTTTAAAATAAGTAAAAATTCTTTGATTTTGGTGTGTTACAAGGTAGTATATATATACAACAAATTTGAAAAAGGAAATTATACATGAAGTTTCGGGGGATTGTGATTTTGATTTATTGATGATTTTTTTCAACTGATTGATATATTTCTTGGGAAATATGACATCTAATTATAAGAATACATACTTTTTAGAAGCAACAAGAAATTTTGGGGAATAATAATATAAATTAAAAGGATTAATAAATTTATGATCTCCTTCCAAGGAATAAAATAAACAGAAAAAGTTATTAAGAATTTACTTGTAAAATTGTATAGTTATATTTAGAATCGATAAAATAAACCTAATTTAACTAATTTCAATTATCTGCATAATTGTTATATGAAGATATTACATTTAAGTGTCAAAATAAAATAACATTTTAATTAATATTCAAACTATTTATGTAAAGTTTCATCTCCATTAAAAGCAATATTTAATAGTTGATAATAATAATAGTATTCGTATATTTGATTATTAAACTAAAGGATTGGTACATAAGGTAATATGTGAAGGGAAAAAGATTACATTAATCTTAAAAATTAAATATAATCTTTAATTAATTCCATTAAGAATCAGTAAAAATTGGGTAATATTTATAAAAGAAGTACTTTAAAGAAATAATTTGGAATAACTGAGCGAATAGGAATGATTAGATGAAATTATAATTGCTGTTTAATAATAATTTTTAATAGAAAGAGAGCAGTTTAATTATAAATTAAATAGTATTCGTTGTGAATAAAATTTACTATCATTTACTTATATTAATGATAGTTAGAATATAAGTAAAGAGATTGGAAGTAGAACAATTATAGAAGCAAAAAATTTAGATAGTAGAATAACTTTTTACCAAGAAATATTCGAATTATACTTTAGAGATTTGGTTGAACTGGAAGTTCAGGTAAATAAGATACAGCCTAAATGATTGTAAATTTATATTTATTAAGAATACAATAAATTATTAGAAAAGATTTTATTAGATGTTTTAAAATATTTTAGAGACCTAAATAAAAAAGACTTTAAAAATATTTCAAGTATTAGGATAGCTCAGAACAACCTCACTATCTACTCCAGCACATCACTTACAAATTGAATAACTTATTAATTCTTCCTCATCCATTTATATATAATATTAATTCATATGTAAATATTTTTAATAATGAATATTCCAATAAGTTTTATCCTTGTTACCTTAATCGATTTTTCGAATTCATAATGGCAATTAAATTACGGTTACCTATATTATGATAGGAAATTTTCTGAGAATGAAGGAGGATTATTATTGGCAAATAATAAATAGGCAAATTTTATAACTTGCACAACACCTCCAACTAGCTATTATACTCTCAATAGTTAGTATCCATTAGCTTATGATTATACTAGTTTAAGCAACTAGAAGGTTTATTTTTTTTCAGTAGATTTATATTTTCAAGGTACATGGATTTCTGAAATTGTTACTATTACAATCGGATCATTTTAATACTAATATAATTACACAACTTCTACAAAAGATTAGCTGACAACTGGATTTTGTGGTAACATCGCTTATGAAGTTAAAACAGTTAATTTTAAAATTCAATTGTCTAATTCAAGTGTAAATAAGTTCTAATTTACATTATCAAATATGAACAATGGATAAGTTTCAATTAGAAATTTATTTATTTCATTTTCTTCCTGTTACCCATCCTGTAGTTAATGCAAAGGACCAAATTTTAATTAATGTACAAGTTGTTATTATGGAATACCTACAAATAATATTTGTCCCCCCTGCCCATCTAATTAGTATTATGAGAAACGTGTTGGATGCAAAGATATTTGTAGCATTTATACTCCATTATACTCTAATGGGTTTTGTTAATCTTATTAAAGTATTTTATTTGAAATATTATAGATAGACAAATTAACTAATACGCTTATATGTTTAAGATAGAGTCTTATAATTTTTATTGGTTTAATGTATATGACCCACTACATTTAGACACATCTCCAACATTTATAGAAGCAGGTTACATATAAATTTTTAAGTTTAATTCTGGATTCTCAACATTTATTCAATCATTTGAAACCTATTCCTAAGCAATCTATTCAGTTGGGTTTTAAATTATTGTTAGAACTTATAATGATATTCCATTAAATTGTGGAATATAGTTTTTGATTAATAATACTTATTTTAGTTCAATCTACAGAAACGAAACAGGAATTTAAAAAGATAAAATAAAAATTTATGAAGCTAGTAATTATGGGTCATATTTAAATTATACTTCAAGTCATTAATATACTTTAATTACATACATTGACCTTCCAAATTATCCATTTCTTTTTTCAGCAAAAGGAAATTATTCGTAAAAGTTAATATATTATACAATAGCGATAACTCAGCAGGATGGGGATTTTAAGGAGTTACAGTAACTTCAGGATATTGTCCTATTAATTGTATCTTATGCGAGGTATCATTTAAATGTAAAACTTGTAAAAATGGTTACTATATACATAATAATAATACATGTTAATATGCTTGTTTATAACCATATTAAAAATTAAAAGCTTCTTACTGTTATGATTTTGATAATGAAACACCTTGTATCAACTTTCTATATATTTAGACTCTTAATATTTAACTATAGACTTTATAAATTATGTACACGATCCAGAATAATATGAATAATATATGCTAATCTCTTAAAATGGGACAAATTTTTTAAAAGGTTTAGATATATATTATTCAAATTTGAATTGGAATTCAATTGGGTAAAGAATTTTCGGAGGTCCTCTCATATGGGCTTAAGCTAAATTTTAAAGGACTCATTATGTGGATGACCCTCATCATAGTATTACTATTGCATTTTACATACTCTATGGACCAGCATTTCCATCAGATGGTTTGTTTATTTATACAATCGAAAATAACCCACCAGTTTCTAAATCAACCAAAAATACAACTCTTTAATATTCTAATGGAGCAAAATATGATAAAACATATGAAAGAATAATTCATGATACAAATACATTAACAATAAGTTGGGAATGTTTTGGACCAAATAATGAGCCAGTTTAAGCTTATTGTGGATTTTATAATTATTACATAGCTGTTCACAAATGCTAACCATATTGTTTATAATGTTCAAATGAAACTACATGTTTATAGTGGAATAGCGATTATGATGCAAATGTTGTTAAATTCTCATAAAAAGAGTGTTTAATTAATAAGTATTTTGATAAAGACTCTTATAGATGTTTGGATTGTCCACGATCTTGTTTAGCATGTACATCTAAATTAGATTGTTAAACATGTTAATCTACTTATACTTAAACTAGATTAGGATGTGTTTGTAAATAAAATCAATATGAATATTCGAATCAATGTTTTGATTGCCCAATTGAATGTAAATAGTGTTTAAGTTCAAATAATTGTATTGAGTGTTTGATTACCAATAACAGATAACTAAAAAATCAATAATGTATTTGTATTGATGGATATTATCCAGTTTTATCAAATCCTTAATGTTAAAATTGTCATTTATTTTGTAAAACTTGCACTGGGCCTACTTCTGATGATTGTTTAACTTGCAATAATATTACTAATATTGAACAATTTGAAAAAACATGTAGATGTCCAGCAGGATTATTTTATTAAGCAACTACTAATTCATGCTTCTAATGTCATTCATCATGTTAGACCTGTTTTCAAGGGACAGATGAAAATTGTTAAACTTGCGATGCTTCTTTGAATAGAATTTTAAAAGAATTAAAATGCATATGTGTATCTGGTTATTATGAACTAAATAGCATATGTACAAGTACACTGATAATATTAAATTTTAGACTGCCCAAATACAGAAGATATATTATTAACTTCATGTTATAAATTTTGTACAAATACTGAATAATTATGGCACACAAATGAATGTATTTCTTGTGATCCTGGATTTCATTTAATATCTGGAGAATGTTAACCTATTTGTGGAGATTTATAAATAATTGGATATGAATAATGCGAAAATGATAATACTATTTAGGACTATCTATGTTATAATTGTTAATATTAATGTCCAGCTCATTGTTTAACTTGTAATGAGTAAACTATTTTCCCTTGTCCTGATATTTGCGGAGATGAAATTATTACTGGAATGGAAGAATGTGAAGATGGGAATACTATTTAATATGATGGATGTTTTGATTGTAAGTTTTAATGTTAACCTTCATGTACAAAATGTATTAAAGGAGAGTGTTTTGAATGTAATACTGGTGGGTGGTATACTGATATAACAGTTCTACCTTGGATATGTAAAGAAAATTGTGGAGATAGGCTAATAGTTGGATAAGAATAATGCGATGATGATAACTAAGATGATACAGATGGATGCAAAGATTGTAAATTTTTATGTAGAATTGGATGTTCAACTTGTGATTATACTACTGGCAATTGTTTAAATTGTGAATTACCTGGATTTGCACCAGAGAAGTATTATTGCAAGAATATATGTGGAGATGGATTAGTTGCAACAGATCCTCTTGGGATATATTCTGAAGAATGTGATGATGGAAATAAAGTCAATTATGATGGATGCAATAATAATTGTAAATTTTAATGTTAATCATCATCTATATGCAAGAGTTGTGTAAATAATAGATGTGAATAATGTGCCACTGGATTTTTGCTCTATGATTCTAAAATATGTCTTTCAAAATGTGGAGATTCATTAGTAGGATATAATGAATAATGTGAAGTTAGTTAGATATTACCTTATAAGGGTTGTTAAAATTGTAAAGCTAAATGTTAATCTGCTTGCATTAAATGTGATAATACTGGACTTGGTTGTTTGGTTTGCAAAGTTGGTTACAAAAGAATTGATAATTTATGTTATTCAATTTGTGGAGACAAAATTGTAACAGAGGATGAAGAATGTGATGATGGCAATTTAAAATTTGGAGATGGTTGTCATTAATGTTATTTTAGCTGTCCTTGCTCTATGTGTATAGATAGAATTTGTGTAGGTTGCCCAGAAGATCATTTTTTATATAAATATACTTGCTTTAACTTAATAGAAAAAATTGATCTAAAAGAAATTACTAATTTTTCATTTACAGATTTAAGCATATCTTAAACCTTTGAAGCTCAGCCTGGTTAGACTAATAGAATTCAATTAAAAATTGTTGAGTTTTTTTAAAAAGTTTTCAATCAGATAAGCTAAAATATAGAAATTATCGATTAAAATTTTCCTTATATAAACATAGAAATTACTTTGCGATGCTCAAAGAATAAGAACGTTAATATGCATTTTATAAGATCTAATAATGATACAGGAATTTATAATCAAGATTATATATTTACATATTAGTGTCACGAAACAGCTAATCATATAATTACATTATCTTTTAGGTTAAATAAAATAATGGTAAGAGATGAATTAATACTAATAAAAATTTCAGAGGATGAGTTGCAATTATATGCTTTATTAGAACAGTCTCCATAAAGGCTGTTATGGATCACATATGTTAATCTTTGATAAATCATAATAAACATTCAAAAATGCAATATCTATCCCTTTCTTCATATTTATTTATTAAATTAATTTTTAAAGGAATTTAAGATTTTATCTTAATCAAATTATTTAGAAATTAAGTATTCTATATATATTATAAAATAAATTAATTTTTGATAACAACAAAAGTTAGAGGAGTAGCAAATATTTCTTCATTTTTTTCATCACACTTTAATAAATGAGAATTAAGTTAGAATTAATTTAATTAAAAAACTAAAATTATGCATTGATTCGTTTATTAAAACAAGTATAATTGGTATACATTAATAATATTCAAAACACATGCAATTAAATAGGATTGATGAAGATGAAATGAATAAAATTTTCCATCATATTAAATGAGATAAATACATCTTTCATTTTTATGGTCTTGTAAATTTAAATAAGATTTCTTATGTCCTATATTTTTCATAGATAAATTTAAGTTGGCAATAAAAAATTGTTTTGTTTTTATCTACATTTTTATTTTACAATCACATCCATTTAAACAATCCGATTATTCAATAAAATAACAATCAACGCCTCTCGAATAGCAATCGCAAGTTTTTTTTCGTTTTTGAAATAACAATTTCGAACTAATTGTTTGAACCTTATCATTATTAATATGTTTTTGAATGATTTAAGCGAGTTTAATTTCAATTTATGTAAAATCATCAAATTCTTAAATAATCTTTATTTTATCTCATCTACAGTACAATTCTCTTATTCTTCATTGCATAATAGATGAATTATCTGTTTTGTTTAGTTTTTGCTTTTAGCAACTATTTATCCATATCAATTATAATTGTTTTTTTTACTTATGTAAATTTTTATACTTTTTTATATTTATTTAATTCATTACCATAAAGTTTTAAGGTTTAATTATAATTATTTAAAGCCTATTTTTAGATCTTTCATTTATATTACACTTAATGATAAGTTTAAAATCTCACATCTCATTATCAAGATTTAATATAATTGAGGATAATATTCAAAGGTTTAATTATAAAGATATAATGCTCTTTCATTAACAATTCTTTCTTTATATTTAATTTAATTATAATTTACTAACTAGCTTCAAATAAAACAGCATGAAATAATTTTGAATCAAAACTCTTTTTTTAAAATCTAATATTTTAGGTTTTGTTTTTAAAAGTATTGGGAGTTCGAAATTCGAATATTTAAAGCTCCAAATTTAAAAAGTGGTTGATATTTTGTCGTTTATTAATATACCTGGCTTATTATTAATTCTGTTTTTCTAATTTCCTTTATTAATGTTAAATTTAGTACAATTTTTAATTTAATATATAGATACCATTATCTCCCATAAGTATATCATTTTAAGGAATAATATAAACGAGATTTAAATAAAATTTGATTTATTTAAAATATGCCTTAATACTAAGGTATAATATATGTCATCGTACAAACTGGTATTCAAACCAGAATACATATGTTTATTATATTTTTGCTTCTATATTTAATTAGTTTTATTTTTTTATTCACAACAAATTAAATTGGTTTTCAGGTTCTTCTAGAATTTGGATTACTAAGAAATTACATAAGGAGTTTGTTATAATCTTTCAAATTCTACTCAAATATCAATTTCTTTTTGATTAAATATCAATGATATTATGAAATATCCTCATTAGAAGATTAAAGAGAGAATTTTTATATATGTGCATTTATTTACAAGACAAAAGAAGTTTTGTAGTATAAAAGATTGAACTAATAATAATTTAATATATGTAAAAGTTTTTGTTATATTCATAAGATAATCATATTTGCATCATCTCAAGATTAATAATAACATATTTAATAAAATCAATGATTATTATTGGCAAAAAAGATTATTAGATATCATGATATATTCATACTTAATTTAATTGATTTAATGAATATATTTATTTTCAAAATGCATAAAAGGCTTAAATTTTTATTATCGACATGTATTAATCGATACTATTGCCATTTTTATTGTAGAATCTAACTTTTGATACTAATTAATCAGGAAATTTAAGAGTTTATACACCTCTATCGAGTTAACCATCATATAATGAAAATTCAGTTTATCTGTCTTTTCCAATAATAAAAACTTATATATCGGCTATTCTAGTGTCATGATCCAATAACCAAAATCTAATTCTATTAATTTCATAAGCTTATAAAAATTCTACAATTATTTATTAATGGAGCTGAACATAAAAATGTCCAGGTTATTGAGTAACCAAAAAATAAATTGGGTTTCTTAGAGGACTATTTTCAACAGTAGGTCTTGCAATTAAATTAGTTCTAGCTGATGATACGATTGCTCCATTAGATTATGATGCTACATCTTTGTAATTCCCTCTTAATATTGATTTTTCTCTTAAAATGTATAAATCATTTAAGCTGAATTTTGCGTTTGCATCTGAGGCTGGTATTGGTACTAATCCAAATATATCTAATAATAAGAAAAGTAGTAAAATTTTCATTATATATTATAATAAACTATAATTAATATCTTTATCTAGTTAAGGCTTCATTTTTGACTCAATTATATTATTTAACTAGAAGTTTATTTTTTAATTATTTATTTAGGACTGATCATCATTTTAAGTCCAATTTATGCTTTAATTTGTGTTAACTTTATTTTAAATTCATTAAAGATGATTTTAAAGAATTCAATCAAATTGAAAAATATTAGGATTATGATTAATAATGGGCATTTTAATAATCAAAAATTCTATCATTTAATTGATAAGTTATCTCTTCAATCTATTAATGCTTAATATTTTTTATTAACTAAGAGTATACATTTACAATTATAGCTCAAATTTTAATAATAATTTATATAACAAAACAACAGATAATGATAAGTCAAAGATTCTTGATAAGTTTGTTCATAGCATTATTGTTATTTTAGATTGTTGATTGCAAGAAATCAAGTGGAACAAAAAGTGGAACCAGTGGATGTATTAAATTGAATTTTAAAATATAGCATCATCTACAAAACCATCAACATCATCTTCAAATGGTAAAAATAAAGTATATGCTGGAGAATCAGAAGTTAGTCCATTAGTTGAATTCTTAGCTGGAATAATATTATTCTTTATATCGTTTCCTATATTATGGTTAAATGAATACAAGTATTAATGGATAATTAATAAAGAGCTGCTGAAAATGAAATCAATTTAGAAAGAGCAGAAAAAGAATGTACATCTACTAATTGTTTAGAAGTAAATCCTAATTTAGAAAAAAGATTAATTCATATAAATGGTTAAACAAAAACTGAAAATATTTTAAAAGATAAACGATTTGGAATTGAGGTTGATAATTGTTTGGTTCTAAAACGAAGAGTCGAAACATATTAATGGATTAGAAAAGAAGAAACAGAAGGAGTGGGTAAAGATAAAAAAATCAAAGTATTTTTTGTAACAGAATGGTCTGCAATTCCTTAAGAAAGTTATGAAAATTTTGAAAATGATGATAAAGATTGGACTATTAAGAAAAAAACTAAATATGCTAAAGAAGCTTATTTAGGTGCTTATAAGCTTACTAAATTTTAATTGAAATAAGCTAAAGATTTTAAAGTTATTACACCAAAATAAGAATTTGTTAGTATTTGTTAATAATCATTTCCATAAAGAACTTAAGAACATATGTAATACATATATTAATTATCAAATCTAGTAAAATATAAGATGATTACATTTATTTTAATAAGATAGATGGCAATTTTACAGTTGGTGATCAAAGAATTCGTTTTTAAATGATTAAGTGTGGAGATGCCACAGTTGTTTCTCAATAAAAAGGGAATTCTTTTGAACCATACTCATTATATGTAAAAAATAATTAATTGCTTAATGATTATGATCATAAAGATAGTGATCATTCTATATATGTTGGTGAAGATTTATCTTAAATATTAAAAGATAAAGCTGATGAAAATGGAATTAAAAAGTAACTTAAACATTTGTTAGAACCTATTAAATATATTGATTGGTTTTTAGAAAAGATCTTAACAATTCATGAAGTATTTGATCATAAACTCAAAGAATCACGCAAATTAACATTGGCTATTAGATTCTTAGGTTTTCTATTGATGGTATTTATAATTTTATAATTTTTTAGTTTTTTGGCTTAATGTTTTTCTTTTCGCCAATTGTTTATGTCATTTCATGGTTTCCATTTTTGGGTCGTTTTATGGCTGAATTGTCTACATTTTTATTTGCTCTTGTTAGTGCTATGATATCTATACCATTAACTTTAATTACAATAGCTTTAGCTTGGCTTAGATTTCATCCAAAAAGAGCTCTTGTTATTTTTGGAATAGCTTTTATGATTGGTTTTACTGTATGGGTAATAATATCAAAGAAAGGATCCAGATAATATTAAGAAGAATATGATAATTATTGAAATTATAATTATTATTATTTCTTATTATTTTAATCAACAAAATTATTATTATCTTTTTTTAATTATTTGAAAGATATTAACTTTGATAATTTGATAATTTAGGCTTTTTCTTTTTATTTTTTTCTCTATTTATTATTTATATATATATATATAATTGATTATTATTATTATTGATAAATTATTATGAATAATAATATTGTTTAAGATCTTTAAAAATTTTATTTTCTCTTCAAATACTACTTATTCAAATTGAACTAAAAATAAAACTCTTATCTAGTGAATATTAAATATTGAATTTTTAATAAGTTCTATCAAATTAAATTTTAGGTTAATCTTTATTTTGTGAAATTTTTAATAAATTTAATTATCCTGATTAAAATTATGGGATATAATAAAAGATTGACTTATATTTCTTTTCTTTATAAAATTATTTATTGCTCAGCACATCTTGCGATAGAAATTTTTCTTTAAGAATGAAAAGTTTTTAATTCTGATGCAAAATGTATATTATTGTCAAAGTTCTAATTGGATATCAAATAAAAAAAATAATTATTTATAAAAATTAAGATTCATTATAATAAATTAAAATAATTATGTAAAGAGAATTCATCCATTTTCTTTAATTATCCTCTTATACTTTTTCTTAAAAAACACTTTGTTCTCATTAAAGATTTTCAACTATCCAATATTTTATTGAAAAAAAATTTAATCGATTAATTGATTTAAGATAATAATGTGTTTTTTAATAGGTAAATTATCTTAGAAAATATCGATTTTTATCATTAATATTTTGACCATTTTATCACAATAACTATATGTTCAAATGATAATGCACAAGTAAAGATTATATTTGTTTTTTCTTTTAAGTTTTTAATAAGGAAAAATTTTAGTTTTTATTTACTAATATTATCTTAATAAATTTTTGAAATTTCGGTGATAAAATAAAACATATAACTTAAAGACTTTTACTTTTTATTACAGAAATTATTATTCGAGAAAATTTAATTCATATGAATATATTTTATTTTAGTATATATATTGAATAAAATTGGAGAAAGAGATTTCATTTTTATTCATTCATTAAAACTTAAGTTTTTAATATATAAATAGAAAACGATTGATAGCATGACTTATCATAATAATATTCTAGTATTATCATGTTAAGAGATAAAATTTTTTATTAAATTGTCAAAAATAAGTATGGTTTGAATATTTACAATTTAGTTTATGAATCTTTATAAATTGACCAATTTTTTATTATAAAAGTTTTATTAAATTAATTATTTTTATTTCTTTTTTTTAGGCTCTTATATGCTGTTTTTCTAATCTAAAACAAATACTATTGAACTTATTCATCTAAGAAAATCGATTTGTCATCATCGCTAAATCTTATTAATCTAAAATGGCCTTATTTAAAGTCTATTAATTTCCACTTATAAGTTTTTATAGGGATAAATCTAAAATTCTGATATATTGAAAGTTTTTATCTTGGCGAAATATTGAATTACTTAAAAAAACTCGATAATTTAAATTAAAAGAAATGAGATTTTTCATCAACTTCTTTTTAATATTCATTAAATTATCTTAATTCAAGGATAATATTATTAAAGATATCATATTTAATAAAAAATTAATAAGAATTCTAAATTCGCACTTATATTTATTTTTTTCAGTTAATTTTATATCATATATTACAAAATTTATCTTTGATAGTATAATATCATCTAAATTTCTATTTATTATCTATATGATTGAAAAATAAAATTCAAACTAAAATTTCATATTAATCTGTTATAATATCTATTTCTTGAAAGTTTTTGTTTGAGAGATTGAATTATTTTAAAGATATTTTAAATTTAACTATTAAATTATTCAAATCTTTAATAAGCTAAATAGTATAGAATAAATTTAAAATTTCAAATTGATTATTATTGATGTGAATCTATAAAACTAATTTTATTTATTTTTTTTGAATTTAATCAGGTATTAAATGCGCTTCAGATTTGAACTTGCCAAAATTTAAACTATTTCATTTAAATTACTTAAGAATTGAATTCTTTTGGTATAAGTATATTTTTAATTATATAAATAAAAAAAGAAGACAACTTGAAATAGAAGAACAGTCACTAGTTTTTTTAATATCAATTGTAATATATTAAAAATGAATTAAAATTAAACCTTAATTTGAAATGGTTTTCATATTTTATTCAAATTCTTTTGAATATATTCTATTTAAATTAGAATTTTTTAAAGAGATATCCAAAAAAAAAGTATGTTCTTTATGCTTTTGTTAAGATAAAATGGATTTGAATATTATTTTACTTATTTTAATTAATTCTATATTGAATAATTTATTCTATTTCAAAATTAATTTACAATTTAAAAAAAATTAATAGAATATATTTATAAGAACAAGAATTTAATGAATATATATTTTTGATTAGTATTATTTTTAATTTAAAAAAAATTAATTAGTTTTAAAACTATAATTTATCTTGGCTGTTTTAATAAATTTTATGTTTATTTAAACATTTTAACATAAATAATCCTTGCATAAAGACTAAAGTTTTTTAAAAGTAACTAAGAAATAATTTTAAGTGTTAATTTTTAGATTATTATCTGTTCAATAATACAATAATCTAACATTAATTGTAAACAATTTTTTCCTTTTTACTCTTAAAAATAAACCTACATCAGCTAAATATTGTTTTCATAACTGATAAAATATGGATATTATATCTTTAAAAAAAATTTTTTATCTGCCTAAAATAATAAAAATTGGCAATAAAGATACTTAAATTCCTATAAATTAGTTTTAACATCTAAATGTTTAGAATCTTGATTTTTTAAGGAAAAGTTTCTTCTTTTATGCAAAATATTTTAGCTTTTTAATTAGTATCATTTTAAAATACACTCTTATTATAAAACTTAATTTAAAAGGTCATAATTTATCCTTTGTAATGAGATCTATTAAACAATTTCTAAAGTATAGTAATCAATAATAATACTTAATAATCTTAGTCTTATTATTCTATAAAGAATATACTATATCACTTAATATTCAAATCAATTTAATCATACAATCCCAAAAATTTTTTTAGAATTTAATGAATTTTAATCTAATTAAAAAGATATTAAAATATTATTAAATTCTAAAGATCCAAAATTACAGATTAGTTAGACAAAAATTAAGTTTTAAAATTATGTATAATTTAAAAAGAGCTCAAGTTCTCTTTGTTTCCAAAAAAAAATAACAAATTCTTGTCATATTCCTTATTTGAACAAAATCTCTTTATACATTCTTACAACACTTTACAAAGAACTTTTTCAGAAACCCCTTATGTACTATTTTCTTTTATTCAATATAATGTTGTTTTAGATGCTCTTAGTATTCTTAATGTTAATCATCTTTAGTTAAAAATAGATAAATATTATTTTGTTATGTAAATTTGATAAATTCAAACAATTACATAACTAAAATCAAAGCTTTCGAACAAAAAATTATAATAATATTTAATATCTATATCAGTAAATAAAATTAAATAAACTAATAAAAGATATAATAAAAAATATAGCTATCATTAAGATATTCCTCTTATTATTTTTTAATTACAAGCTTGAAAACTAATCTAAGGAATATCAAATTAATAATAATAAAAAATTATTAGTTCAAAAATTTCAGAAGATTTCTATATAAAGTTAAATACTTCTTAAAATAACATTAGCGTTAGATTTATAGAAGAGAGAATTAAAGATTCTTTAAACTAAAATAATTCAATCAAGATTAAATTTTTTCAACACTTGATTAATTATCTATATTAAGGTTGATATTGTTGTTTCTGAATAATATTTTAAATATGAAAGTAAGAATTAGTAAAAAATATATTTAAATTGATATTTACATATAGTTGAAATAGTAAAAGATAATAGGAAATCTTATTAAGAGAATTAAAGTGAGATTAAAAAGTTAGAATGAATATAAAATATTTCCATATATTTTGATTTGAATGGCTATATTTTAATAAAAGTAAATGAAATAGAAAAGTTTATTAGGTAAAAACAAAGGAAAGAAATATTGAATAATATGATGAGAAATTCATATTGATTCAGTTAATATTTTAGAGTATTTCAAATCTAATGCTTTAGAAAAAATTAAGAAGTGGAAAATCTTCTAAGGAAATTATTAATTAAAAAAAGATTTTAAGCTGATTAAGGAAATTCATTATACTTTTTATTGTATTAGATACCATCCAGATGATTATTTCTTTCTGAAATTAAGAATTAAGCATCTCTAAATTATTAACTGACCTATCTCATAAAAAATAAGTAAATTCTTCTATTCATTCTAATTTTTATTTTTTCCATAAGTTATTTAATACAAGGATTACATCCATCCTATGAACATCTTAACACACTCAAAAGATTTTTCTTTAATATTTGTTAGATGCTATGCATATAATTGTAATCAGCCTTTCAATATGATGTATATAATGTACTTATTAATAATAATAATCTTAATTTCAATTATTTTTTTTTAAAGTTTTTATTAATGATTTAATAGAAAATGAATTCTTTATAAATCTTTCCATTAATCAACAATTATATGCTATCTAAATGTGATAGAACTAAGATTATTGAGATTGATTCAGAAGAAAAGAAATTAAAATAAATTACTTTTGAAGTTTCATAATTATTATATAAAAAATTAATTAAAATGATTTAGCGTTATGGTGATTTTAATCCTTGTATATACAAAAATAATAGTTTAATCATGGATTAATCAAATAATTAATTCTCTTAGCATCAAAAGTGAAAAAGACTCATAAAAAAGCTTTTGTATTAGATCACCTAAAATTTTGGTTAAAGAGTATTTTTATTTAATCTTTAATTTAATATATCTTGCAAAAGTTTTAATGTTTTCTTTCAAAAAAGTGATGTTAAATTCTATTTAACCTCATAACAATCTTCATAATCATTCTGTTCTACCTTCTAATTTTCGTTAGAGATTTGATACTCATTCATAAAGTATAAGTTTATTTTCGATAAAGAAAGACTTCCATTCTCTATTATTTAATATAATTATTTAATTATTCCAAATATTTTTTATCCAAAAATCAATTTTTTTTTAATTTTAATTTATTAATTTATTCATCATATATCTTATTCATTTTTATTATTTACTCTTTAATAATAATATTAATGTTATTATTTAATATTTATATACAATATTAAAATAGAAGATTATAGTAAAATTTCAATTAAGACTAACAATTTTTTTAGGCAAAATAATTTTATTACATATTTCATACATTTGAAGAGAAAATATATAGGATAATCATCAATAGATATTAAATCACCAATTATTCTCTTCAATTTATTTAAAGTTTTCAAATAGTGATGAAGATGATACTGATTTATAGTCTGCTATTTAAATATATGAATTCAAATAATCAATATTGTTATTAATAATATTATTTATGTTTTTTCATTTTAGTTTTTGAAGAAAGCTAAAATTAAATCATCAAAATTCCTAAATTAATTCCTTAAATTTTTCAATATATAATTAAGAATCTCAAATTTTTTTTATACTATATTTTTTATCCTAANTTTAATGTTTTCTTTCAAAAAAGTGATGTTAAATTCTATTTAACCTCATAACAATCTTCATAATCATTCTGTTCTACCTTCTAATTTTCGTTAGAGATTTGATACTCATTCATAAAGTATAAGTTTATTTTCGATAAAGAAAGACTTCCATTCTCTATTATTTAATATAATTATTTAATTATTCCAAATATTTTTTATCCAAAAATCAATTTTTTTTTAATTTTAATTTATTAATTTATTCATCATATATCTTATTCATTTTTATTATTTACTCTTTAATAATAATATTAATGTTATTATTTACTTTTTTTGAATAGAAAATTTTCTATAATTTTGATTTAATAATAATCTACTAAAATAACATTAAAATTTTTACACCTATCATATTATATATATTATTGATAATGTTTCTGATTTTTAAATTAAAATGCATAAAATTAAATAAGACTAATATATTTGAATATAAAAATTAAAAATATAATGAAAAATAGAATTATTATAACTTAAATATTGCTTATAAAAAGATATTTTAAAAATAATTGGATTGAATAATTATAAAAAAATATTGATTAAGATAATTTTAAGTGCTATTTTAATATCAATTAATTCCTCCTTTTTATCTAAATAACCCTAATATTTGTTTTTTTGATTATTCAATTTTTGAGTCTTTTAATATGCAATTATGAGCCAATATTAAAGAATTTCTTGAAAAGGATTTACAACAAGAGAAAACAGATTTTTCATCTTCTTATTGTGATTAATTTTTATTTTTTAAAATAAATCGATATAAATTAACGGAACCATCCTCCATACCACTTGCAAATCCATTTCCATTAGGGATATATGCAAATACATTTGGTAAATCATTCTAATTAGAAATAAAGCTTAACCGCTATTCATTTTCTATATCCCATAAACTTATTGTTGAATCTTACTCCCTACTTATCAATTTATCTCCTAAGGGTGATATGGCTATTGCAGATAGAGTATTCTTAAAATTTTACAATATTTTTGTCTTTAAAATATTTTCATGCCCAATTTACAAACAAACTACTTTTTATTCACAACTCAAAGCTAAAACAGATCTTTATAAAGAAAATGCTAATTTTTACACTGATTCTTCATCAATTGTACATTCTAGTTATTAACAAGTTTCTGAATTATATAACTTTGGCTTTCCTTTTATAATAATAGCAAAATACTTACCATCAGAAGAATATTAAAATTCATCCTCTATTTTTTCAAGAAAATCAATGGCTTATTATTATTTACAATCCTCCTAAATATCAATTAATTATAAATTCTTATTAAGATTAAATATCAAGAACCTGCAATCTTAAGAGATTAAAACTTTTTGTTCATGATAAAATTTATTTGGATAAATTTTTTCAAGTTTAATTTATTAAATATTTTTTATGTTCCATAATTTGATATATTATGTACCTAATGAAGCTAAATAAGTCAAATCCTTAGAGATTGATATTTAAACTGTAAAATCAGCAACAAACACTTTAATACATTAAACTTGATTAATTTCATTAAGATTTGATACATCTAATATATAGAAATAAGCATCTTTAGAATAAATTAAATAATTGTCTCTAAAAAACTAGACAACAATTCCCGACCATTCTGGATCCCTTTTTAATTCTTTATAATTATTGGCATCCCAAAAAATTAGATATTAATCAGTGATAGCTGCAATGTATTTAGAATCATTAGAGAAACAAAAATCATTCATTTTAGATTCAAATAAAATTATTTATTGTCTTTCAATCAAATTAGCTACCCATAATGTAGTAGAATCATCATTTATTAAACTAATTTATAAGTTTTAAGGACAAAAAGAACATAATCGTATCGTTTCAAAAACTTTAAACTACCTAACTATTTTTAATTTTTAATCCTATTGTATTTTAATTAATAATATATAAGGATGTTTATAACAAATTATTTGATTTTCTAAAGAAAATGCTAAATATTAGATTTATTTATCACCAGTGAAACATTCTAATTGATCACAAATTTTTTAATCATCAATATTCCATAAATATATCGAATTATTTTTAGTAGAAACCATAAAATATTTATCATCCTCTGAAAATGCGTGACATTCAATTTGAAAATCTATAAGTAGTGAAATGTCTGAATTATTTTATTTATTATTCTGTCTGTTAATGAATAGCAAATTTGAATCCTTTGTAATTGCTACAATTTAATTAACATTATTTGATATAAAGGACTTTTTCCAGTTTGCAGAATCATGTTAGAACAAATTTTCTTTACTAGAATTTTATGTAATATTTAGAATCTTAATGATTAGTTAATTATCTATTATATATGTAAAGTATAATATGTTTGAATCATTTTATTTGAATTATAAAGAAATTGAATCAGGAATATAGAAAGAGAATTACTTAAAATTCTGTTAATCTGATATGATATATATATTAATTTCGATTTTTTGTCTTAATTATAAACATACTGCTAAATATTTTCCATCATTTGATAATATTATTTAATTAGCAAATTTCCAATCTTTTATGAAAAAATAATTTTTCTTTTCATGTTCATATATCATTAATTGCGATTTTTCTTATTATCTATATTCTTCCCTGCTTTATATAAATAATCTAGAGCCGTCATAAGATTAAGTAAATGTAGTAATTTCCCCTATATTTAGAATTTAAACATCAAAATCATGTTATTAAAGTTATTCATATTAATTAAGTTCCTCTAATTATGTTAAAGTTATTGAGTTATAATTGAATGATGCAATTATATTATTTTCTGGAGAAAATACGACTTTTTTATCAACAGGTTCAAAAAGTGATATTGATTATTTATCCCAATCATTATTATTAAATTTCCATATAAACATATTTAAATATTTGTCGATAGAAACAATTTAAGTGTTATCATTTGAACAATCAATTAATATTATATTAGTTTAATGGCCATTCAATAAATAATACTAATCACTTGATAATTCATAGAATTAAATATCTTTTTCAAACCCTTAAATAATGAATTAATCATTTTGAGTAAAACAAGATAATTATTTTTCATTTGTATCAATTTAAATATTTTATTTTCCAATATTATTTAAGTTCCAAAATTAAATTTGATGGTATGATTCGTATGATTGCTTTTTTTTAGACTTAGTTGCAAGTGTTTTACCATTTGGTGAAAATTAAATCCAGTTAATTGATAAAGATGTTTCTTGAATAACATATAACTTTTTTGCATAGATTGGATTTTTTACATCCCAAAATATAATTGTACCATCTTCATTTCCAGATGCAAGCCATTTTGAACAATACGAAAAATCCAAACAATTAATATTACTTTCATGTCCTTCTAAACTTATCAGATATTTCATATCTATTAAATCCCATAGTATTATATTATAATCCTTAAATCCACCTCCAGAAGCTAAAATTAAGCTATCTTTTGATATTGCTAATTATTTTACACTTTTTATATGTCCTTGTTTTAAATCTAATTAATCATTATTTTCAATATTCCATAATTTTATTAATTTATCTTCACTAGAAGAAGCAAATGTTAAACCATCTGAAGAAAAACTAAGTGAATTTATCTTTCCTTAGTGTCCTTCAAATATTCCAATGATTCGCTTTGCTTCGATATTCCATGAATATATCATTTTGTCTTCTCCACATGAAATTAATAAATTAAATTTAGGATGATAAACTAAATTATTACTTTTTTTAGTCTTTCCAATTATTATTTATTTTTTTTATTATTAATTTAAATTAACTAATTAAATAGAATCATCATCAGCAACACAAATTTAATTGTTATTTATTAAAGTCATACAATTTATTTTTTCTATTTCTTCTAATTGTTTATTCTCGCAGAATTACAATTCACTTATATCAAATTAATACAAACTTTTACCACTTGTAAAAAATATATATTTATCATCTCGAGATATTGCAATTTAACCAATGTTATCAAAATTTATATAAGTTTTTTATTGTCTTTCAATCAAATTTATTATCAAAATATCACCTGAATCAAATAATACTGATAAAAAATTGTTATTAATTTTTGCAAATTTAATTATATCAGAAAATTTTCTAAATAAATCTATTTTTTATTCAAAATTTTTATTAATTTTATAAATGATTATTTGTGATTAATAACTATTGTACTTATTAAAATCTTCTGAACTTATCACTTCAACTAACATGTCTCCATTTTTATTAAAAAATAGATTTTTATGATATTATAAATATTATTTTTGTAAAGGACAAATTATTTTACTCTCCTAATTTACAATTTTTATTATTTCAATAGAATCGTAGTTTTTAACTGCTAAGAGTTTCTAATCATGAGAAATGGCTAAATCATTTAAATTTCTAATATTTAAATTATCGTTGGTGGTGGTGATCTTTATTTAACTCTAAAATATATTTTCATTTTAAAAAGTTAATATTATTAGATCATTATTCTAATCCCAAATAAAACACTATTATTTTTATTCAAATATTTCTAATTTTTTAATATCACATTAATGTTAATAAAATTTTATATCTTTTTATTCTTTGATTTATTTAATTATAAACTTAAATGTATCAAAGTTAAAGCAAAAATAATCTTTTTTTAGAGAAACCTCAAATTTAATTTGGACACATTATTTAAAATATTGTTCTTCTTAATAATTTTCAAATAATTTAAATTATTTTGAATATAATCCACATAATTTAATATCTTATTTATTTTCTAAATTCCAAATTTTAATTTATTCTCCAACTTATAATAATATTTAATCATTATTCATTAGATATAATTTGCTTTAATATGTATAAGTCATTAAAGTGTGCATTTGTTCGCTAGAATGAACATCCCAAATGGTTAAAACTCCATGTTTATTTGAAGAAATTAATTGATTCCCATCTGAAAAAAATGTTATCGAATGAATTTAAGAATCTTAAGGTAAAGTTTTATATAATTTCCATTCTTAAACAAAATATATTTAGATTTGACAGAATTGAACAATTGCTAACAGTTAATCATTTTGAGAAAATGAAATCAATTATTAATCTTAATATTTTGAATTTATTTCAATTATCATTTCTAAATTTAATAATTATTAAGGAAGAAATAAAATACTTGATTTTTATTAATAAATTAAATTATTATCTTTACCAATGAAATTCAATCTAAAAATTTAAGAATCTACTTTTTAACATCCTAACTTTTTAATTTCTACTTTTGAACAATCCCATAACTGAATTATTTCCTTCTAAGCAGAAGCCATTAAATTTCCATTTTTTGAAAAACAAACTTATGAAATTTGGCAATTAATTTTATATTCTACAGTTCTTTCAATTGTATTCCAAAATAAAATTACTTGTACATCATTACTATAAGAAATTAATCTCATTTTATTAGGAAAGTACTTGACTATATCTACAGCTTGAGTATCTTCTTTTAAAAGAATTACTTCCTACATTAACTACAAATTCCAGACTATTATTTTTTTGTTTTATTCTCTATCTATAAAAGCAATCTATTAATTGTCTATTGATATAGTTATCTCTTACCATATATTATATTTTTTTTCATTTATTGTATATACTAGATCACCATTAAATGAATTCCAAATATATATAGATGAATTTGAATCTAAGATAATTAATAATGATCCATCATAAGAATACTTAAAATCCATCAAACTAGATTATGAAAAAGAAGCAACTAATTCTTAACTTAAATATGGTTAATTATCTAAATTCCATAAATTAATTTTTTTACTCCCATGTACTGATGCTAAAATATTAACTGAAGGAGAAAAAACAAATCCTTCAAATGAGTCGAAGTTTTCTAATTACAAAATTTCTAATTATTGATCATTAATAATATCAAAAAGAATTACCTAATTATATTAGATTTGATAAGCTAAAATTTCATTATTGAAATTTATTGTAAAACAATTATTTTATGAAAGATATTTGTGTGCTACTAACTGTTTTGATTTTAAATCTCTTGCTTAAAGAATTCTTTATAAATTAAAAATAAATGCTTTTTCAGAATTATGATAAACACCACACTCAAAATTTTTAGATAATACACAATAATCATTAGTAAAATAGTTGTTATAATCTTTTAAACTAATCAATTATTATAATGTTTATAAACTCCAAATTATTAATTTTCTATTACCTTCTGTAGAAAATTTTGAAGAATCACTTGATATTTATATAGATTCAACTGTAAATTCACAATCTATAATATTTATTATTTGTAATGTATTAAGATCAAGAATTGCAACGTAGTTAAAATATCCTAATAGACAAATGTCATTAAACTATGATAGATAAGCAATTTAACATTAATCAATTATAATTTCTTCAGATTTTTCGACTTTTTCTAACTGGATTGAAGCTAAGTTAGTTTTGCTATTGACAATTATCGATTTATCCTTTTCAATAAAAGCTAGATGGTTAATTTGAAATTAATTAAATAAAAGCACTTGAAGTAACTTAAAGGAACACAAATCCCATATATATAAATTACAATATGTACATGCAGAAGCTAAATTATTTCCTTGATAATTGAATGCTAATTTACTTATGTTTCCTTTATGACCAATTAGTTTTTATTCTTATTTTGTCTTTATATTAATAATTAAAATAGTTAAATCTTTTTTACCAATAGCTATTTTTGATTCATCTTAAGATAATGCGAATATTTTTGGATCATCCTTTAATCCTTTAATTGTAATATTATCATTATTTAAATTAAGATTCGGCATGTTCCATATCTTAAAGCCATCTTGACTTTTAGATACCAACATGTTATTATTGTAAGAGAGTGCAATTTGTTCAACTTTGAGATCTTCAATTGTTACTTATAATTATGGATTTTATGGATTAGATATATCCCATAACTTAATTGTACCATCATTGCTGGAAGAAATTAGTCTATTATCAGATGTAAATTAAACAGAATTAATTGTATCTGTATGACCTATTAATTTTACCATTTATTCAGGATTATCTACATCCCATAGATTTAATTCTTTATTCTTACCACCAGAAGCAATCAAATTACCTTTTGGTGAAAATATTGCAATTTAAACTTCTGATTCATGTCCTTTTAAATAAGGTTTTTCTTTACAAATTATGTCTTACCAAATTACCTCAGTAAGATTAGCACAATTAAAATTACATGAATCAATTTTAACTTTATCAAATTTAGATTTGCTTAAATTACTATTAAAAAAACTTAATCCTGAAATACTAGTGTCAAATAATTAAATTTTACTAAAATCCTATGATTCAAAATAAGCATTTAATTAATTCAATAAATAAATACTATTTGATGCAGCGTATATATATTTCTCATTTGTAGAGAGTTTCACTATATTAATTAATATATTATTTGTGTTTTCCATATTCTACAATTTATCTTTAACAAAATTTATTATTCCTATATAATTTTCTTTTGAGATATTAAATTTTATTTGATTATATAAAGATTTCAATAATATTTATTTCTCTTCTTCAATTTTTTTCAAGAATTCAAGAGAAATTCCCCAATCCAAAAAAAGTAGTAATTCCAATATATACTTTGCAACATAAAATTCTTATATTGATTTATGATTAAATGAATAAGTACTCCCTTTCGCACTTACAAGAATACAACTTCTAATTAATTTTTTATAGTCCTAATCATCTAAGGTATCACTAAAATATTAATTAGGCCAATCATCAAAGTTTTTAAAACTATTATATTTACTCTCTAAATTTAATTTTCCTTTTTATTTATAATTTACTTAAGATAAATCTCTTATACTCATATCTAATGCTAAAGATTATGAAAATTAGAAAATATCTTACTCAAAACTTTCATAGTTTGGTATATAACCTTTTTCCCTTTACTTTTACATTTATTAATAATGATAAAATTTAATGAAACTTTCATAAAAATCAAAAATAGTTAATTTTTTCATTTTTAATGCTTAAATTACATAATCAATTTCATCCATATCAAAATCAAAATTAAATTCAGTTTTATCTACAAAAATTGAATTATTCTAAGTAATTAAAACACTTGTTATTGAATAAGATGAAAAAAAGTTTTTCTTATCTAATTAATCAACAATTTCATTCAATTTCTGTATTTCTTTTTCAGTTTCTTCTAATTTCTTTTTTTAATTATCATTCTTAATTTTTATTTCTTAATTATTTTTAAATAATTTGAAATAAATAAATTTTTAATTTCTATTGATCCTTTTTACTCTTTTGCCATATTTGGTAGAACCTATACAATTATTTCTAACATGAATGGTGTAGTTAAAAGATCTAAAATACCTACATTTTTTATTGCTTTTTCAAATTTATTTACACTCCATAATGGTTCTAAATCTTTTCTTAAAGTAATAATATGTTCTTCTTTTAAACATTTTAAAGTTTTATGAGATGTAACTTTCTATAATAAGCTATCTAAATCTTAATTTCTAAAGATCTATTCATCTGTATTGTTATCTTCTGATGCAATTTTAACTTATTTCTCAATTAAACCCCAAATTTCTTAAAATTCTTTCAGATCAAAAGCATTATTTTAAACTTACTTTACAAACTCATAAATTTATTTTATTTTTCTCCTTACACTTAATTCAACATATTTTCTTAAATATTCTTGTATTTAATCTTAATCAAAATTTTATAATTAAACTTCTTTGAAGCTTTCTAGACTTTCTCCATAGAACCATGTTTAATATCCAACAATATTAAGTATCTCTTTTCTTGTAGTTATGATCACTTTCAATTATCTTTCTTATTTAACAATATTTAAATCTTAAATAAGTTTATTAGTCAATATTAGATTTTATTAAATACAATCCTATTTCATCTCATCATAACTATCTAATATCATTAAAATATATTCTTATTTATTTTAAATTGCTTCTTTAAACTCTACTATTTAATGTTTATCGAATCCATAATTCTCAGTTTCTAAAGCTTATTCAAATAAATTATATTTTGGGTTTTTTAAATTTGGAAGAGATACATAAATTGGTATCCATTTTGATTATTTTCCATGTAAATTCCAAATAAATTCTTCAATTTTTCTTGCTGCTCTACTTTTACCAGATCCAGCATTACCTGATAGTAACATCACATCTTTATTTTCATTTTAATTCCAAATGAATTCATTTACTTCTCCTTTAAAATTATCTTTATCATCATTTAATAATTCTGATATAATTTAATCTTCTTATGTTTTTTTTATATTACCACTTATTGGATCATATTCTATTGTTTTTACTGAAACATAAATAGAATCTATCTCCAATAATTTGGATTATTATAGAATCTTTTATTTTCTTATTTCCAATAATTCATCATATTTCTTACCTCTCAACTTTCTAATATCATCCCCAACTTAATTTAAACTATTTTATATATTCTCGATCTAATTCTTTATTTATTTAACATCTTTTTATATATCTTTAAGAAACAACAAACTCATCTCCATTTTTTAAGACATTTCTGATAAATTATCTATGTATTAATCAAGTTCCTCATATTCCATTTCTAATTTTTTTTAAAGCTATTCTCTTAATGTTAAATTTCCTTCTAATCTAATTTCCTATTACAAACTTTCAAGATTATTTATTCTTTACTTCATCTCTTATTTAATTTAATCACATGAAGATTGTAAATTAGAAGAAAATAATTATTTTTACATTTCTATTAATTCCTTATTCTTTAATAAACTTCTCACTCGTTAATCTTTTTCAAATATCCATAAATATTAAAGAAATTTGGATGAAAATTAAGTAAAACAATCTTCTTAAACACTTTATTAAAGTCGGATTAAATTAAATACTAAAAACTCTTTTACTTTATATGGAGTTTTTAAATCAAAAATTTATAATATAGATGTTTTTATCTCTATTTAATATTATTCTAGATCCTATAAAATAGTTAAATAAATCTAATCTACTATTTAAGTATTACAATTCTCATTCGTTGATTAAATATCTGAAAGTCCAACAACATTATCCAAATTAAATTAAATCTCTTTATCACTTTCATCTATAAAATTTTAATCACTCTCATAATTTTCCTCTTTTTTATTAAAATTAAAAATCATTTAATTGCTTCTCTCTTTTAAATTTGATATTTCCCCATTATAATCTATATTTTTTTCTTGTAAATTTAATATCATAAATAAACCAAGTTATATCATTTATTTATAAGATTTAAGACTAAAATAAAGATCTTAAATATTTTCTAAATTTGAATTAATCTTTTTTTAACAAAAATCAAACCAACATAAAAATATATTGTTTGGTTCGTTGGAAAGTGTCTGTTAGAATAATGTTTTATTTGAATGCTCCTTATTACTTTAATTATTAGTTTCAAAAAATTATTTATATTTATTATCTAATTCAACTAGTTTATCTTTTTTCTAATTTTAATTCTAAATTGTTAAAAAAATAAATTATCCTTCTGATATTAAATTTAAAGCAGCCTAAGATATTTCATTATTAAGTTTTTAATTGTCATTCTATATTTTCATATAATCATTTTTAAACATTTTAAGCATCTCTTTAATTTTAATTTCAAAATTTTACTATGATTCCTTAATTAATTCCTCAATTTTTTCTTTTTCTTATTTCATCAAATTTATCAAATTTTGTTTGAAATATTAATCCAATTATTCATTTTATTATTCTTATGCTGTCTCTTTTAATTTAAATTTCTCTTTAAAGATCAAATATCTATATTATTAGGCTTGTAATATTTATTTTAAATTCTTTGCAATCATACTTTCTCTTTTGAAATTTATCAACTTTTATAATACATCTGATATTGTTTCAATTTTCTCATCCTTTGGTATTGATAAAAATGTCTCCTTATTTTGATCAATAAATTTTTAAAGCCAATCTATACAACAAGTCTACTTTAAAAAATCTAACATATCATATGTTTTAAATTAAATCATATTGTTATTTTAATTTTTCTCAGGAATTGATTTGATGAATTTAATTGTTAAGTTTCTTATATTTTTTATAAATTAATCAAATTATGTTTCAAAATTTTTAAATAAATCCTGTAAAGTTTAGATATTAAATTTTTAACAAATCATTTTTAGATTTTCTTTTTCTTATTATTATAAATTTAGACTTGTCATAGAAATTTAACTAGCATATTCAATAGCATTAAAGTATTCTTTAAAAAAAGACTCTTAAAAATTTTCAAGAGATGATTTGAATGTGTTTTTAATTTCGTGAGAGATCTATACTAATTATTATTTTGGTTCATCTTTTATAATATTGAAGTAAGGATCCAGCAAGTTTAATTTATATTATTCATAAAAAAAGAATTCCTGAATGATTCTAATGTAATAAATTGCTTTTTTATATGAATTCATAAACTTTTTTTTCAGTACTAGCAATTCATCTTAATATAATTTCTTTGAAAGTTCTGTTTGTTATAATTATAAAAACTCATCAGTTAATAATTCTTAAATTTATAATTAATAAACAAATATTTCATCTTTTGATTATTTTAAATATTCAAATGACTTTTCTAAAGTATTTAATTCATTATTCGCTAATAGAATTTCATAATCTTTATATTGTATTTATTAATTTTTTTAAAATGAAAAATTCTTATAGAAATCCCAAATATTAAATTTATGTGCTAATTCTCCATTTAAAAGACATTATTAAAACAATTCAAATTTTATTTTTCCCTGAGCTCCTAATAAATTTACTAATTCCTAATCAAAATTTCTTTATTATTTTGCAAATAAAACAATTTATGCTTCATTTGGATTATAAGAAACACATTATATTAATCTTGCTTCAATTAATTTATTCCATCTCTAATATTATGATTCATTTGGAGTTGCATTTATTAGTTCTTTCTAAATAAATGGTCTATAAGCTAAAATATCTATAATCATCATAATCCAACATGAATGTAAAATCCAATTATCTGATGATTATATATGTTCTTAAAATGTATCTTTTAATTGCTTTATTTATTTATACACTGAATATTTAGATTTTAACTGTTTTATTATAGACCATTTAATCGTTTAAAATAAATAATAAGTTGCATAAATTTCTAAAGGATACAATATTTTATCTTTGCATTTCAGTAGTAAAAATTTTGCTCCATTCATTAAACTTGGTATCAAATCATCAGTTGCAGACAATGACACAATAGATTAACCAATATTTTTTACTATATCAATTAATAATTCTTGACCCTCTTATGAATTAGTGTTCGTATTTATTAACATTATTTTTATTAGATTTAATTCATATTCGATTCCGCATTTCCAAACATTTGCTTTTTCAATTTCTAATTAAGTTGTGAATTCTTCAAGGTCATTTAAATATTCTTATTGTTTTTCCACTTTCAAATGTCTATTATCACTTTTTAGTTAAAATGAATAGAGGATACGAGCTAATTCATTGCAAATTTATAAAACTTGATAACATAGATACCAATTAGCCCTTAAATAAACTGGAAGGATTTTTAATAAATTTTCAAAGTTGTTTTGTACCAAATTACATATAGATGTTGTTAATTTATTAGAAATACAACAAGTATTCAAATGTTCCCTATTATAAAAAAACCATTAAATTGCCATTAGAACCTCAACCTTTTATCCTTAATCTAATATTTTTGAAGCCTTATCAATTATTTTTTCAATATTGTCATTCAAATTGGTCAAAAAATCATGAGGAATTTCACTCTCTGGCAATACATTATCTGTTGTATTTTTCCCCTTTTATTTGGATTATCCACACCCTCCACCTCGAAGCTAATAGTTTGAAGTTTTAATACTCCCTTTTAGAGGAATAAAATTTAAATCATTGTTTTGGTACATTAAAAATCTTTTAGTTTAAAAAATTAATAAAAAATTAAAACAAATATTTGTAGTTATAAATATAAATTATTGTAATTTATACTTCCTTAATAACAATCTAATTCAAATAAAATAAGAAGAATTATGTTGATTTTTCAGCTATTTATTAATGATATATTTATTTATTTGAATCTACATAGTTAAAATAATCTAAAAACCTATTTTTACTTATTTTTTTCCAAATACCTAGATTATATTGCTATTAATATTTATTTTCAAGTTTTATTCAACCTAACACAAAATGAAATCTTTTAAAATAATCTAAATGTTTTCGATTAATGTTATTAGGTATTTAAAAAAGATCGTTCAGAAATCTTTTTGCAATTTATTTTAAACAAAAAAATTATTAACTTCACTCTCTTTATTTTCAAAATGGCAAAATGATTTTTGCATAAGAATGTAAACTAATACTTTTGAGCAATTTTTCACTTTCAACATCATTTAAATACTGCCTCTCTTTAAAAAAATGTTTAATTCAGAAAATTTTCCAATATGTTTATGTCTATTTAGTTTCAAATTTATTTTACCTTATTGTATTAAGTATAACAAACATATATCAAAGACATGGTTATTTCAAAAATAACCTTGCAAAAAATTTTGAAACCACTAATATTAAAGAAATTAATTAAGGTGATGATATAATAAAATTAAAAACAAACTAATCGATTATAAAATTTTGATAATAATAAACATGTATATAAATCTTGATAGATAATCAAAATCATATGATGATGGTAGCAAAAATAATAATAATGGAACTAATTTCGAAATAAATCATGACCAAAGCCAACAGGAAAATTCTTAGAACATTTTATACTTTAATTAAATTTATAATCATAACTCTAAACATTATTTATATTAAAAATATCAAGAATGATTCTTTATTAATTATCAATACTATAAGTCTATTAAAATATACTGATACAACATAAAAACAAGATATAAAATTTTTTAAATTGATGATGAAATTTTTAAAAATAATAAAATTAAAACAGATAAATCTTTCACATTTATATACAGAATCAATTTTATATAATAGTTCCTAAATTTAAATTAATCATCTATTAACATAGATAATTTTTCCCTTTTTAATCACAAATGTGATAAAAAGAAATCATTTTTTATTATGAGCTAGAACATTAATTAATCTGATGATTTTTTTAGTACTTAGAATTATACCTCGTCAGGATAAAATTATATTTCCTTTGACTTTAAAATTATGAAGAATAAAGCAAATTAAAACTCAATTATGATAAATCGATTGAATTAAATTTCTAAAAAAGGTTGACAGTATTTAGGTTGATGTTTGTGAATAACATCCAATATAATTTTTAAGAGTTTATTCACATCTTCGAAAAAGTTTACAATTTTAATTATTTAAAGTCTCTAAAACTAATGAAATTTTAAGTTTTGTTTAACTAATTATAATTTTTATATTTTTTAAATGAATTCATTTCATAATAATTAAAATTGAATTAATATTTATATACAATATTAAAATAGAAGATTATAGTAAAATTTCAATTAAGACTAACAATTTTTTTAGGCAAAATAATTTTATTACATATTTCATACATTTGAAGAGAAAATATATAGGATAATCATCAATAGATATTAAATCACCAATTATTCTCTTCAATTTATTTAAAGTTTTCAAATAGTGATGAAGATGATACTGATTTATAGTCTGCTATTTAAATATATGAATTCAAATAATCAATATTGTTATTAATAATATTATTTATGTTTTTTCATTTTAGTTTTTGAAGAAAGCTAAAATTAAATCATCAAAATTCCTAAATTAATTCCTTAAATTTTTCAATATATAATTAAGAATCTCAAATTTTTTTTATACTATATTTTTTATCCTAATACTTTTAGATTGTAATTGCTTATTCTCAGAATAAGAAATTTTAATCTATCGATTAAATAAAAAATAATTGTTGAGTATAATTTAAAAAGGATAATTATTTAGGGGATTTTTAATAAAGAAGTGATAGTATTTTAAAAAATCAAACAGTGTAATTATTTAATAATATGAGTATTATTTGCTAGGAACACTAATAACAAGTAGTTTTTTATCGAAAAACTATTGGTGAATAAAAAAAGTAAAAGCTATGTGAAAAATGCGTTGTAAATATGAATAAGAATTTAATACTGATTGAAGATTTAGAAAAGTAATTCAATTAATTAAAATCTTAATTTTCAAAGGAAATAGAATCAAAAAGATCGCAAAATTTATAAGTCTTACAATAAGTTAGAAATTAGCTTTAGGAATAAATGGATTAAATTACAAATATTTTAGGAAAAATAATATTCTTTATTGACACATAAGTGAAAATCATAATAAATTTGAAAGATGAATCAATAGAAACTTTATCACTAAATAATGATTTTTCAACCTTTTAATAATTAACTTGTGAAGAATCAATTATATTTAATAATATTTAAACCTAATTATTAGGATATATCAAATAATTGGGATATGCTCAATTTTAAGAGTAATTAGAAAAATTAATAAATAAGATTGATTATGATAATTCAAAGTTTTATGATTCTATATGTTAATACTTTAACTTTAAACGTAATTTGAACAATGAACCTGAGATGGATAGTAAATGGATATGTGAGAAACATAAAGATAAAATATATTATGTAGATTTAAATTATCAAGAAACAGTTCCAAATCGAGTAGCATGTGGAAAATGTGTTCCTTAATATTTTGTAAAATATGAATCTCTTGATACTTTGAAATAACATTGGGAAAATCAAGAGGTGTTAATTCACAATTGTATTGAAAAAAATGATAAGTTTATTATTTAGTAAATTAGCAGAACAAAAGAATTCATGAAATCTTATAAAGAATAAGTTATTTAATTAATTGATGGTTGCTTTGATAAAATAGATTAGATTAGTAAAAATTAAAATTGGATATAAAAAAATACTAAATATCTTATAAAAAAGGATTGGTATTAATTGGAAAAGGGAGAGTTAATTTAAATTGCAAACATATTTGGGTAATAATAACCTGAAAAAGTTTTATAGAAAGAAATTGATGATTAAAGATATTAGTCTATGTCATAAACTAAAACTTTTATTAAAAAGGCTTATGAAATAATCTTAGAGTTGACTAATGAATAAAGATCTAAATTTAAAGATTTATTTCACAGAGATTTTTAGGAAAAATGTGATCAGATAATGAAAACTGCAAAAGTAAATAATAATATATAGATGAAGAATAATTTGAAATTCTAGGTTTAAGAGAAATTTTCAATAAATGAAAGATTGGAAAGTTCATTTGATGAAGTTAATATTTTTACTATAACTTTTAATTACTATGGAAATATAATGATAGCTGGATATGAGAATAAACTAATAAAAGTATTTAACTTTGATAAAGGTAATCTATAACAAATTTAATAATTAAATCATCATACAAATAAAGTAACATGTTTATAATTCATAAACGAATCTTCATCCTTTATTTCTGGATCTAGTGATAAAACAATAGTGATTTGGGAATAAGATGATTAATTCTAATGGAAATGTTAATAACAACTTTAAGGTCATTCATAATGTATAAGTTGTTTAATAGTATCAAAATCTGGAAAGTTTATTATTTCTGGAAGTTTAGATACAACAATTATTATTTGGAAAAAGGTTTAAAATATATGGAATTGGTTTTAAACTTTGTAGTATCATAAAAAGAAAATAATATCTTTATCATTGAATCATTCTGAAAATTAAATGATCTCATGTGCACATGAAGAAACAATGATTCAAATAGCTACATATAATAGTGATACTTAATTTTGGACTAAAACTCATATTATTAAAACTAATTAATGGGGATTAAGTTTACATTTTATAAATGAAACTCTATTTACATTTCAACCTTACAATTCCAAAATTTTTCAACTATATACAAAACAAAATGGAAAGAAAGAATTTTTTAAAATAAAAGATATTTAATTAAATAAAAGTGGCTAATCCATTATATCTTTTCCATAGATATTTAACAATACAAAGTCCCTTTTATTACTTAAAAATGGACCCTAAATTGTGATTTTTAGAATAACACAAGATTAATAATTTATTATTGATGGTTTGATTAATTTTTATTCTGATGAAATAATAGGATCCATTACTCCTGATTTTCAATATTTAGTGACCTGGGATAATTAATCAAAAAATTTATAAATTAGAAAATTAGTTGAATAAAGTTGAAATTATTATTCATTATCAATTATATACCTATAAATATAAAAATATTATATATAGTTAATCTGATTGTTTTTAAATTTGTTAAGGATTGTTTTCTTCTCAAACTTTTACTTATTTTCTTACATTAGTATATGTTTATAAAACTATTATTTTATTCTAACATTAATTACTTTCTTAATCGATCTTGCTATTTATCAAATATAATTAATTTGAAAAAAAAACAAGTAAATATGAATTAAAAAAATATAGCTTAGAAATTGATTGGATTGAAATAAAATAAGTTAATATCATTTAAATTGTAAATATATCCATATCTTATTATTTATTATATTTATGAATTTTGATTTTAAACTTGATTATAATAAAATGTAAAAAGAATTAAATCTTAAATATCTATAAAATAAAATTAATTAATAATATTTTAATTATAAAAATAGATGATTTAAATGGAATAATAAGAAAAAGGAGTATAATAAAAGAAGAAAATTCGCAATTTAATTGAAAACTTAGAAAATCATTTGAGATTGGATGAAAAGATTATCAATTTAAAATAATAGTTAGATAAATTAAGTTTACAAATAACTACATCATCTGATTAGGATAGTGTTAAAGAAAAAATGAAATAATTGGAAGTAGCAATATTTAACTATGAAGAAGAGAAGAAGATTTGGAATTATAATGATGAGGAAAAAAAGAAATTATTAGATTCCTTTAAAAATATAATTCAATAAATTAAAGTATTTTTAGTAATTGAATTAGCCTTTAGAATTATCTTATGAAAATTAAAGATAGATACATAAAGACTTAAAAAACCTGAACAGATTTGAAGAGCATTTTCTAATTTTAAGGGTAAAATCAAATGATGAAGAATTTATAATGTAAGCTTCTAAAATCCTAAGTATGGTATGTGATAAGAAAAATGAAATAAAAAGTGGAATCAATTAATCAAAAGAGAAGATTCATTAAGAGGATTAATAAAATAGAATTTAATAATAAGGAAAGGATGAATTGAAAATAGTAAAATAGGATGAAAAAATAATGATGTAAGAAACTCCAACTTAAGAAGGAATTACGGAAGAATAACTAATTAGTTAATAATAAAGCAAAAATTTAATAACTAAATAAGAATAGAATTAATAAAGTGATCAATTATGTGAAACAGAGAAATGTTAGATATGCTTTGCAAATAAAAGAAAATTTGTTGCTATTCCTTGTGGACATTACATTTATTGTTAATCTTGTAAAGAATTAGTTTTATAAAAACTAAAATGTCTTTTATGTAGATAAAATGTACTAAAAATGTTTGAAATATTTTCATGAAAATATATATATATTTATAATGATTGTTTGAATATATTTATATGAAACAATAAATCAACAGCTCAAAGTTATTTTTTTTATGCACCAACTTTAGTGGAAGTACCCATAAATATTTAAACATCTTCATTTTATCTAATTCCATTAACTAATTTATTTTTTCTAGGATTATATGCTTCAGAAACAACTTTAACATCTTCTGATTATTTTCTAGGTTGAGCTAGTTAAGTTTTACCATCTAATCTAACTCCTTTTCCAATAAAAACAGCTTATTCTTATTATTTTTATTCTTATTCCATACCCAAAGTTGAATTGTTTTTAATTAGTTTTTAAGAAGGTGCTTCAGTATAATCCTATATTTCTAAAATATAAGTACTAATGGTTATAAAAAATCAATTTCAACATCTGCTTCATTGATACAGACTGCAAGTTTATCTGTTTTAGGCATAACTTCAACTATATCAATCATATATTTAATCTTATTAAATGTTATAGTGATTGTTTCACCTTAAGTAAGACAAATGTAATTTCTTAATTAGTTTTCTAAAATGGCTCTAGGATCAGGAAGATCAACAAAAGCAGTTTCATGAGGTTAAATCTTAATTAATTTTCCCTTTTTATAAATCAATCAATTTTTATACAAGTGGTAAGTTTTTTTCAAGGCTGACAATAATATAACATTCAGGAAAAAAGTTCATATTTTCAAATAACCAATCTGGAATTATACAAGTACCTTCTTCTGCAACAAATTCTAATACTCCAACATATGTAACTCTTTAAGTATGTGTTGATGATATTTTAAAAATCATAGGACCATTTTGTTTAATAAAAATCAATTATTAAAGTGCTGATGCTGGTAACAAAATCTTGTTTCCATTATTAATTTATGGGCGGCCATAACTAGATGCTCCAAAAACCTATAAGTGTTCTTAATATGTTTGTCTCGGCACTTATCTAAATATATTCATTTTCTGAATAGAAATTATTGAAATAATAAAAATGAACTAATAATCCTAATGTCAATTAATTTATATTTTTGATTTATTCGTTCTTATAATTATATTCTTATAGTTTCTGATGTACATAAATTATAAAATGAACTTAAGAATATAAATTTTTATTTAGATAGAATTAATTGCTTTTTATAATAAATTTAAATTATGTAGTAAAAATATTCTAATATTTTAGTTATTATTGATCATTTGAGGGATAGCTATATTAGTTTTCATATTCATATGTAAAAATAAGAAATTCCATTATAATAGAGAATTATCTAATGACAAACAGTAATGGTATAAAATATATGGGAAATTTGTTTGATAAAACTATCAACAATTTTTAATGATGTTTAAGCTTTGATTAAAATATTTTAAATGAAATAGTTAAATTTGCTGGATTTTAACTTTATATATTTCAATGAGGCTAAGTCTTTATAAAAATCTTTACATGGAAAAGATAAGGATAAAAAAACGAAAAGCCATCAATGTTAATCACTGTATTAGATAAATTTACAGTTAGCAGTAGAATACAAAAATACAGTGATGAAATAATATTGAGTTCTAGATTCATAAACTAAGTAGGTAAGTATTCTTTAAGTTCTCATGATCATCTAGCATAAGAATAATGAGCATCTAATAAATCATAAAAATTAAATAAAGAAAGTAATCTTAAATTTTAATTAATCATAATTTTCAGAAGCCATAATTGTTAAATATAAAATTGATATATTTTTGAATCATGCTATTTCAGTTAATGAAATTTTCAAACATAAAAACCAAGTCTATATGAAACTTCCAAAAAGAAAGGTAATATTCTTCGAATACTTTATACTTAAATTTGAAAATAAAGAGTAAGAATACTTCAAAATTGCATTTAGAAACTATGTAAGAAGACAAAAATTAATTTAAGGTATTCATATTTAAATAAATAGAAAGTTAAGTAGAATAATATAAATACGATATTTAATCTATTTTAAATATCATCAATAATTGGAATAAGATTAATATAATACTTTTGATCTTGAATATTTAAATATTAATTTATATGAAGTATTTGAATAATATAAAGATCATGAGCATAATTTACTTAAATTAAAGATACCTGTAGACTTTTAATAAAAAATTATAGTTTAAATAATTTGATAATATAAAAATAGAATAGAAGGATAGAAATAAAAAAAATTGAAAATTAGTTTGTAAGATTACAAGAGTGTATACTAATCTGTTGTATTTGACTGATTTTGATAATATAACTAATGATGATAAAACATATTAAATGATGATCATCCTTAATATGGTTACTTACGACCCCGTTAAAGTAATAAATCTCTTTCAGCCCGTTCAGCAGCCAATTTTTCTTATTTTTCTCTTTCTTCTTTATCTTTCTTTTCTTTAGCCTAAATACAATATAGATTATATAATTACTAATTAAAGATTGGNTAAAAATCTTTACATGGAAAAGATAAGGATAAAAAAACGAAAAGCCATCAATGTTAATCACTGTATTAGATAAATTTACAGTTAGCAGTAGAATACAAAAATACAGTGATGAAATAATATTGAGTTCTAGATTCATAAACTAAGTAGGTAAGTATTCTTTAAGTTCTCATGATCATCTAGCATAAGAATAATGAGCATCTAATAAATCATAAAAATTAAATAAAGAAAGTAATCTTAAATTTTAATTAATCATAATTTTCAGAAGCCATAATTGTTAAATATAAAATTGATATATTTTTGAATCATGCTATTTCAGTTAATGAAATTTTCAAACATAAAAACCAAGTCTATATGAAACTTCCAAAAAGAAAGGTAATATTCTTCGAATACTTTATACTTAAATTTGAAAATAAAGAGTAAGAATACTTCAAAATTGCATTTAGAAACTATGTAAGAAGACAAAAATTAATTTAAGGTATTCATATTTAAATAAATAGAAAGTTAAGTAGAATAATATAAATACGATATTTAATCTATTTTAAATATCATCAATAATTGGAATAAGATTAATATAATACTTTTGATCTTGAATATTTAAATATTAATTTATATGAAGTATTTGAATAATATAAAGATCATGAGCATAATTTACTTAAATTAAAGATACCTGTAGACTTTTAATAAAAAATTATAGTTTAAATAATTTGATAATATAAAAATAGAATAGAAGGATAGAAATAAAAAAAATTGAAAATTAGTTTGTAAGATTACAAGAGTGTATACTAATCTGTTGTATTTGACTGATTTTGATAATATAACTAATGATGATAAAACATATTAAATGATGATCATCCTTAATATGGTTACTTACGACCCCGTTAAAGTAATAAATCTCTTTCAGCCCGTTCAGCAGCCAATTTTTCTTATTTTTCTCTTTCTTCTTTATCTTTCTTTTCTTTAGCCTAAATACAATATAGATTATATAATTACTAATTAAAGATTGGTTTATTTTGTGGCAACTCCCATATCAGTTTTTCTTGATGCAAAGTTATCTTAAAGCATTCCTCTAAATCTATTAATTTCTAATGTTTATTAAGCATATGCCATTTCTTCTGCTTTTTCTTATTCCTACCTTCTTTTCTTCTCATCTATTTATTCAAATATCCATTATTTTTATTGATCTTTATTAAATTTATTACGAGAATCAAATTCTTTATTTTAAGTATTATAAATTACATAAATCTTCCCCATCAAATTCCTTAAGACCACTAATACCTTATCTTTACTACCAATCAGGATGTTCTCTAAAAATGGTTTCCTTTGTTCGTTTCATATTTTAATTTATATATATATATAATTTATATAAAATTTATATATCAATTTTCTTCTTCAAATTACTCTTCTAAATATTCTTAAGATTAAAATATAATAGTATACCTTCTTCATTAATTTCTTTAGTTGGATGTAATTCTGAAGCTAGACTAGCCTTAATATCACTATTGCTTCTATTAACTTTATTTACCAAACTTGAAGTAGGTCTACTATTTGGTATTTATCGACTATTTATATATTTAATAATTATATTATACTCTTGTCTGACTGGAAAATTGCCTTTATTTTCTACTTTCTCCCATTAATCATTTTCATCATCATTATCTTCTTCAAAGACTCCATCTACATTCATATTATAATCATCATCATCTTCCTAATATTAATATTAATCTTAATCTTCAATATGAGCATCATTTAAATCAGGTTAATATTCATCATTATTCTCTTCTTCATTATTTTCTTATTCGCCTTCCTCAAAATTAAATGCATATTAATTGTATTCTTATTTTTATTAATATTATTCATTTCGTTTATGCTATTATTGTTCTTGTTCCTCATCTTCATCTTCTTCATTCTTTTAAATAATCATTAATTATAATGGATCTGGATCAGAATGACTTCTCACTAATCCTCCTTTTATAATATATTGTTAAACTGATTTTTATGGAATTCCATCATTAACTTAATTTATATCAATTTCTTCCACCTTCTCTTCTTTTGTCTCCAATAATGCTATCATCTATTCTTACTTACTTCTCAACTATTTATAAAAAAAGAATCCTTTCTCTTATCTAATTGTATTTAATACTTAAAATATCTTACCCTTAATTATCGTAATATTATTATAAATCTTCAGCTCTGACATCTTCTTCATTTTCTAATTTCTCTAATTCTCTTAAGTATTTTATTAATACTTCTCCTTTTAATGTATTCAAATTCTTTGATTATAATATAATCTAATCATTTTATAATCATTATTTACTTTCGAAATTAAATAACTCATCTCTAATTCTCTTATTTACTTTTTTTAAAGTATCTTTTATATTTAATTTATAAAATCCTTTCTTGTATAAACATTCTTTCCCATCACTCTTTCCACTTAACTTAATGATCCTTTAAACAATTTAGCTAAACATTATTCTAACACTCGTCTCTCTACTTAATCATAACATGCCCAAAATCCAATTGCTTTAAAAAACATTCCTCTTATTAATCCATTATCTTATGCAATTTAAACGTTTGGACTATAAGGATACTTTTGTTAAGTAGATTCTATCAAATATCTTGCAAAATTATTAGCATCTGTTTTATTTAATAAAAATGGATCATTTATCAATTTTTCTGTTAATTATCCTATTGTAGTTTATTAAGAAGATTAATTGAAGAGTAAAGTATCAATTTAATTAGAATGCAATGACAAAGCTATTAATTTATATTTGATCTCTTATATTATATGGTCTACTTCATCTAATTCAATTGGTTTAGTGATTTATTCAGCTGGTTTAGCACTCTAAACACGTTTAGCTACTTTATTATGTGTTTTGAGAGTAGGACTAAATTTTGGTTATTGAAGCAATTTCTTTTCTTTTTCATATTATTCTTTTAATCTTGTAAGTTATGTTTTTAGTTCAATCAATTGTTTATCTTTCTATTTTAATTTGGTTTACATATTAGAATCAAGTTTAGTAAATTCTCTATCAAGATCTTAATAAGCTGAAATTAGCTATTATAATTGTGCTTAAAGATTTTTATTATCAGTTTCAAATGATTCTATATCTTGTTACATTTATTTAATTAGATTGTCTCTTTATGAAATCATATCCTATAATTTTTATTAATCATGTTCTTTTTATTGTGCATATAAATTTTATTGTACTAGTTCCTCAATAACTTATTTTAATCTAATAGTTTCATCTTGGAACATTTTACGTTCTATTTCCATTTCTGTAAGTTTTGTGTATTTAGCAGACTTTTTGAGAGTTATCATTTCTTATTCTCTTTAATCAAGATTTAATCGCAATTCTTTAATTTAACCTTTGAAACTAAGAATCATTTGATTATCAGTGCTTGGCTTAGCATAAAATCGTTTCATATTTCCAGTAGTTTCTACTTCTTCTATAATTTTTTAACATTTTTATAAGTCTTTCTAGATGATGATTGGAATATTACTTCTAAATTAGTGTTTCTTGTTCTAAGTTTAATATTTTCATCTTTCAATTAATTCATAAGTAGTTTAAGTTAGAGACTCTCTTCAAATAGTTTTTCACTTTCTTTAACTCGATATTGTGAAACGTTGTGTAGATTGGGCTACTTATAAGGACTTAATATAATGTAAAAATAGTACTTCTTATGAAAGGATACATTTTTATCACTGAGATGAGAAACATTTTGTTATGCACTAGAGGGTCTGATAGATCTATGATTCATTATATTAATAATTATAATGGATTTTAACGATTTGATATTTCCTAGTCCAAGAGCAAGTTATAATGAGAGTTTAGGTGGTTTATATTATATAGATGAATAAATATGCGGTTAATAAACAAAAATGAGTAATGAACTAAAAACATAAAATGGTACTATAAAAGTGAAGATTGTTGAGGAATAGAAACATCATAAAGTGATAAAGAGAAGAAGGATTGTTACTTTATTATAATAAGAATAGAAATTAAATAAAGGATTGATAGTATATTTTCATGCAAATGCAGAAGATCTTGGAATGTGTAAGTCTTTAGCATTTCTATTAGGAACAGATTTGGATGTATTAATTTGATGTTTGTAATTAGATGGCTTCACTTTCGATAGAATATCCAGGTTATGGAATATATAAAGGGAATTGTAGTAGTGATACAATTATAAAAGATGCTTATTAAGTGATGGAACATATTCTAAAAGTATTAAAGGTTAAAGAAGAAAAGATAATTATAATTGGTAGATCTATTGGATGTAGTGTAGCTATAGAAATGAGTATTAGATATAGAAAAATTAAATCTCTTATTTTATTAAGTGCATTTACATCTATATGTGATGTAATATAAGATAATAGTTTTATTTGGGTATCCAAATTAGTAAAGGAAAGATTTAGAAATTTAGAAAAGATGCATAAAGTAGTTTGTCCAACATTATTTATACATGGAAAAGATGATAGTTTGGTTAATTATAAACATTCTATTGAATTAATGAAAGAATGTTAAGGATATGTATAATTACAATTATTGGATGGAATGAATCATAATTAGTTCTCTGTCTAAACACATATCATTTAACCAATTTAATAATTTTTGATGAAAATAAAATGACAATAAATTATATGATTATTAATTTAAATAATAACAATAAATGGAATCAGAGTTTGCTGTAGGTGATAAATTTGCCTCTTATTTTTCAGACTTTTACGATCAAAGAATACTTATCTCAATCTATTTGTTATTTCCATTAATTTTGATATTCTTCTTACTTAGTTTAAGGTAATCGATAAAAATATTTAAGAGATTTAGAAAAACTAGAGAATTAAGAGACATATGACAAATAGCATACAATATATTAACCAAATATATATAATAATTTAGTGAATTAATGGACTTAATAAGGAATTCAAAATTTGAAATAAGATAAACGATATATTGACTGGTAATTGAAAAAAGAGAGGGAAATAGAATTAAGATCATAAGAATCAAGTAAATTATCATTTCGATAATTATCATAATGATATTTTTAGTATATATATATATATATATCATTAATCATTATCACTTAAAGCTCCTTCTTCTTCATCGATTTTAGTAAGTAATCCACTAATTTGATAATCTAACAACTCTTTAAGTTTATCTTACATAAATTCATCCAAATCTATAATTATATAAATAATTAAAAGTACTATGTTCTTATGCAAATCTAGCAGCCAATTCAGTCGATTGATCTCCTTCATAAACAACAATTCTCTCAGTTTTATTAGGTCCTAGATTAACATCAACAAATAATAATGGAATCCTTTCATCTTATTCTAAACAAACTAATAACATTAAAAACTTACAACTGCCTGATCTAACTCCGCTCTAGTCTTCTTTAGGTTAAGATTCATCCATATGGAAATTTTAAGATTAATGTGTATTCATTTATTATGATTCTTAAGATTGTAAACTTTTCTATCTAGATGATTATGTAGTCTATTTTAATTGATTCTAAGATTAGCTTCTACTTACTTTTGTTTATTAGCTATTTTGTTATTATTGTATAGCTTTATTACTTTTATATCCTCTTTCTAACATTCCTTAAACTTCCTCTCTCCTTTATCTAGCTTATCTCATTCTCTATACTGTTTTATCGACATCTTTATTCACAAAATGATTTTCTTATTTCGATTACTAACTTACCTTATTTACTAAATCTGGTTAGAAAGTACATTCTTCTTACTATTTTTCATATTCTATTTCTTCTGTTGTTCTATCTCTCTTTTATGTAGTTGGTTTAGCTAATGAATACAATTGTAAATATTTTTCTTATTTCTTTTACTGACTCTTTCTTTCATCATTATTTTAATTATTTCCATTATTGATCAATTAAGGTTTAAATGGACATTTTTCTAATTATTATTATAATATTTCCTATTTCTTTTATTCCTTATGGTATTCCACGGCCTTCTTTTACAATACTAATAAATCTGCATGTGTTATTTATCCATTTTCAGGTATAGTTACTTTAATCAATTAATTATCAATTAAATTAGCTGTCTCCTCCAATACTTTCTCTCTAAACTAATTAGCCAATTATTTAGATTATGGTAATATTTATGGTTTATATGGGTTTTCATCTTTCCAATTAGTTTTTTTCAATTCTTCTGAACCTAATCTATTCCTATATAAAATATCAAATTATTTCTATATTTTTTTTGTTTCTTCAAATGTAAATATAATATTTCCATCTTTATCTATAGTACCTAACTTTGGTCTATCATTTGGTTAATGAGCAGTTACAATCTTATGTTATTATGGTTATATAGATTTCTAATAATTAGGAACTTCTTCATTTTAAACAGATGGTAATTCTTTAATCTTAAAATCAGTAATTCCAATTAAAGTTAATAAAAATAAACATAAATTTCTTTTACTGATTCCTCCTAATTCATCTCCTCTTAAAACAGTCCAGATTTCACATAATAATGCTCGCTCTTCAGATAAACGAAGATTCTCATATTCAACAGCCTTTTCATTACTATCTTTAACCTATAATTAATTCAAAAATCCTAATCTTTATAATATTTCTCCTAATTTCAAATAATCAATTGAAAATGATACATTTGATGGTCTATCTTACCCTGTTTAATCAAATATCCAATCTATTACTGTTTCAAATTCTCTTATAAATTTTTAAGCAACTATTTTCTCACTGTTATTTGATGTATATTTAACATTTACAGTTACTACTTTAGTTGTGTTTTTCTTTTCTTATACTTCTTTCTATTTTTATAATCTTCTTTATGCATCTTAATAGAGAATGTCTTCTACTTTTTAATTACGAACTATATTTTAAGACTTTTATTAAATTAGTGGTTTATAATCAACTGTAGATTCTGATTATTAAAACATTGGTTCTGATGGTTTCTTTTAATTCAAATTATACAATCTTTCATAAGTAGGAATTGTTTCATCTCTTTTTGAAAAATTAAATTCATTTGTCTTTGGATGATATGGATGCTATAAATCCCGTTCCAATTCATTTTATTTTATTTATTCTAATTTCTATTCTACTTTCATCACATGATTCTATTGATCAAATAAAAATTAATATAGTGATCTTTTTTCCTAACCATCATTAAGAGTTTAAGGAGCAAATGAACATGGACGTAATTCTTCTTATTCATAATATTCTTTCAACATTTAATTGTTCTACTTAAATATTTCAGCTTCTTAATTGAGTCTTTCATAAAGTATTTCATTATTCACTTAAGGCATCAATTTCTTTGAAATCATAGGTTTTGGTAAGTTAGAATTCTATATTTTAAGTGGAGTATCATCAGGAAGATCATCACCTTTTAAAATTGCAGGACACACAGTCATATGTTATTGTTTTGAGTTCATTTTTAAAATATCAGTTAAGAAAATAAAAAAATATATATAAATATAATGAATAAATCAGTTTTCGAAAAGTCATATGTACTACAGAGTATTAGTGAGGCTGATAAGCTGAAATTCTATAATAGTACAAGATTATGGCACACTAAATTTAATTATTAACTCTTTGATACTGAAGAACTCAAAAGTGTTCATTTTGAAGACAATAAAAAGTTTATAATGATGATTGAGTCTATTTAATATTTCAACAAAGAAGTAATAATTCATTTAATTTATTTTAGATATAATCATCATTAAAATAAAGTAGAATACATCCAAATTTCCCTACTCGTTACAATTTTTACTAAAATATTGTAAATTTATTAAGAGAAGCAGCCATAGCTAAAGGGAGAGATGCTTAATTGATTTTTCTAGAAAAAGTTTACACATTTTATGTATAGAATAATAGATCAATTATGAAAACATAAGATAAAGAAACAGGTAATACAAGTTCGAGTGAAGATTCAAGATTTATCATTTAAGATCAGACTCAGCTATTACCTAGTAAATAAATAGATGAGTAACTACTGGATTATAAAGATAAAAAAAGAACCATGCATAAACATTGCGATCCACCTCAATTAAGGTATTTGAAGTCATCTTTTTTTTAGATTAAAATTATATAAAAGAAGACAATTTAATTAATTAAATAATCTAATACCTGAACAAAACGGAAAAAGTACATTCCCTAAAGTTGTTTCCTAGCCTTAAAAAGAATAGGATGATAATCTATAATAAAGTTAAGAATAAACAGAAGGTGAAATTGTAATAGATGGAGATTTACTAGGGAATGAGAATGAAGATGATGAAAAGAAAAAAATTGTTATTAATATGGTACCTAAGATCAAAGTATTTTAAAAAGATGATGTTAATTTAGAATAAAAAGATTTGAATCAATAATTTGAAAACAGATAAAATTTTTAGTTATATTAACCATCAAATTAAGAGATTGAATTGAATCTATAAAATAGATGGATTTAATTTAGATAAAAAGAAGCTTTAGAAAAAAAAATGGATGAAGAAATTGTCAATTCTATGAATGTTTGGTCTAGAAATAAAGCAAGAATAGAAAAGGAAATAGATCGAAGAATTGACTCTCAACATTATGGAAGTAGATATGCGGATATTGATAAAAGAAGAACCTAATCAGTTGGATAATCATATTATTAAGATCCAAAAGTAGTCAATCTTAATCCATTACCTACAATCATTTAATCATAGATTAGATAACAAGATTCTGTTATTGATACTTCATTTTTAGAAAGCAAAGCATCTGCCCAAAGAGTTATTAATGCTAGAAGAGCATATAAAGATTTGTTGAATCTAAGTGCTGCAGATACCTAGCTAGAAGAATAACCTTCTTCCTTATCTATTTATGCAAACAAACTTAGATCGAATTCTCTTCATAATAAATTCTCTCAATTACTATAAAGAAATAGCCCTTCAAAGATGAATGAATCCAATTTATAAGAAGTTTTAGATATCAAAAATAGATTCGCTAAACATAAAATTCCTATTTAAATTAATTCACTTTTATCCGGTATTATGGTACCAACATATCAAGAAGACTTCCATAACAAATTAATGGATATAGGATAATCTATGTTAAATAATCCTTTTGAAGAGAAAAAAGGAAAAAAAAAGAAGAAAAAAAAGGAATGATATTTATAATATTAAAATTCAATACTTTCTTAGTTTTATATATCCAATAACAACGTCTTTTATAACTTAATCAATCATTTTCGATATAGAATAATTACACACAATATTTTGAATATTTATATAAGGTCTCTTTATGAAAAGTAATGTTGTAGAATTTAAATATCTACTCTGATTAATAAAATTTAAAATTATAATATATGTACAAATAAATTAGGATATTCAATAAATTTTATTTCATTCATATATTCATATATTGAAATGATTAAAATGAATGTTGGAGAAATTCAACAAAAATTAGAGTTGATATTGACTACATATATAACATTGAAAACTATTTAATTATTGTAACAGAAATATTGTTTCTTAATTCAATTTTAGTGATTGGATTTTAGTATATGTGTTAAATAACCAAAGAGTATATAATAATCAATAAAAATCAATGGAAGGATTAAATTAATAAAATCATTTATTTTTCATATACATGACTTCTTATATGCAATCAACATTTAGTATTTAGACAAAAGCTAATTTTGACTTTCTACAATAGCCAAGTGATTCTGATTCAGATAGTGAATCAAAGTAAATGTTAAAAGGAGCATAAAAGTAAGTTTAATAGAGAGATATTAAAAAATAAAAGAAACTGATTGATATAGATTCTATAAAAAATGAGTTAGGAGCTAGACCAATAATTGAGAATGTGAATCCTGATAATTATTATCGTAGATATTCTCGAAAGAGTATAGGTGCATTATAGAATATGATAATTCCAACATCATCTATTTTAATTGAATAATTAAGTTAAATAAAAAAGATTAAGGAGATTAGAAAGGAAGTGCCTCCAGAATTGTTAGGTCGTATATATTCAGAATTTAGGTATAAGGATTGATTTTACTGAATAGGTTTTAATCAGTGCCTTAATTGAGTCCAGTTTATAGATAAGGTGATCAAAATAAACGATTTTATATAATATTGGAAGGCAAAGTTGTAGTGATGAAGCCAAAAGAGAAGATGGTTGGATCTAACAAATTGGATTATAATGAAAATTCAGTTACGAAACCTGTTAAGAAGACAGAGTAGGATCCCTATGGATTGAATAGTGTATTTCCAGACTACATTATTTTAAAAGTACTATTTTAAGGAGAGTATGTAAATAAAGAGCTATAAAAAGTTCATTTGGAGAAGCTGCTATTAAGTTAGACACTGCTAGATCATCAACTGTTTATGCGTTAGAATAGACTCATTTACTATATTTGAGTGAAATGGCATATTTAGAATTAATTAATCCATATATGAGTGCTGTATTAGATAATAAAATTAATTACTTTTCTAAAACTTCATTATTTTAGTCGGTTGAACCTTCAGAATTTATGGGTATTATTCTAGAATGTAAATTAATAACATATCATGCTGGTGACATTCTATTTAAAGAAGAAGATAAATCCACTCATATATATTTTATAATTGATGGTGAAATTGAATTGTCTAAAAAGGTTGGAGAAAAAACTATAATATTATCATCTTATGGATAATATTAAGCATTTGGAGAAGTCGAAATTATGTTAAAAATTTCTCGTTTTACTAAAGCCAAAGTTATTACTCCTAAATTACACGTCTATAGAATTAGAAAGAGACAGTTTTTTGATAATTTAGGTAATTATCAAATATTTGAAAACATGAAAAAAAACTCAGATGTTATATTTAAACATTGGTAAAATAGATGTGAAGCTGCTTAAATGACAATCCAGTAATAAGATGAAGTAACTTCATATAATTTATTATTAGATCTATAAAGCTGCTTAAGATGTCTAATAAAACAAACCGAATTTTTAAGCTAAACATATTCTTAATAAGAAATTAGTTGAATCTTAAGGATAGAAATTGTCCTAGGTTAAATTGTTATAGAATATAACAGATGAAGATTTAAGGAGCATAAAAATAGTTAATACTCAGAATCAAAGTGTATTATAAAAAGTGTATAGCAATACATTACAATAATATTAAGCAAGATTATTGAAGAAACCATAAGTAGTTCAATAATCTTAGGATGAAAATTGCATACGAAATTAATTTACAATAAAAACACAAGCTGATTATTTGAATGAAAATAGCACAGAGTTTAATTCATTAACAACAAGATCCTCTTAACCTGTGATTAAGACTGAGAATGTACATTAATCTTATGGATAATTGCCATCAATTCATATTACTTAAAATCCTCCATTATAGATAGTATTTGATACTCTTAGTACACTTCCTAGAGTTCATAAGGATAATCTTGTTTTGTCTTTAATGTATTAATAGGCATTCAAATCTGAGAATCCAGAGAAGAAAGCAAAATAGATTTAAAAAGTAATTTAGGCATCTTATAGAAATGTATAAAAATAATTTGAATCAAAAACACATCATCAAAGTGAAATTACTAATATTAGTAATAATTAATCGATAGATAAGCGAAGATTGAAATATAAATCAAGTAAAACAAATGATCTCAATTCAACCAGAAGTAATTATGTGAGTTTTGTTCAATAAAAATAATTATGTTCGTAAATAAATTGAAAAAGTTTTAAATATTTTCTTTGTTTTTCAAAATATATATTCAACATACAAAAGATGAAAAAGTATACTGAAAAAGATTTTGAAGAGAAAGTAGAGAAAGCAGTTGATAAAGTACATAAAATATTGAATTTTTTAGTACTTAACCAAGAAAGCACAATAATAATAATAAAAGGGATATTTGAACTATAATAATGAATGCATAATTGATAAATTGATTGAGAAGGAGAAATTGATGACAAGCATAGCTAATATATTTACAGAAGTTGCTAAGATTACTTGTAATGAATTAGTTGAGCCAATAAAATAATAGATTGAATTATTAGAATCTGATTTAGCTAAGATTAAAGAACTTGTAATTAAAAGTTTTAATCAAGTAAATATTAAGTTTACAATAGTTTACTCCAGTTATGAAGAGTGTTGGAGTATCTGAAAAAGTAATTGAAAGTGGAAAACAAATAGAAACAGAGGAAATTGATAGAGTTAGAAAAAAATTACAAAACCATGACAACATGATTACATTATTAATGGACACATAGTAATATATATCTTATTATTTTGTAGAGCTTAAATGAAATAAACATTATAGATATTTAATACTTCTGATGACATACAATCAAGTATAATAAGTTGTTTAAGTATTAGAATTACTTTCTTAATTCGATGACAAAATATATTAACTGAAATAAGAATTAAATGATACCAGAGTTAATGACACTGTTAGATAAGTCAAAGGTATTATCATACATATTATAATTAATAGAAAAATGCAATGCTTGTTGGGTAGTTCTTGGTGATGTTAATGAAAGAGTTGAAAAAATGCAAAAGTATTTGGATGAATAAATGGAAAAGAAGAAGTCTGGAGGACTCTTGTAAAAAGCTGCTTCTTATATAAAAGCATCATGAATATAAATTGTGTATTATATAGTTATATATTATAATTAAAAATGGTAAATTTCGAGAGTATTGTTTATAGAATCATTGAAGTAGTATGATAAAAAAGGAAATGTTAATAAAAATATATATTCTAATAAGTATAGATTAATAAGAATAAAATGTAAAGTGATAGGATTAATATTAATAAAGAATTAAGAATTAAGAAATAAGAACAAAGAAAGATTATTATTATAATTAATTTTTTATTAATATTTCATTTTTATTATTATGTGAATACTTTGTCATTTAAAAATTCTCTTAAAGCCTAAAATAATAAATGAATAATACCGCAGGACACATTTCAGCATCATCTGAACTTTATTTAGCCCTGGCTATTTCTTAATCAATACAATATAAATGAAGAATGCTTTCAATAGCAACTCCAAAGATATTAGTAAAGACAGTGGCAATAACAAAAATGATGATTGCTAACAATAATGTTGGATTATATGGATTGATAACAATGCCTCCAAATAATAATTATGGTAATTCTGAAATAGATCTACAAAAGAACATTGAAATAGTAAGTGTAATCATAATTCTTGCTATGTTATTTATTAAATCTCCTAATCCGACAACTTACATAACAATAGATGGATTATTAGACATAATATCTAAGGCTTTTTTAGCAGCATGAAAAAAGCCATCTCCAGTCATATTAATTTAGACATAGATATTCTGATTCAAATATTATAAAAATCTTTCAAAACACCAAATACAACAAGCACAACATTTGAAACAAAATTAACAACCATCTGTATTTCTCATATATTCTGCATTTCTCTATTTTAATTATTATTAATATTGTACATAAAGATATTCAAAAAATGATCTAAATATAGATACTAGACCTAATAATAAAGCTCCCAATACAATTGACCCAATATGATAAACAAAACACCTTTTCCATGATGAATTGAGTGGTTATACATGTTCTTATCCACTCTTTCCTTGTTACCAATACCATACACAAACAGAACCTGCTATAATGAAACTATTAATTCCTATAACTAATGCATAAGTCCAAAATGTGGTAAATAATAAATAGAATCCACTAAAATATTCAATAAATGTGTATTTCAATTATCCAAAAGGCCACTATTAAGGTTTATTTCCAGATGTACCAGTTGAACATATTAAACTAATTTTAATATAAGTATTACAAAGCAATATAGATAAATGTTATTGTTAAAATTAGAGTAGCAAACGTTGAGAAAATAGGAACTATAACTATACTGCCATTCTTACTAACAAAATCAGATGCAGACTTTATTATTGCTATAGCTAAGTTTATTCGTTTATAAAAACAAATTGTCAATATTATTGTACCTAAACCCAAACACCACCATATTATGGATTGCAAAAGGTAACCTGTAGGAGATAAACTTATTGTATAGCTTGAGCTAATTATATATATTCAATAATTACGCTGCTCTATATTATAAATAACTGTAATAACCGAAAAAAATGGATAGTACAACAATGATAAAAATTATAAACCATATTACAGTCTTGCTACACCATTTTAAAAGGTATGTAAATGCTAAAGTAAAACAAGTACCAAGCAAAATGAAAATAAATAAAGTATATTTTGCTCCTTCAATATCAGAAATTAATTGATGTAAGAAACCCATCTTTAAAGCTTCTTAAACAATTTTATATTATTAAGGATCTGTTGGTATGCAGACCCTTTGATCAACTTTTTATATAAGGTATTAATATTACATTTAACAGTGTTATATAGTGTAGCACTATTACACGAAGTTACTACTGAATTTACAGCGCATTTAAGTTATGAATTTTGGGTTGTAGAAGTAGGTGCTGTTGTTGTTGCAGGAACAGTTGTAGATGTTGGAGAATTGAATTATAAATGTTTGTGTTTGGCAACTTAAACACTTGGACATTCTTGAACGCAAACAGTCTTCCATAAGAAATCGCTATTTAGAGTAGTGAAATAGATGAATGGATAATCTAACAAAGCACCTATTCCACATGGTCTATCTTTTGATATTTATTTAAATTTACGATCAGGATCATATCCTCTGTCTATCAATTATACATTGCCAGTTTGATTCATGTACAAACCAATACCAAAGACACTCAATAATATGCCTGCATAAAGAAAGGCACAAAATACATTTGTGCAGGATCTTCTACTATTATCGATAGGACCATTTGAAAGGTTAAGCATCAAATTATTTCCATCTTGTAATTACATTTTTTTAATTAATGTTTGATATAGATATACCAATGAAGGAAAAAATCAATGAAGTAGTACACTAATTTTAACCAAAGTTTAGATCAATTAACAAAATATTAATTGATAAGGAATTAAGTGAACCAATTACTACAAATTCATTCCATTAGATTGAACTATTAAGAATTGTTATTACTAAGAATGTATTAAACATTTTAAGAATACAAAACATTGCTGTGATGGATTGCTATTTAATTCAGAGATTCCTATGTAACATGTGGATGGTTATAATCAGAAGTTATAAGAAGATTAAGATAATTAAGATTAAATTATGATCCAGCTGACATTATTGGATTAAAGACTAATAATATACATCTAGATTATCAAATGAGTTGTATGTATTACTATTTAACTAATTTGGATGAAGTTCTTTTAATGTCTTAAATTCATTAACAATTAAAACAAACAATTAATTTACATAGATTTAAAATAATATAATAATTAGCAACAGGGAGGTTATCTGTAGTATGTTTAGTAAAGAAATAAAGAGAATGGATCATTTTATGCAATGAAAGTGATTGATTGATAAAGATTAATAATTGAAAGAGATTAGAATTTAATGAGAGATTAATTCTAACAAAACTAAATCATAGAAGAATTATAAAACATATTTTGTGCATTCTAATCAATAATATATATTAAATTATCTCCAGAAATCTAAATTTTACTTTGTATTTAATTATTGTCCTTGTGTGGAGAATTGTATTCCTATTTGAGAAAGTAAAATAGATTTATTGAAAAAAGGTGAAATGGTTATTTATTCAAATTTTAGAAAGATTATAATATTTTTCATTCTTAAAACATTATTTATATAGATATAAAGCTAGAAAATATATTGATTATTTAAGATGGCTATCCAAATTCGTTGATTTTGTACTTAGTAAAATAATTAATAATAAAAATCATTAAATTATTGTACATTTGGCACCAAAAATGGTAGAATATAATTATACTTAAGATTATTATTAATTAGGTGTGATATTTTATGGAATGATAGTTGGTATTCCACCATTTTATGTAAAAACTAGATCGGATATGATTAAGAATATCTTTTAAAAATCTAAAATTTCTTTCAAAACAAATTATAAAATTTTATTATTAAATTATGTAATTAAGACAAAACAAAGAAATTATATGAGAAATGTAAATATATATAATTGTATTTGTAGAAATCATGATGGGTTTGGTAAATTTTTATCAATTAAAAATTAAAAATGCTTAGATATTGAGAGCAGTCTTCAATGCCANCAAAACATTGCTGTGATGGATTGCTATTTAATTCAGAGATTCCTATGTAACATGTGGATGGTTATAATCAGAAGTTATAAGAAGATTAAGATAATTAAGATTAAATTATGATCCAGCTGACATTATTGGATTAAAGACTAATAATATACATCTAGATTATCAAATGAGTTGTATGTATTACTATTTAACTAATTTGGATGAAGTTCTTTTAATGTCTTAAATTCATTAACAATTAAAACAAACAATTAATTTACATAGATTTAAAATAATATAATAATTAGCAACAGGGAGGTTATCTGTAGTATGTTTAGTAAAGAAATAAAGAGAATGGATCATTTTATGCAATGAAAGTGATTGATTGATAAAGATTAATAATTGAAAGAGATTAGAATTTAATGAGAGATTAATTCTAACAAAACTAAATCATAGAAGAATTATAAAACATATTTTGTGCATTCTAATCAATAATATATATTAAATTATCTCCAGAAATCTAAATTTTACTTTGTATTTAATTATTGTCCTTGTGTGGAGAATTGTATTCCTATTTGAGAAAGTAAAATAGATTTATTGAAAAAAGGTGAAATGGTTATTTATTCAAATTTTAGAAAGATTATAATATTTTTCATTCTTAAAACATTATTTATATAGATATAAAGCTAGAAAATATATTGATTATTTAAGATGGCTATCCAAATTCGTTGATTTTGTACTTAGTAAAATAATTAATAATAAAAATCATTAAATTATTGTACATTTGGCACCAAAAATGGTAGAATATAATTATACTTAAGATTATTATTAATTAGGTGTGATATTTTATGGAATGATAGTTGGTATTCCACCATTTTATGTAAAAACTAGATCGGATATGATTAAGAATATCTTTTAAAAATCTAAAATTTCTTTCAAAACAAATTATAAAATTTTATTATTAAATTATGTAATTAAGACAAAACAAAGAAATTATATGAGAAATGTAAATATATATAATTGTATTTGTAGAAATCATGATGGGTTTGGTAAATTTTTATCAATTAAAAATTAAAAATGCTTAGATATTGAGAGCAGTCTTCAATGCCATTCTGAAGAATTCAATATATTGACATTATCTTAATCATCTTCGAGATATTCATTATGATGTGATGATGTAGAAAAATTCTCTATTTTTTATTATAAATATTAATGATTCTTTTCAATTAATATTTGTTATAATTTAATTTAAATTTAATATAAAAAATAGTTAAAATTTAATTGAATAATTCATCAATAGTTTAGATGAATTTGAGAGCGAGAGAACTTGATCTAAAAAGATACACAAAAAATATTTATTAATCAAAATGTTAAAATTATTAATTAAAACTATTAATAAATATACCATTAGTAAATTTTAAGATCTAATCAAAAAGATATCATAAATGCCTTTAAAAATATAGTATTTTCCTAAAGTTGTCTCATTAATATGATTTCACTATAAAAAATTGGTTGGCAATAAAAAATAGATTATATATCCAAAATTTTGGATTATTTATGAAAAAGATAAGGTTAAAAATGAATAGGAAATAAAAAAATTATTACTGAAAGAATTTTAAAAGTTAGTGATAAAATTATTACTTATTTTTTCTTACTAAATTTTATAGAAATGAAAATGATTTATCGTAAACCTTTTTCAACATATACTTTGTAAGGATAATTTTGAATAATATATAATTACTCGTTCTAATCACTACATTAGGCCTAAAATAATAAATTATAATCTTCTTTGTAGACTAATTCTGAATTAAATAATGATATTTATGAATAAACCATAATAAATAATTTATATACTAAGAGTATTCTAAAAATTATTATTTGAATTTCAAAATGATTAAAATTTACATTATCCAAAGATGTTTAAATTGCTTTAATGGTCTAATCTAGATAGCAATATCTCAAATTTTGACTGAAAGATCTTTAATGATTAAATAATTATGAGAAATGAGAACAGAAGAGAATAAAATAAAATCCAATTAATTGAAAAAATAGATGTTAAAAATTCACCATTAAAATAATTAAATTCATCAATAAATGAAGATAGGTAGAAGAGATTTGATAATAGTTAAGATATAGATATACAACAATAAAGAGCAGAAAGGATGAAGTTGTAAAATGAATGACTCTTATTAAAATTAGAGAGTGATTAGAAATTATTTATAATTAGATTATTTTTTAATATTAAATAAATATAATTTAATGGGGGTTGATGTAATTTTAATCGAGAATGTTCGTAAGAATGGTTTTTGATAAATCTTAAAGAAAAGAAGAACATTCGATAATTTGTTAATCTTGGTTATAGAAGTTGTTAATTAAAATACAGTATTAATAATGTCAAAAAGTCGTAGTCAATCTTCAATACCAGCATTTTTATAGAAAACTTATGATATTTTGGAAGTATTTTCTATAAATAAAATAAAGAATCCTTAATTACAAGATATTGTTGGTTGGAATGAAGAGGGTACAGGTTTTTTGGTGAAGAATGTAATAGGTTTTTAAGACCAAGTTTTACCTATGTATTTCAAACATCGAAATTTTGCATCATTTGTTAGATAGGTGATTGTTTAGAAATAATGATGATTAGATGAATATGTATGGATTTCATAAATCAAGAAGTGATTAGAAAGAGAATGAATTTATTCATCCACATTTTAAAAAAGATTAAAAGTAATAATGAATATTTAGATTAGAAATTTACTTAAAAAAATAAAGAGGAAATCAGGAGAACATGGAGATGATTATTTAGCTTTAATAGAATTGAAACCTTATAGAAATCAAAATATATCAGATGTAAAATAATAATAGATAAAATAAAAATTAGAAATAAATACAATAAATAGTGTCCAAATAGTAAGAGTTAGAGAAGGTGTGTAAAATTTTAATAGAACAAAATAACAAAATACTATAATGTAATTAATAATTAAGAAATCAATTGGTTCAAGAAAAGTAAATATAGTTTTGATGAGATTACTAGATTTAATGGCAATAAGAAGTTATAGAATTTAAAGGATTACTTCGTAGGTTAATAATAATTATAGGATAATTGTTTAGAAGTAAATAATGTATTAAATAAAAGAAAGATACTTTTGAGGAATTGATATAATCAGATGATGAAGAATTATTAGTTCCTAATATAAAGAAGGTAAAAAGAGATGATTCTGATATTACAATAGAAAAGATGGATTAATTATATATATAACAACCTTTGATGTTAACTAATAGTTTAATTGATAATGATGGAATGATTTAATTGTTGAATGATCAACAATTGAATGAGTTATACTTTGATTGAATTATATTTATGTTAGAAAAATATATATTTTAATTTATGAATTAATAATTGGGATCTTATGTTAAATTCTTCCATATAATAAGAGAATTAGGAGATAGCAATTAAATAGATGTAAAATAGAAATAAATTCTTAAAGTAAATTTTACAACAAAAGAAAAAAAACTAATGAATATTTTGAATGATTTAAGTAACAATCACATAAAATGTTTAGATGATGAAGATGAAGAGGAAATCAAATATAGTTTGTTAAACTATTTAAATGAATTACCAAAAGAGAAGTAAGAAATACAAAGATAAATGAAACGAACTAGATCTAGTATTACAGATGTTGATCTCATTAAAGGTGTTCATTATGATGAACTTAAATATACAGATACAGTGGCAGATATGGAAAAAGCATTAAAATTAATTACTCATTTCCATTCTAAATTAAAAGATGGATAAACTATTGATCCTAAAGTCAATGAAATCTATGATAATATTCATAATCTTTTTAGTTAAACCTCACCTTAGAATGTAAATTCTCCCGTTCTTTTAGGAAGAGGTTAATCACTACCTTTAGATATTAATTATCAAATTGAAACTGAACTTAGTGAAGCATATAAATAGGTCAAATTTCAATTCGCTAATTATATGAAGAGTCATTTATTACTTATGGATGAAACTGTCTCTTACAATACAATATTTAGTTTACTTAAAGAATTAAGCAAAAATCTTTTGAATTGTGATAACTTTAGCTTCTTTATATTAAACTCAAATAAAGAAATGGAACTGTACTAATCCAAAACTGACAGCATTGAATAAGTTCCTATAGATAAATCCATAAATGATGAATTAGAAAGTCTATCTGAAAACAAAATCTTTAAATTCTCTAACAATTCATCTTTTTGTTCTAAATTAATATAAATAAATCATCTTTCATCATATGGTTTATATGCTAATAGTGTTGTCTTCATTTATCATTCAAAATAGAATAAACAACTTGAATCTTATGATATTTTAAAGTATCTTACTTTTAATTAATTAGAATTGCTAACGAATATTAATTAATAGATGAAATTAAGAATTTATCCATGTTCCTATTATAAACTATTCAAAATGCTAAAGTATAATTCTTTAGTCCATTATCTATTGCTGATATGATTCTAGATCTTGGAATCTCTTTCGTCAGAGCTTCTAAATTTGTACTCATTGAAAAAATGTATAATATTCTTATTCACACCTACAAAATTGATAAGTAATCATGATTTAATGATAGATTATAAACAGACTAATAAGAAATATAAGTTTGGGATACTGAAAGTGTTTACATTGTATTTAAAGATTAAACTGTAACAGTATGTTTTAGAATCTATCAAATGAATCTATTAAGATAAGGTGATTAAAGATTATATTCAGAAATCAAACATTTCTATGAAAAATATCTAAGATTTATCCGAGAATGCTTTGATAAAAGTGCTTTCTATAAATTCTTTCTTAGATCTAATGATTCACTTATTTTTGAATTCGATAAAAGTGGTCATTTATTATTCCTCTCAAGACCTATACCATAATTAATTAAAACAAACTTTAACATATAATTTAATTCACTCATGATTCACTCTAATCTATTATCATATAATAAAATATTTGATTAGAGTGTTGTATCTAATATTGAAAATTATCTTTAAGATCATAAATGGAAAATGATGAAAGATAATGATAAACAATATGAAATATTTTTAAAAATTGAAGAAAAAACATATAAAGGATTTGCAGTGATTTTTACAGAAAATATTAAAGGATGGGTTAAAGAATAATTTAAATAATTGGAATCAGGTAAACAATTAGATTAAAAAATAAAGGCTAAAATTAGAAAATAACTAATCTAACATGAAACAATTAATTTTGTGAATAAATTAGAAGAAAATAATCCAGAAGTAAAAGATTCAGTTGCTTCATTATATATGCCATTATAATAACTTATTCTAAAAAGATCTAAATCTATTAGAGATCTATAAAATACTCAAATAGAACCAAGAATGAGAAAAACAGAAGTTCCATAAAAATCAAAATTCTAAACAATTTAAGAATTAGATTTAAATGAATTTTCTTTAGATAATTAAGATGATTTGATTGATAGTTTTGATTTCAATATAATGGATTTAAATTCTTAAATAAAAAAACATAGAGTTGTTTGGGCTATTCTTAAAAAGAATGGTCATTTAGATGATTATTAAATACCATATGAAAATTTATAAAGTTTTATTAAAGAAATGGAATATAATTATAATATCAATAATAATCCATATCATAATTATGATCATGGTATTACAGTAATGCAAACAGCTCATTACTTTTGTATGGAACTTGCCTAAAGTTAAAATGGCAATATAATAGATAATTTTAATAGATTCATATTAATGATAAGTAGTTTTGGTCATGATGTTGGACATACTGGAAGAACAAATGTTTTTGAAATAAATAGTTTAAGTGATTTAGCTATAAGATATCATGATAAAAGTGTACTTGAATAACATCATGCTGCATTAACAATTTAAGTTATCAAAAATCCTTAATGTAATATACTTATTAATCTTAATTAATAACAATTTAGAAATTTCAGAAAAGGTCTTATTTCTAATATATTAAGTACTGATATGTCAGAACATTTTACTTTATTAAAAGATTTTGAAAATAGACCTAAAGATTTTAATGATTGTAAAATTTTGAGTGGTTATATTATGCATACAAGTGATTTTGGAGGTGCAGGTAAAAAAACCAATTTGTCAATTCTTTGGTCTTCAAGAGTTAACCAAGAATTTAGTATATAGTATAAATTAGAAGGAGAATTAGGATATCCCTAATAATCTTACATGAAGGATTTACATATTGTAATTTAATCTTATTATATATTTAATTTAGCCACATATTATGGCCAAATCAGAAATAGGTTTTCTTAAAGTCATTGTTAGACCTTGTTATGCATTATTAAGTGAATTCATCGAAGATAGACTTAAACATTGCATTAGTAATATTGATGATACCATTTAATATTGGGAGAAGATCGTTAAAAAAGGAGAAGAATAACAATAATGAAAAACTATATTTATTTATTTTATATGTTGTGTGAAAATTTAAAAATGTCTGAAAATTTTGTAGAAAAATATCCAGATAGAGTGTAATCTATTATCATAATTAGTCCCATATTATTATAGATTAGTCATAGATCTAGACTCAAATTTTAAGATGGAACATCCATTAAAAAATATTTAGTTAGCAAATCTGATCACTTTTATCATTTTCTTTAAGTAATTCGAGATACTCTCCATTTATAAAAATAAGAAAGTCTTTATTTATTCATCAATAATTCTGGTTTAATCAAAGCAGGTATCAATCTTTAAATATTACATCAGAAAGTTAAGTTGATGAAGTTTATTAGAAATTCAAAAGTACAGATGGTTTTCTTAGAATTAATTTAACTGAATATCCTTCTTTTGGAAAAATATGACACTTAATACATTCATACTTTTTATTTTCAATTAACCATTATTCTATAATTTAGACCAATCACTTATACCATTTTCTATATTTAATTTAAGTATTTTATCATTTATTTATTTCCCCTATTTCAAATCATGAATTACTAACCAAATTATCTATTAAAAAAAATATTTTATTTCAAAATGTTACTCTCCAAATATATAATTTAGTCATTAATTATGAAATAATAATTTCTTCTAAAATTCAATAACTTATAGGTTTATTTATTATTTGTTTAAAATTGATTATATTATAATTATAAAGGATTAATTTCTTTTAAAAACAAAATAATATATTTAATGGAATTAAATACAGATGATTTAGATCAATTATTTAAAGGAATTCAATCTAAATTAGAAGGTAATGATAATTATTTGAATTCAATGATCCCTAAATTTTAAGAAAAATACAAAACTTTCCAATTATAAGAATCCAACAAAAAGTACAAATCAAACATTTTTATTTAGATTATTAGGAAGATTCTAACTTAGACTTTCCGAATTGATGGAAAAATATAAGAACTAAAATTAATTTAATTATCTGGTGGCCATTCAATAGAAATTGATAACATTTGATTTCATTCAAATTCTTGATTAAATTCATAACCAAGCAACTGAAAATAAAGTTAAGGATATTGTCCCTTAATTCAAATAACCTACTAATTGGCAATTAAATAGTAAAATCAACCAATCTTTGTTTTAATTTTACGAAGATCAATTTTGGAGACTATATGGTATTTTGTTACTTAATGAGTATTAATATAATAATATTATAGAGAAAATATAGAGAATATGATACTTTATTATTAATCCAAATAAGATAATGTTGAACGATTATTAAAGATTAGTTTAGAAAGGAATAGATATTTTTCTTACATCAAACAATAAAAATATCCATTATTAGCAAACATTGAAAATAAGGCTCAATAAATTAATTTTTCTTAATTGAATAGTACATTGGAAACGCCATATTAAAATAGAAATATTCGAATGTTTGGTACTTTAACTTAAAATCAAAAGTTCAATAGATTTAATTCTACAAGCCCAAGAAAATATTTATAATCTATAAATACGAGAAAAAACTTTCGTTTTGAAAATGATTTCTAAATCCTCCAATCTCTAGATTAGAGGGCAAGAATTTATTCTCAAAATAATTCTAATAGTATTATTTTTTCAAATTAAACAGTTCGAGAAAGAACTTAAGATCAATAATCATCTTAAAAAAATAACTTAAATGGGTAAAATTATTAAAACTAAACTCCTTAAAATAAAAAAAAAATCAGTTCGATTGATTTAAATTGTAAACAACTTATCAATTATTAGAATCCTTTAATTAATTTGTAATTTCTAGTTAATCAGTTTCTCCTAAAAGACAATTTAAAAAACCTAAAATCAATTAAAATCTAAATTAGACTTTTTATTAGTAATTATTTCCATCATAAAAAACTCCAAATAGAGCATTTGTAATAACAAGAAACATTTTGTTTAGTGAACCAAAAGGAATTCGTATTAATACATGCTCTAAAATATTATTTAATTAGAAGTAACCTAACAATTGATTAACTTAATTTTTCTCTAAATTTTTAGATTTATTAACTTTATTATTAATAGTCAAATCTATTAATAGATCTTAATTATATATATCGTACTTGAAAAAGATTTGTTTTAAATTCTAATATATTTTGTAATCAGCAAAAGAAATACTTGACGTATTAATACACAATTGTTTATATTTAATTTATAAAATCATAAAAGAAAAATAATGAATTGCTCTATCATAGTTTGCCCATACTGCACAATAAGTGTAGGCTTCCTAAGTTGTTGTACTTGTCATAAAAAATTTGATCTGGTTATATGCAATGGATTATCAGTGAATTGTCCTCTGTGTATAAATGTAAAATTAACTTTCTATTATTCAAGTGCAAATTAGATACTTTCTATTAAAGTGATGAAGATGTTCAAATACATTCATAATGCCATAGAAATTCAAAACGTATGTTTTATCACTGTTAATGTTGCAATGGTTATTTTTGCAAGTGTGTGTAAGATTTTAAATTATTTTAAGAGAACAGTAATTGAAAAAATAAATAATTTTAAATCCAAACCCATTTTATAAAAACAAATAATGTTCCAAAGTTTGAAATTTCAAAAAGAAAAATGATTAGTCTTTGCTTTTTTAAGTTCTTCTTTAAAATTTTGAAATACTTATTTTTTGAAATAACTTAAAAATGATATTAATATTAGATAATAAGTCATTTAAAATTCATAGTTTCTTCTAAAATAATAAATTAAAAGGCATTTCATTAAATAATATCTGATTATGTCCGTTTTTGTTTCTAACTAATTTTGTATAGTTCAAGCACAAGCTTTAAATAATTTATAGTTTTTTTCTATATAATTTTTAATCCTAAAAAACTTTATTAAGAGCTTGACAATAAGAGCTTTTAATAAAAATTAAATAAATTATTATTAAATTATCGGTTTCAAGAGAAATTATGTTTTTAGAAGAATTATTAAGACTAAAAATATTAAATTTTAATGTTTTATAATTTTCATGCTTTAGGTCTTACAACTATATTTTCTTTATATAAATCAGCATGAATTTGTCTTATTCTTTAAGGAGGTCCTTTTGGATTAACTGTTTAAACTATTAATATTTATAATTTAAAAATACTTCTTGTTCTTGGAGATAATTATCTATCTGTCATTTATTAGATTGGAGTAGTAGAATCTTCATTTGTTTAAACCTTATAATCATAAGAAAAATACAAATTTAGCAGCAAAATTAAATTATTCTATATGAGATCCAATATCTTCATTTGATTATCTACATGAAAGATTTTATTGATCTGGATTTCTTGTAGAGTTTAACATATCAGTTAAATTAAAATGAATAGAATCAGCTTCACTTTTTTATATTGAAGATGGCAATATTTTAATTTTATTAACATGACCTTAACTTAGAGTATTCTATAAAGTAACTTTTAAATACCTTAGTATGTCCAGGTTGATGTTGGTTATTAAAATCATTAGAGAAAGTATTTTTTTTATGTTTAATTTATTTTGGAGTCGAATTTTTAATTTCTAATAAATTAACTTAACTTAGAGCATTTTCATAATATTTATTTTTGCTTTTTTATCTTGTTAATTAAGTTTAAACTGATTTTAATTGTTATTCTTTTTTAAATGATTCTTCAATAAGTATAGATTATTTTCTTTAAAAATCATTTTTTAATTTCAAAGCAACAGCTTAACATTGTTCTGTAATTTTCTTTTCATTAATTAATTTTTTTGATAATTCATTTTTTTATTCAATTAATTTATTATCTTTGTCTCTTAATTATAACTCAAGCTATTTAATTTAACATTCAAATTTAATATTCTAATCTCTAAAAATATTATTAATTACTAATTACTTTTATTCAAGTAAATGCTTTTCCAAAATTATTTTATCTTATTCTAACTAGCATATTTTTTATGCTTATAATTGTTCTCTTGATTAACTAAGGGTTTGATATTAATTATTTTGGATAATAGTTTCATTATGTACTCTGTTGAGATCAGCGATTTATTACAATAAGCTTCTTTACTAAATTATTTTTTTTAATTACTGCTTATTCATGTGATTAACTCAATTCTTACATAGTTTTTTATAACTTTTCTTTTTCTTTGAATTCTTAATCTAATTCAAAGTTGAGTTATTTAAGTTTTAATTTTAGACAATTAGAATCCTTAAATAAGATTAAATTTTATACATATTCTAATATTGACTTTTAATTATTTAAAGCCTCTGAAAATTCTCGAGCCAGACTTTCTTTTTAAATTTCATTTTATTTTAGAATTTGTGTAATTTAAAGTTAAAAATCAGTACATTTATAACATTTTCTACCATAAATTTACAATTATAAATACTTTTCTTTGTTCTCTAACTCTTCATAATCTTAAATTAATTGATTGTAATCTTTTTCCAATTTACAAAATTCTTAACATTTATTTCGATACTAAATATTAGTATGAAGTTACTTCATATTCTAAAATAGTAATCTTTTCACTAAGGGTTATCTTCAATTTGGAAATTTCTTACTCATGTAGTTAATTTAATAATTATATTTCTTTTCCTTTGTCATGGTTAGACATATCTCCCATAGCTTTCATTAATGACTCGTTTAGTTTTTTTAAATTCAATTCTCTATCTAATGCTTCTTTGAGTTGCATTTCTAATAAAACAGATTTATCCATTAACTGTTTATTATATATTTTTAAATTCTTATGCAAACATAAATTATTATTTCAATTAATTTCTAAATTCAAAATCTTAAACTAAGAACTTTTTTTAAAAAAATGATCTGTGCTAGAGAAATGTCATATAACATTGTTTTCTAATCTTAATTTGATATATGATAATCCAATTCTATTTATTTGATGATTTTAATCATAATTAAGAATGAAATTAGATATCCTAATCTCAAAATTAGAATATTAGATTAAATAATTAATTATCGATTAAATGTGAAGAAGAATTTAATTTTTCTAATATTTATAATTAATTAAATGTAATAAACAACTTAAAAATGGATATAACAGGAAGAATTAAGAAAATTATGTACATCATATTTATAAATGAGCGAAATGGCATTAAAAGAAAAAATGCTTTAAGCAAATTTAAAGAATCAAGATCCAATATAGTTAAAAAAAAAAATAATGAATTTCATAGAATATAGTAAAATAATTAAAAATCAAGAAGAAATATAACAACAATTAGATTAAGTAAAGTTTTTGCTTATTTAGACTACAATTACTTAAATCAAAGAAGCATAAGATTTAGCTCTTTAATAATTTAATTAGAATAATATAATCAACAGTTCAATATCTTCACTTTATCCAAATAACTAAGTTTTACACAAAACCCAAGATCCTTTTTTATCTAAAAAAATTAAAACCATAAACTTAAAACCTAATTATAATTAAAGAAATTTAAGTACAAATTTATTTTACTACTTAGTTAAATTAGCTGAGGAGGAAATGGAATTTATTTATCAAGAATCTTTTTCAAACCTTGCCGCTAAGTAGGATTAAATTGTTAATAAAATGAATTTATAAAAGAAAATATAAGATAATAACAATTTTAAATAAAATATTCCAATACCTTTTGAATAAAATCAAGATTCTTAACGTTAATTAGATTATGATTCATTTGAATAAGATAGTAGAAATTAAATTGATCAAGAAAATATAAATATCACTAAAGGAAATCCTGAAATAAATTTAAGGATAGAAGATAAAGAATCACTAAATAATGTTATAACACCTAAATAAAAATAAATTGGCATAAAAGGTTTAGAGACTGATGAAGAATTTTAGAATAATTAAAGTTCCCTTAGTAAATAGAAAAATGAATAAGCTAAAGAAAATAATGGAGTTGTTTCTGAGAAGACATTATAAAAATTTGATTTTGATCCTATTAATCTAAATATTACTCCAAATATGAAAACAGATGAAGGTTTACATAATGATGAATAAAAAGATATAGTATTAAATAATATTTACTAAGAAATTATTAACGAATAAACAACAACATAAACTCCTAATGAATAAACAACAAGTTAAACTCCTTTAGAAAAAACAACAACTTAGACCTCTAAAATAGAAAATGAAGAAAAATTATATAATTATTAAGATGACATTAAAACCTATAATTAGTTATCAAATAATCAAAGTGAATAAAAAGATTAAATATTATAAAAAAATTAATCCAATGATACAAATAAATAAATACATTTAAGTGATGAAAATATGTACATAAAATAATCAGAATATATTAGCGAATAGTTAATTGATGAATAAAAGAAAACAAATTATAATGATATCTAGAGAATTTAACAAATTGTTAAAAGTGGATAAGAAGCTTCTTTTTCAATTTAAAATTCAGAAATGAAAGAAAGTTTTCAGATGAATTAAAAATAGGATAATAATAAATAAAATATGTTAAACAGCCCTGCGACTTATTTTAGCCTTCAACGAGATTTTTTAATATCTCAAGAATAATAAACCCACCAACATAATTTTTCAATAAAATTTAATTAAGATAATTCTTTAAATTAGAATAATTTTACAAAATCACTAAAAATTCAGGATGTTCCTTAAAATTAAAAAAAAAATAACGCTGAAGCATAAATTTATATGTAAAAAACCTAATAATAAATCTATTAAAGTGGACTTTATTCAAATAATTCAAGTTATGTAAGTAATGGATAATAAATATCATAAATAAATACATCTAAATTTGATATTAATAATATTAATATTGATTAAAATAGCCAAGAATTATAAAATTTAATTAAATCTAATGAAATTAAAAAGAATAATTAAAGTAATAAGAGTATATGCATTAAATCTGATGATGTAATAATATAAAAATATCTTGAACTTGTTTAGAGATATATAGCTTTTTTAAATTGTTAAGTATAATTACTAGAAATTAAATATTAAAACTAAAGAAATATAATGAGAACGAATAAAAGACATAAAATAGAATAGAAATTGATGATAAAAGTCAAAAATTATGATTCGAATAAATATCAATAGATGAATAGACTTGAATCTGTAGTATTTGAGGATTATAACTCTTAAATTAATTTGGAATCAAAAGATGATTCAGATAAACTTTCTTAATAAAATAGATAGTTTCAAAGTGAATAAAGTTAAAATTCTCTATAAGATTAAGAGGGTTTAACAGATTCTGATATAATAAAATTGTTTTTTGAAAAATGGAAAGTTAATTAATGTATGATGATTGATAAAATTCGATATGTTTTTCCTGATAATACGTTGGTATAGGTTTTAGAATAAAAAAGGTATGGATAATGATTTATATATAAAGTTCTGAAGAATTAGTATTAGTAACAAAATGGATAAAAGGATGCTTAAGATTACTATTCTTGATGGCTAAGATTTATTTGTTAATTAGAGGACATCTAAAGTCTTTGTTGAGTATAATATTGACATATTTATTTTATAAATTAATTTGAATTATATTATAATAGTTATTAAATAATAAATGGACACGCCAATTGGTAAAGATTTGACAAATTAAGTGATTGGAAAGGTTTATAAATTAATAAAGAGAGTGGGAAGTGGTGCTTTTGGAGAGATATATTTGGTAGGGAAAGGAAAAGAAGAATATGCAATGAAACTTGAAAGAAGTGATACAAAACATCCATAATTATTTTTTGAAGCAAAATTATATAATTACTTATAAGGATCTGATCCTAACGATAAAGGTATTTGATTTATTAAGTAAAAGTTAGGGATTCCTAGAATATATGCTTAAGGCCAAGACGGTGATTATAATTACATCGTCATGGATTTACTGGGTTAAAGTTTGGAAGAGTTGTTTAGTAAAAATAATAAAAGACTATCATTGAAAACAGTAATAAGTATGATGTATAATTTAGGTGTTAATGTTGGGTGATTAAATGATTTAACGAATTGAATATATTCATACGAAACAGTTTTTACATCGTGATATAAAGCCAGATAACTTTTTAATTGGTTTAGGTAAAAAGGCAACTCGTGTATATATTCTTGATTTTGGATTGGCTAAGAGATATTTAACAAAAGAAGGACATATTCCATATCGTGAAGGTAAAAGTTTAACTGGAACTGCTCGTTATGCATCTGTAAATACACATTTAGGTTTGGAATAATCAAGAAGAGATGATTTAGAATCACTTGGTTATGTACTCATGTATTTACTAAGAGGTTAATTACCTTGGTAAAATATGAAAGCTAATAATTAAAAAGATAAATATTAAAGAATTATGGAAAAAAAGCTTGAAACATCTCCAGATGCACTTTGCAAAGGTTTTCCTATTGAAATGAGTTAATATTTAAATTATTGTAAGAATTTAAAATTTGAAGATAAACCAGATTATAATTATTTAAGAGGTCTTTTTAAAGTATGAATATATGAATTAATATATATAAGGATGCATTTAAAAAGATAGGTTTTGAATGGGATTACAAATTTGAATGGGTTAAAGATGATAATGTATTAAATCTAGTCAAGACTTAATAAGATTTACTATCTGAAAATAAATTAATGATTATGACTTAACCATTACAACAATAATAATCATAAGGTATTCGACCTAATCCAATTGACTCAGATAAAAAAATTGCAAATACAAATAGTTATCATCTTAATTCTAATACTCAATAATAATCTGGACAAAGAAGACCATAATAATAGACAGCCAAAGTCTCATAATAGTTATCAGTAGAGAAAAAAAGAACAACATCCTAAAATAAATAGTTTATCTAACCTAAAGAGTTAGTCAAACCTGTTACTTAAGTTCTTGCACCAAAGATTGTTACTACTAAAGAACCACATAGAAAATATTGAAAAACAATTGCATTATAATACAATAATATTTATGTTAAATGAAATTGCTACATTTTATAGTTCTTAATAAAAGAATTAGATAGAAATCTAATTCAAAGAAGTTAATTTAATTTGATAGATCATTAAAACATTCAAATATAATTACCCATTGTGTGGATTATTTTTAATTGTTTATATAATTATATCTAATCAAAATTAAATCAAATGAGTAATAACTATTGAAAATGTTGAAAAAAGATAGGTTTATAAACTTAATTATGATGATCAAGATTAAATTCTAAATCCTATTAATTAATCATACTAAATAATTAGGTATCTCAAATTAGATGTTAGAAACCTTATTTACTAAATAAATAAATGAAATTAAGATTATTCATGAGTAAATAGTTGTGGGACTCTGAAGTATTTAAATTGTCAAGACTCCATCTGAATAATAATTAGATTCTAAGAGATTATAAGAATATTTAAAATAAACTGGATTGGAAAAGATATTTATGGTGATTTTTACTGAAATACTCACATAAATAGTATAAATAAATGATGTATTCAAATTAGCTGTTCAGAGATTGAGAGAAATAAGATAAAGAATATTAAACAGAATAATAAAAATATTGATGTTAAAAATTCTCTTTGAAAAAAACTTTCTTAAAAGTTTAATAATTTAAATATAATAATAAATCAGATAGGTTTCATTGTAACAGTTCCATCTTTCTTAATAAAGTAAGGAATATGACGATTTGAGAATCTTTTTGCTTTAACAACAAATTCATTTAAGACTAATGGTTTGATCTATTCTTTTTTAATCTCACCTAATCTAATTTGATTTAATAAGAAATATTTACTTTTGATTTCCAATAACACCATGATCATTTACTGGTACTATTACGAGTACAAATTATCCTCTAGGAAAATGTGAAGATACTTCTTTTATCTAAATTTTATTTAGACGTCCTTATCCTTCTCTTATAAATGCTTATTGACATCCTTTATAGATTGATTCTCCTTGATTATTATGAGACAATTTTTTTGGTTATTCATCATATGTCCAACTTAGAATTAATTTTAGTATAGTACATCTCAAGTTCAACAATTATTTTGTTTGCATTAATGACTATTTAATCTTGATACATGAGATTGAATCGAATAGAAAATATTCGGTTTCTGTAACATGGCAATTCTAAATCTTCAGATAATTTTAATTCGTATTAGTACTGATGTTTCAAAATTTAATCAAGATAGTTGACTTATGGTTATATTTGAAAATAATCTAATTTAGTGATTAGTATTTAAAGTTTTTCTTATTGTTTAATTAGTTTTTCTATAACTTTTTAATTAGTCTCATCAATTAATTTCAAGAAGTGGCAATTATCTTCAATTTAATAACTAACTTAATTTTATAGATTCCATAGGTCCTGTTTTGTTGAAATCAGTATTTTTTGTTAGTTCATATATTTATATTAGTTTGTTTGTTTTGGAAATTTATTAAAATTAAAAGTTTTTAGTATTATAAAAACTAAAAACAAAAAAAAAAGATTTAGAAATTATTTCTTTAATGAAATTGAATTATATTTGAATTAATTTGATTAATAATGGAAATATGATGATTTTGAAAATGATTAAATGAATTATGAATAATAATGATTTTTTAAATTAGAATATTGATTAATAATTATAAATGATAACTAATCATCCAGCTTATCCTAAAAAAGAGATAGATAAATATTATTTACAAACCAAATTACCAGAGTATTAAATTAATTAATGTAGATATTAAACAGTTCCTATGAATGAGCATTAAAAAAAAACACATGATTATTATAATGATAATACTCATATTTGGAATAATCCTCACTAAGCAAAATCAAATGCAAAGGTATTCAAATAATTAAAAGAACAACATGTAAAAGGTGAAAAAAGAATAAAGTAATTACAAGAAAAGGAATAAAAAGAGAAATAAGAGTTACAACACAATAAAATAATATATTATAATATGGCAAGAGAAGAAGATCTTTTGAGATTACAATAAAGAAAATTAGAAAGAGGTAGCTTACAAAACTTAAGTTCATAACGTAATGATGTATAAGTAGATTCAATTACTGTTAAACCAATTTTATCAAGAACAGCATTACTGGGTAGACCTGATCATCTTTGGAATAAATTAAATTAACAATGTTAAAAATATGTTAATTTATTGGTCAATCCTAAGATTTTGTAAATGGAAGAATAAGGTGTAAAAGCAATTAATGACAAAATATAAAAGGATATGGAAATTTAATAAATTAAAGAAGAATTAAGACTATAAAATATGGAACATATTAAATAATAAAGTACTCTTAGAAGAATGACTAATCTTGAAATGGAATAAAGAAGTGGAATTCTCCCATCAAGATTAAGTTTATAAAGAGTTACAACTGCTTAAACTAATTGTAGATAACCTAAAGATCTTATAGAATCTACTTTACAACAATTAGAAAATTAATAATAATCTTAAACTATACAATAATTATAAAATTAAATTATCAATTCAGCATAATTTAATTAAACTAGTAGACCATATACAGTTGGAAGTGTACTATATTATATTTTATTTTAAGGATTTTAATTCTATTTCTTTTAATGCTGGATAAGCAATTAAAAATGAATTAAATAACAATAATAATAATAATAATAATCTTACTCAAAATTAAACTTAAACTGCACCAATTTTCTTGGTTAATAGGTATATTTAATTCTTATAATCTTAGCTAAAAATCAAAATCTGTATCTACACTTTCTCACAAACATCCACTTGATAGAACAGAATTTAAAGGATTATTATTAGCATAAGCTGTTGAATAAGCTGAAAGTAATTTTAGTAAAACACTTAAAGCAAATAGTTCATTATTAAAGGAAACTTCTGTTCATTTCTCACGCAGCAAGTAATCTATGATTCCAAAAAAAAGAATACAAATTAAATGTAATAACAATTTTGCAAATGAGTAAAATAAAAATGATGAAAATGATTTGTAGATTGTAAACAATATGTTAGACAGTTTTGAAAGAAAACTGTATCGAACCAATAATTTCGATGATGATTCTTTGTGATAACAACAATTTATATTAAAAATTAATCTAAAAATTCCCTTAATTGTTCAAAATTAAATTCTATGATCAATTTCTAGATATTGATTTAGATTCATAATATCCAAAATCTGAAGGTAATCGATATTATCCAGGTCCTGGAGTTTACATACTGGAGACTGAATAAGTTTTTCTGATATCATGAGGAAAACTTCTACATTTACTAGAATGTAAATTAGAGACAGGATAAAATCCAGTCTTTGAAAATAAAAATAAAAATATTACCTTTTAAATACCTATATTATCTAATTTATAATTTCCAGGTCCTGGAACATCATTACTATCTAGAATAAATAGAAAATTAAAAACTTACATTATTTATTATCAAATCTCTTAGATCTTGGAGGATTAAAAAGAGTAGCACCACTATTAGTAAATTTAGAAATAGGATATCTTCCTTTAGAATCAATTCCTTAAACAGAATTATAAGCTCCAGGTCCTAAAAATATATTGAGAAATAAAAAACCTGGAACATTTTTTGTAAGTATCATAATATCTTAAGAGTTTTTAGGTCTCATAGTATATCTAGTTTGACTTAGTGTTGATTGAGCTTCATATTTACCTGGTCCTGGAGTTACTTTATTTAATCCACCCATAATACCACTTTACCACATTCTCTAGTAATTATAAATTATTAATACATCTCTACTAACACCGAATGGAAAACCTCTATTTTTATTTTTATTAATATCTAATTCTCCAACTATTTTATAAGTACAAGGAGCAGGAGTCTTTGGTCCACTTTTTGTAAAATCATATCTATAATTAAAATTATGAAGTTTTACTTAGTAGAATAACCTACACCTGCAGCTCTTCTCTCCTTTTAATCAGGAAGATTATAAAAAGCTACTGCACAACTAATAATTAAATATCACTGTTACTTATTTGGATTCTCTAATTTACCAAATCGATTGCTTTTTGGAAATGACCATAGTTGTTTAGCTGTACTTAAATTAAGAGCTGATTGACTTATTTATTGACATGTAGAAACTGTAATCGACATTAAATAAAATTAATAAAAGTAGAATAATAATTTATATTTTTATAAATTGGAAGTCAATAGCATATTTCAAATTCTAACTGGAGAAACCGATTTTACAAGTGTAAATGTAGGATATACATATACTTATTTTGGTTGTTGTTGTTGTTATAATTAAATATTTCTTTGAGGAGTATTTAGTAATCTTTTAATGAATTAATTTTTATTAACTTATGTTTATTTCTATTAAATAGATTAAAATAATTATGTAAGCATTTATTTTTATTCTGCTAATTCTTATCTAATTTCTTATATATACTTAGTATTTTAATCTTCTGATTAAATTTAAGTACAATTACCATTACATTAAGAATGATAATATGAATCATCCATCTTTTTAGATTAATGTTTCTCTAATGAAGTTTACAAATTTCTTTCATTTATAGTATTTTTATGTGAAATTAAAGATATACAATTTTAAATATTATTTAAAGGTACTACTTCATTTGTATCATAAACCTTTTGTATTGATTATTTTGAATTCAAAGATTTTGTAGACAATCCAAAGTTTTATGATACTAATTTTATAGTAGGTTTTATTTTTATACTATTGAATTTATTAAGCAAACTATGAATCTTTGTTTTATGATCATTATAAGCAGCAGTATAATCAACATTAAATTTACTTGGTTATGGTTTATGAGAACTGAACTAATTTTATTCATTTTCTTCACTTTAATTGTATATAGGTTTTATTGTAGATCGTCTTTCCTCACTAGGCGGAGATCTATTTAACTCTTTTTAAACAACCTCACTTAAGCATTATAAGTTGTTATTATTCTATTATATAATCTATTTTGTTTTTTGAGCAGTTGAAGAATTTTATTAAATATCAGCAAAAACAGTTTTCTTTTGTTTAGAATCAGAACTATATTTTTATTTTTAAGCTTCTAAAATATTTTTTAAGGTTAACATACGATCATTAGTTTATTATTATTATTGTTAAACTTATTTAACTTCATTTTAAGTGGATGATCTTTTTGAATTATTATAATCATTGTTTTTTTTGATTTGGTATTGTTGTTCTTCATTTTAAAATGCAGCAGTTTTTCTAGAATTTTTGAGACTAGGTATTTCTAATAAACCAAATGAGATTTTATTTTCATAATAATCATCGGTAGGTTAAGTTTTAGTTCTAGATTATTAAGTATCAGTTTTTCTCTATGTCTAATTTTCATCATGTTGATCTAGTATGAATTCATAGATTTGATTTTATTAATTAAGATTTCTAGTATTAAATTAACTTTATAATTTTCTTATTTCTTCAACTGATTTACTTAATGTATTAGTATTAGTATTAGTACTATATTTTCTAAGAGATGGATACTATTATGATTAAATTTCAGTGAGAGTATTTACACGAAGTCTAACAAATTACATGACTTCAAATAATCTTATATATCCTAGAATAATATCCTTTGAGATTGGTGTGATTAGATATTACTAATTGGTTTTCTTACTATAAGTAACTAATAAAGATATAATGACGAATTACACACTAATTCTTGAGGTGTTTCCATTTAATCTAAATAACCACTACTCTTAATCTCTATCAATTATCCCTAATTGTATCTCCCTTTCACCCATTGTATTTATTAATTTTAAATTATCATCAATCCATTCCCATGATATTAACCTTATTAAAATGATCCCTAATATATCTCATCCTATTATTCTAATCTACCTAAACCATTCAATTTTCCATCTACAAATTAACCACACTAATAAAATAAATTTGATATCTCTATTCCTAATCCATTTGGTAAATTCGCCTTACCGACATTCCCATAGTATATACAATGATTAAACAACTATATTTATAAATCCCCTTATTATAATTTACTTATTCCTTATAATATTCTATCTGTTTCATCACCACAATCACATGTTATCTATGCACTAGATTATTATATTGTAATCTTTCTCTCTCCTTCCTATATAAATAAAGCCTCTCCTTTATCAAATTAACTATAAAACACTCTTCTACCAACCTTTATTACTACATAACCATGTGCTACTCCTTTCTTAAAACCTCCTTAAATTATTATCTATCCACCTAAAAACAAAATCCCTTATCCATCTATCAAATCCTCTTTCCACTCTCCATAATAAGCACAACCAACATCCCATAAGTATACTCCAACCCCATGCTTTTGCTCTTTTTTATTTTATCCTCCTTAATAAATTCCATCCTTATGTTCCTTCATCCGTTAATATAAAAAATATCAATATGTATCATCATAAGATTAAATTATTTTAACATACTCTTCTATTATCAATTATCCCTCTCATATACAATCACTTATATTCTATTCTTTAATCAATACAACACTTTTTTATAAATTCTTATCCACATATCATTATTTATACTATATGAGATATGAAATTTAGTAAAAGAAAATCATAAAATTAAATAATTGAAAGATGTTAATGTAAGTATTAGCAAAAATTCCAGCAGAGATGAATAAAACATTGGATGAGAACTTTAAAATAATAAAGGAAGAATGTAAAAATGAAATATGCAATTAGATGATAAATAGTTTATTAGATTAAGTAATTTTGAATGATAATATTTAGAAACAAGCACCTCATATTCGATTATAGTTTTTATACAATATTCGTTAATTAGATTAGTATATAAGCTTATCTGATTTATGCATAAACTAATTAGAGAAGAACATAAGTAATAATGTCAAATATGTATTCAAATTACATTATGATAGAGTATGGTTAATCACTTGAGCAAATACTGAAATAAACAGATTTATTGAAGAGTAATTAGATTGAGTATTCTTGTGAATTTATGAGGCCTATTCCAGCTATAATTGATAATTAATATTTGGATAATTTTTAATTGGATTTGATTCATTAAACAATATGGGATTACAATATATCTCCTTTGATGAGATTTCGTAATCTATTGGGATTGGCATAAAGTACAAAACTGTAATAAGGAGATCACCAAATGATTTTGAATTTATTTAAACCAGAATATAAGATTGATGCAATTCAATTTAGATTGTTAGTTGAATCAAATCCATCATTAGTAAGTGATATAATAATAAAATTGAATAAATTAGGAGTCAATGCTCATGAGTATAATTCAATATAATTAATTAGATATTTGGATTATTTAATATAGATAAAAATTAGTATTCAGACTTTAGAATTAGTGAATTAATTATCAAAAAACATGAGTTTACCAGATCAATTTCTAAATATGTTTATTACTAAATGCATAGTAAATTGTGAAGAATTTAAGATTGTAAGTTTAATAATGACTTATTTAGAATTAACCATAACAATTGGCTAGACAAGTTAGATTAGTATCAGTTTTCATTAGAACTTTGATTAAATAGAAGGCATTTGATCCTAAGAAGATTTATGTAGAATTACAAGGGTTTTGCTTGGAATTTTCATCTATTCTAGAAGCTACTCAATTATTTAAAACTATAAAGAATGCAGTACAAGAATAATGAGATATTTATTAAAAATAAATACCATCAAATATTTATTAAATATATGAATTAAATTTAATGTAGAATTTATTAGAAATCTAAATAAATTGATAAGTGTATTTATTTAATCATTTAAAATCATACTATGTTTCGAATCATAGAATTAAGTGCATAGAAATTGCTTTAATTTATGAAACATATAATGAATCACTTAAATTATTCATAGCTAAAAGATATTCTAATGATTAATATGTAAATAAAAACTTAAAAAAACTAACCTACTTATTGTTCTAAAAAATCTGAAATACTACTAATGCACTATTTAAATTTATAATTAATATTTTTGAATGAAAATGGTATTATTAGGAATGCATTTTATATTGATTAGGAAATTGTAATAAAAAGAAGAATATAATGAAAATAAATTTAGATACATCATTAATATGAATTATTGATTTTTTGGAGGTATCAGATTAAAGGCTAACATATTGGTTATATTTAAATATTTATTCATGACTTTATTTGAACATTTTGTATTAACAATTAAAATTAAGTCATTTCAATTGGTTTTTCAATTTTATAAATATTTTGAGAAATATTATTTTAAAATAATAATAAAGACATAATATTTTTAATTTATATGTATTTCTATAAAAGTATAATCAAAAATATGATTAACAAATAATAATCAGAAAATGAAAAATAAGAAAATCATATAATAGATATTTTTTCATAGATTCTATAAAATTCTTTCGCTATTTAGTTAAAATCGAAATAAAGAATTAATAAAAGATGGAATAATTGACAGTTAAAATTAAGAACAAATAATTGAAATAAATGATTTAATAAAATAAGGATATCAAAAATATAAAGCAATTCATTTGTTAGGTGAGAATAGAAAAGAAATAGAATTGGATAAAGAATTGAAATATGAGAACAATCAAAAATAAATTATCCAATTATCCTGGTTAAAGATTTGTGTTCTAATCTAATTTTATAAAATATTCGAGGTAATTAGTGAGTTATAATTATTGAATTAAAGATTTATAGTTTTTGATGAATAAAAAAAAATAGGTCTACTTCAATAAACCTATGATTTTCAAATTAATTTTTTTAGTATATTAATAGTTATAAAAATTATTAATTAAATTATTTTGTATTTTCATATAATCAATCACAAAAATATTATAATATTTTCTCCTTATCATTAGAATGTAAATTATCATTACAAAATTTGCATAAAAAGACTGGAGATGAATTTGGTATTAGTTAATCTGAAATACGAAATAATTAGGCAGATCTTCCACAACCATCACATCCTCGTATTTTAAGTGGTGCTTTATAGATGGTTCTAGCATAAGGAGTATTGATTTCTTCATTTTAAGTCAATGATCGTATTTCATTTATATAAATTCTATGCTTACATTAATTTAAATGTGTATATGTATATTGTTTACATAAAACAAATTTAAGATGACCAATAATTGCCTATTTTTATCCAACACTTATCTAAGGAGGATCAAAACTAGATAATTCATCTTAAAAAAACATTTTTTCTGTAGATTCAACAGGACAATCTATTTGTTACATCACTTATTCAAGAGTGGCATCATTTGTAGCTATGATAATTTACATTTTTTTATTAGTAAAGGGATGATAGATAGTAAAATGAACTATAAATTTATCTTATATATGATTAGATATCTATTTAATTTTATAAAGCTAATAGACATTAGGCTAAATGGATTTGAGAAATCGAAACTCTTATTCTTATCTATTATTAGTATTAAATTATTTACGCTAATTAATATGATTGTAATTAACAATTCTTTAATTTCTCTTATTCTTATTTCAAACATGGAAATCCTTATAATGCATGGATATATGCACAATTTATAGCTTCATTCTTTACTTTTCTAACTTACATGGCAGCTATTACAGATTAAGTGTAGAAATTAGTAGTTATTAAATCTGCATTATTATGATATTCCAAGAGTTGATTTTTTTTAAGCTCTAAATTATCTGATGGTTTTTAATCTGGAATTTCATTTTCGTTCTATTCCTTTATTGTTATTTGATACTAATTGTTCAACTTTTTATAAGATTGAATGCAATGTTGGTGATTTATATGGTTTTAGATCCGTAGTATAATTACTAGAATTCTATTTTGCCACTTCGATTAGCTCTGCAAAAGCATTTTATAAACCTTTAAAATATCTATCTAATATTAATAAATTACTCAGAAGGGCAGATTTCATTCTATTCCTAAAGCATTATAATAAAATATTTAATAATATTAAAAAACAAAAAGAAAGAAATTATCATTACTAAATAAATAGAACAGAAAAAAAAATAAAGAAAATGTTTAAAATAATTAACACTAGATATTAAATAGTAATATTCTTATAAACTAATGCTATCTTCTTAAATTTACTTAGAAATTTTATTTAAAATTTTTATTGATAATATAATAGCGTTATTTGATAAAAAAATAAATAGATAAAGATCTATTAATTCTTAAGTTTGAGAATCAATCAAATCAAGTATTTATTTTAGCAGTAAGTTTGTATAAAATAATAAATTTCTAAGATTTTTTAGTTGTTATTAAAATTAAAATGGCTCATAAACCAGTTTATTTCAACATAACAAATTAAAACTTTTGTAGAAAAATAAATTTTTTTTAATCAAATCAACTCTAGATTGTATTTATATAATTAATATGAAAGACTCTTATATTAAATATAATTTAATATTTATAATTAATTTGTTGTTTATTTTTAATTTATTTTATTATTTTATTAAAATGTCAACTTAGCCAAAATAATTATAGGCATAATAGATCTAAGGAAAATAAAAAGTTTAAAATAAACAATCGATGAATTCTAAGAAACTAAAATAATAAAAAATTAAAAATTAAAAAGAAAAATTATTAAGAGAAATTCTAGGTTTATATAAAAATTAAGTTGATGCTAAAAGGTTGTTAAAAAAGAAAACTGCAAAAGATAATATAGATAAAGATATAAATGATAAGGAATATAAGGAAGAAAAAAATATAAGCCAAGTTTCTTAATCTAATGAATTTACAAAAGTAAAAGGAACATATGATGATTATAATATTGGAGATTTAGCTGTAATATTTTATAATCTAGATACTGATAATTGCGAGAATAAACCAATTTCTTTTAAAGATGCTGTCAAAATATATAATGAAGTGTTAACTATAATTACAGATGAAGTATCAAAATCATTGAGGAAAAAAGAAAGATGTTCATTTTGGAGGATAAAAAGGATGAAGGAAATTCAAAGAAAAAGAAAATGTGGGCTTGCCTTTCCATCTTGTTAAATTTTAGCATTTATTTCTAATATAATAGAAATTTAAGCCAATAAATTTAAATTAATTGAAATCTCAAGAAGTCATTTTTCTCAAGTTATTGCTATCATTGGAAATTGGCTTATTATTTTAGAAATAATTACTTTTTTTGAAATTTCCTCTAATTCAGGATTAATTGTTTACACTTCCAAAACTATTTAAACTAATCAAATTTTGATTTTTTCTGTTTACTATTATTATTTTTGGCATTAAAATACTTTATTCGAATCTTAATGCCAGATAAACCAGAATCAGCAACAATTCTTAATAAAAGACATTGATATGTTGTTGATAAAGTAATTAAAGTAAAATATATCGGTTTTGATCAAACAAGACTAAAATCTTACATTCCTGCAAAAATTAACTTAAAAATTGGAGGAATTATCTACTCTTAATAAGTTTCGAAAATTTTTAACTAAGAGGAGAGTTGTAATAGAAATGAAGAAATTGCTGAATGAATTATTAATTAATTACAATTTTAATTATATTAGATATAAGTCTAAAAAACATTATGTATTTTGTTAGAACTAATTACTTATTTTCTCAATAAATTGAACGTCATGTATAATATAAATAAATTTTAGGATTCCACTTTTTTATATTTATATGATAGCAAAATATATATGAATCTTTTTAAAATTTAAGTTTCAAATACATAAAGCTATTATTTTTTCAATCATTTAATCTTGCTCTTTTTATTTTCTTTTAGTTTCTTTAATTTATAGTTTATTCATTTTTTTATTAATTTTTTTCATCTAAATTGTAGGATAGCTTCGATCATTTTCTTAATGAGACCAATAATCAATCAGAAGATTACCTGAGTAAACTTCATATGCTTTATATTCAAGTTGACTCATGCAAATTTTAAATATATTAATTAATTAACATGCATTAATGTTAAAAAGTATTTCTAAAATGAAGAAGAAGTTAAAGCTTTTACAAATTTAACAATCATAAAAATTAATTATTAGAAAGCTGAAAAGCATAATAAATTATAAATTTCAAGCTTTAAACAATATTAAAACTAAAAAGACATGCTAACTTACTTTCTAGAAGATACAATCCATTTTATAATCAAAAGCATTTAAAAAAAGAACAAAAATTTTTCATAAAAAAACTTCCAAGTAGCTAATAAACAGGATGACTATCACCTCTTTATCTAACAATTTTATAAATTAATAATATTGCATATTTTATGAATCAAAGAATATTGTACAATGAATTAAGATCAATATTATAATTCTTATAATTAGGTTTCAATGAAATAATTAGTCTAATATTAGAATAATCTTACAGATTAGTTTCTAATTAAATTAATGATTAAATTATTGCAATATTATTTTCTCCTAAATTTTACAATGAAATTCTATAGAGTAAATATTATTTATTCTTAAAGCTTATTTATTCAATGTATAAATATAATTGAGCAAGTCTTCTAATAAATTGTAAATAATTAACTAAGTCTGAAAATAATTTATGATATAAAGAGGCATAAACCATAATGAATTCTATAAAATAAGATTTTTTGTTAAAGATTTTAAGACATGAGTCCAAAATTTCATATAATTTTGAGAACTATAAAAAGTGATTATATTTTCTTAACATATATGACATATTTCAATGAATTAGAGAAAAATGAGATTCAAATATAAGTAATAAAATATAAGATTTTAATTAATTTAATTAAATAAAAATAATGATTATATTATTTATTAAAATAATTTTTTATTATACAATATTATGTTCTCTCATTTATAAAAATTAAATTAATTATTAAAGGAACCTTTTGGTGAATTTATTTAAGAGAACTATTATTAAGTCGGAAAAAGTTAATCTGAAGTGTAAGGTATCGTGACTGTATTTAGCTTTTAATTGAATGTCTAAGTCTGTAATTCATTTTCTAAATTTCTCAATCGATTATCTTATTAAATTAATTATTCCTATATAGAAGAGATATTTACTCTTAATTTTGTAACTTCGAATTCTAATTAGTTATTTCTATCTGAAAGCATTTAATTTTACAACTTTATTTAATGGTTTTCTATATAAATAAAATTATCCAATACCCAAACTTAAAGAATCGATTTATTTTTCATACAAAATTAAATCATTGTGCATTTCTTTCATTTTTGCAAAATTACTATTCAACTCATTTTTATTTAAAGAATCAGCTTACAAATACTACTCAAGTTAGCTTTTTAATTATTGATTTTATTGATTTAAATTATAAAGGATACCATCTCTTTTTTATAATTCTCCTTCCATATTTTAAATTTAATTTGTTTTTGAATCTAAAATTGTTTTCATTTCATTCTACTTAATTTAAGATTAATTTATGCTTTAATCTAAATTTCCTTGTTTTTTTTTCAATTCTTATTCAAGGTATTAACATTATTGAAATAATTAATCTTTTTATTTTTGTAATTATTAAAGTTGATTGGATTATTTTTTAATTTCTTATTCAGAATTAATTAGTTTCTATTATTAATTTAGATATTCCTATTTACCATTCTTCAAAGTCTAAGCTAATTTTTCTATTTCTTTTTGTTCTAAGCAATATTAAACAATATATTACATAATAAATTTTATTAATTTAAGTTTGAGACGGCTTCTTCTTGCTTCAATAATAAATTTTTAGTACTATAAAGTTCTTTTTCTTTAATTTCTAATTATTTAACTTACTATTTTAACAACTCGATTTAATGGGCTTAATTAGCAATATTCTTTTAATAAGAATTCAGTTGCCCTTATAAATCTGTAATTTATAGAGTTGCTCTATGTAATTAATCGTTAGAGTTTTCTTATTATTTTTTAAGTTCGAAATTCAACATATCTAAAGTGGATTTCATTTTCTTGTTATCTAAAAATAATTATTCGTATTATTCTCGATGCTATTCAATTTTAACATCTTTTTCTCTTAATTATTATTTGTATATATCGATATACTCTTTTAAATTACTATTTTCATGTTCAGTTGAATTAAGATAGACTAATTATCTTTTCTAATCTTAAACTTAATCTTATAGATCTTTAATTTATTTATTTAGATCATTTGACTTAGAAGCTAAGATATTGTAATCTTCCAACTTTTTTTATAATTTTTCCATTTCAGCTAACTTATATTGGTTCTCTTGGAGAGCTTCAGATTTTCTACGAACTTCGGATTTTAATTTAACAATCATTTCCTCTTAATAATCAAATTTGGCTTTGAGTTCTTGTTCAATAGACTTTTGGTTTTTAAATGATTATCTAAAAGGATTAGAAGGAAAACTGAATACAATTCAGGTTAAAGTTAGTCGATAGCTTTTTTGAGTTGTAAATTCTCATTCTGTAACTTCTTCATTTGTGTTCTAAATAACATAATGATATAACTTTAAGTCTTCTCTTTCTTCCATTAGTGATTGTTGCTTTTCAAGAAGTATTTATTCTTGTGGATTGATTTAGTTAATATTATAATTCGACCTAAATGATTAATCTTTTTGTGTTAAGTTGGATTTAATTCTAAATGAAAACAAAAACTTACGATTGTCTATCATTTTCCATTGTGGGTGGATGCAAACTATTGTAATTATCATATATAAAATTACAGATTAGCTGGTAGTAACGTATTGAAAGGTTGAGGAACTGGAGTAGGTTATTAATTTGTATTGTTTTCTTTTGGTCTAGATAGAGGGCTTTGTGATGGAATTTATTTGTCTTTCTAATAGTCATTTTATCCTAAATTCTGATAGGAAAGCATTTATAAAGAAAACACAATTTTTATGTTAATTTCTATTTTTCATTAAAAGAAAAGGAGCAAAATTCATTAATTTAATTAAAATGTCTTAAATTGACCCTGCATATTTTGAAAAGCTAAAAGACTAGCTTAACAACCTAAACAACAATAATGAGAGCTTTACCGAGAAAAATATCCTAGATATTAGAGAACGTATAGGTCGTATTTCAGAAGAGGTACATCAAGAAAGAAATAGAGACACAAATCATGTATTAATTCATAAAAATGTTTATAGTAAGTCCTTTAGAGTAATTAGAAAATTTTCGTTGAGAATTGTTTAAGCTTTATTGTATATGTATTACAACATGTTGAACCTTAAACATCTCGCAATACGAAATTTTCTATAAGAGCTGCCATATTAGAATTATTACAGAAGAAAATTCTTTTATAACACATGACATTTCAAGTTGTTGAGTAGATGACAGTTGTGTTGGAAAAAGATAATGAAAATAATGCAGCTATAGTCATACGCATCATTAATGATCTATTAAAGTCAAACCAATAATAATCTCATCAATACTAAAGATCGAATACTTTATTTTCAGATTAATTGTTATTGAGACTGTATTCCTTCTTTGAACAACGTATTGAATTCTTGGTTAAATTTAATAATGAACTCAAAAGATCCCAATATAAAAAACTTTTGGGAGATAATTAAAGTAATCCTTTCTAAGACCAAAATTATGTGTTGTAATCAGATCTTGAGGATAGAAGAGAGAAAGATATTAGACTAAATATTCATAGCTTATCATTTGTTACTAATATACCAACATTTTTTATTTATACAATTTTTGTTCTGGATTCTATTGTGAAAGATGAGGTAATCATTTAATTATTTATATAGACTAAAACCTAAATGAGAGAAATCTTAAAGAGAGCTTTAAAGACTATGAATTAAGTGATCAATGAAACTAATTTCCAAGATTTATTATAAAAAGTTCCAAGAAATATAGTTTAAGAACTTTTTAATGCCTATTCTAAATTTTTATAATTACTTGCTCTTACAATAAAAAGAGATGAAAATTCTATGCAACCCTAATCTAGAATAATTAAAGATATATCTGATACTATTAAATTAGATTCAGTTGTTGCTACTATTATTAAAACACTTAAACATTGTCCAGTTGATTTAATGCATCTAAGAATTGATATTAGCAATCGTCTTAAATAATCTCTTGTTTAAAAAAGAGATCCAATCTAATAAAATGATATATAAGAGAAAATAAATGAAATTAATGCAAATGTTGCTGAATTAATTGATGAAGAAACAATTGTAGGAAAGAATCTTAAAATACCTCCACATTAAAAGACTAACATCTATTAAAATTGGTTGGATATTGTTAAACATATAGTTTCAAGTTATCTTCCAAAGAATGATTAATAAACATAATCACCTAATAATTTAGAGAGAATGTAAACAGAATTTATAAATAATCAATCATATATGGAAAAGATTTTCAATACCATATTTAAAGTATTATTTGATTCTTCTTTGTAATTATCAATTCATGAAAAAGCATTAGATTTAATGAAAGTATTTTTAGAATTATTCTCAAAACAAAATACTTATTTCATAGATAAGAATTTGTTATAATATTATATCGATCAACCTTAACAATAATAATAGTAAAATGATTCAATGTTTAAGGAAGTTACAACTCATAGCCCAAAATATAAATTGTTAGATAGATTATTTTAGATGATTGGAATGAAATTAGCATAAATTAGAAAATAAATCTAACAGATCAAAGAAATGTTAAATAGAACTTAAAAATGGGGTAATATCAAAAAAACAACACCATAAACAAATGTATCATCTATGCCTTGTAATAATGAAGCTTTAAATGAAAGATACATAACTTAATTAGAATAATATATAAAAGAGAATGAGATTGACATTGATTAGAATCTTATCACTTAATAAGATTAAGCTGCAACTTAAGTTTATACTTATGATGATGAGGAAGAATATTAAGTAAATTCTATAAGTATTAATTCATACAGTTAATTTGTTGAATTTGCAAAAGAAGTTAAATCAAAAATATTTGATTAATTAAATGAAATATTATAAAAATTGCTCCACTTTGTAACTACAACTAATAAAGAAATAGTAATGAAATATAAAAATAGGCCAAATTGTTAAATTTCATAAAGATTAGCACCTTTAGTTTAAGCATCAAATGATGGTAAACCATATTTAAGTAATTTGTAATGTCATTATATGTCTAAGATTATGAAAAATGGATTAATGATATTTGATGAATTACATGATCATCAAAGAAATCATTTTGAGATTTTGGATTATAAAAAGAAAACAATACCTTTCTTTATGCAATTTTTCATTTAATTTTAAGACCCAATAAATTTTAAAAATATTTTTGAACCTAATTCTAAATTATTGTTAAAGATTTCTGTAAATTTAATTAAGACTTGTCCAGAGACTCATTGTCTACCATTATTATTATAAGATCATTTATAAATATTAAATCATCCAGAAAATTAAGCATAAGCAAAATAATCAGTAAAATATTATATCGAATTCCTATTAAATTTATATTTGAGAGAATTGTAAAGTACACCAGAATTACCATCTAAATTTGGTTATTGTAGAGGTGGTTAACTTATATAAATAAACAATCAAAAGACTTAAAGTGTTTAATAAAAAGATTAAGATGAATATATTTCATTAATTTAGAAATTATTAAGAATTCCTATAAGATTATTTCCTAGAGTGAAATGCTAATAAAATGAAGAACCAATAGTTAAACCATTAGTGAAATAGTTGATTTTATTTTTTGTAAAGAAATCTCATGAAACATATTACCCAATTGATTTTTTAGGATTGTTATTATCTCTTGTAAAAAGAATTTAAAATAATGATTAAGGTGAAGGATTATCTAAATATTTTTAATAATTATGTGATAAATATGATAGAAATGATAGATAATAGATTCTTTAAAGATAATAATATGAGATGTATCATAAATTAAATTTAAGTGGAGTGAATATTGTATTAAATATGTTTGAATTATTTTAAACAGGAATAGTAGAGATATAAGATATAGTGGCAGAAGTAATAGCTAACTTCCCTTTGTAAAAACCAATTCAAATAAATTTAGCAAAATAATACCCAGTTTTTGCTTAATGTTTATTTAGAGCATTACATAATATTTCCACTATAGAGAATTAGGTAATTTAAAAAACATTGATGTTATTGGAGAATATCGTAACAAATTTAAGTATGGAAGAGATGCGAGAATTTTTTGGAGATCTTCTTTAACCATTTATAGAAAAATTACTTACATTCCCATCTGAATATAAAATGGCAGACATCTATTCAAAACAAGCTAACTTATTTTTAGATCCTTCATTCAAATCTTTGAAGATATTATCAAAATTAGGAGCATTAGTTAGAAAATCAGAATGGCCAATAGAAGTAAAAAGGAATCATACAGACAATCCTTTCATAAAGAATCAATATTTAGAAGTATAAATAGAGGGATTGCAATCAAATTTAAAGATTAATCTTTCAGAAACAGTGAGATGTGCAGTTGAAATTCTTTAGAATGTATTAGAATAATAATTAGCTACATATTTATTTAAATAATCATCCATATAGCATAGTTATTCTATAGTGAAAATGGTGCTTTTAGGTTATTATAAGATGCCAATATAATTTGATCATGATTTATATAATTATTAAATACCAGAAGGAATGGCATTATATATGAAATTACAATCTCGTTAATGTGAAGAAGATTTATTAATAAACAAAGATGAAGAATTAATAGCAGCAGTAACAAAAGTGTTTATTGGTTTAAGTAATTTTCATAATATAATTTAAACAATTACAACAGCTACATTTCATAAAATTAAAGAAGATGTAGAAAATGTAGTAACAACTTTATCTGAAATGTTTTTTATTTAATTAGCAGATGATCATTGTGAATAAATTTAACAACTTAAATAAACTAAACCAGATTTAAATTCACTTTTTGCTATGACAGAAGATATTGTTTCAAAATATTTAAGAGAAAAACCTTAAGTTATAAAATGGATCTCTCATCTTTTTAAAGGTCTTAATAAGAGATATATGCTTACTGCTGAAGAGAATATGAATTTTAAAGATTTCTATATTTAATAACATGAATTTATTTGGAATAAATTACTTATGGGAAATTGTCTCAATAAATATAAGAAAATACTTTCTACACATCTTAAAAATAATAATGAAAACATGATATGGGCTTATAATGTCTATTATACGGTTGTTGTTCGTTTATTTGAAGAATTTGTATATGAAAAATTCGGGAAATAAACATAATTGTAAAAAGAAGATGATCGTCGTCGAAAAATATAAATTGTTTAATGTAATTATATTAAATAATTATTAGCTTATGGAGGTACTATGATTCCATCTGAAGGATTGAATTGCAGATCTATTTCTATTGAATTATTGACTGAAATTTAGAATCTTCGTCCAAAATTTGAGGATTATTATACATCTAATTAAATTGTTGGCTTACCATATATACCTGATTAAAGAATCGTAGAATGCTCATTTATTTTACTTAGATAATTATCAGAAACTATTAGAGTTGTATCTCAATAATTAACTAAGAATTTATTATTTTAAACTCTCAATTAATTGATCGAGAATCTTAATTTTGATCATTCAAAATATCCTCATTAACATTAAAGTACTCTGATTTTAAAAAATAAATTAAGAGAGTTTGTCAAAGTCGTAACTCAAAACTGTTTTACATTTAAAAAATCATTGTTGTAGATTTGTACTGAATTATTTGATCATATAATCAGCAATTTCTATTAGGGTAATGCTGGTCCATTATTTTATATGAATCTTGGTGAAGGAATGAATTAAATGTTTGAAGAACAAATTAAACCCATTCCCTTAGATGATATTGCAGGATCAAATTTATAATAATTATATTGGGTTAATATTGATTATTCTGATATCCCTAATTCTCCATATACTTAAAATACAGTCTTACGAGAATTAGTTTTAATCATCAAGTAATTATGTGAAGAATAAAAAATGTCAGACATTACTGCTTAAAGGTATGCTAATGGTTTTAGAATATTAACATACTTGTTATCAAAATAAGGTAAGTCTAAAACCTTTTAATATTATTTATTTAAGATTGTTCAAATTGAAAATGAACCTTCCTTAATACCTAGCATTGATGAATTTGTATAATTATCATTTAAAATCATCTAATAAAATGAAGAAACTTATTATAAACAATCTAAATTGATTCTAACTAATGATGAATAATAATTATAGAATGCTCATATCAATGTATCACATGGATTAGATGATTTAGAATTCAAAATTAATATTGAAGATATCGATTTTGAAATCAAATGGTAAAGTTATATGGTTGTTGCTGTTTATGGTTTCTTAAAATCAATGGCTACTGTTAATTACATATACCTCATTCAAAAACATCTATAAAAAAATATTGATAAAAATCAATCAATTAAACCTCCAATTTTAGCAATGAAATTCAAAACTGTTGAAATTCTGTATGAAGGACTTCTCAGAGTTGAATCTAGTATTAGATAAGCAGGATATCGTTATCTTTAAGATTTATTATAATAGGAAGGTATACCTAATGATAAAACCTTATTTGAAAATGATGATCGATTAAAAAAAGTTATGAAACCATTGCTTACTTGTGTTTAGTCTGACATCTTTCATTATGTTCCTTCATTTTTAAAGTCTTTGAAACTAATCTTGAAAATATTCAGTAAGGTATTTCATAGAGCATTATCTGATAAATTATAAGGCCATTTAACAAGGATTGTTTAAGAAAATATTCAATAACCTTTAGCTCCAAATGGTTAATTTTGTACATAGATGGAATGGTTCTATTAATAGCATTAATCATAAGAATCCTTAAACTTCTAGATGGGCATTGTATCTGGGTTATTAAAATTATTTTAACATCTAACATCATAACTCACAAATCCATCAACTGGATCATCAACTATTAATATTGTCTAGAAAATTATTACAGATACTAACAATCTAAGACGAAATTATGTTTTTAAAGTATCATAAATGTAATTAAATTAATGTATCGATAAACCATTAGTTAAATTTTTAAACACTTTAGCTGCTAATTATTTTGATGTCTTTTAATCCTCTTATAATATTGCATAGATCTAATAATTTTAAAGATAATTAGAAGGAGTCAGCCAACTATTATCTAATCAAACTCCAATCAAAGGACTTTGGGAATAATTAAGAGAACGTCTTCAATATATTAAAACAGTTAGACAAGTTATTTCAGAACCAACAGCATTTCCATTAAGAGAGAAATTATGTAGAGAAAAAAGTTAATTAGCATAAAAAATGGAAAGATTTAATAAATTTATTGATGATCTTAGTTCTGCTTTAGAAAAAGGATTATTAAATGTTTAAACTCCATTAAATCCAGAATAATAATAATCATTTCATTAATCTTATCTTTAAAAATTAATTAATGTTATAAGTGAAATAAAGATAGAAATTGTTTAATTCGGATTTTAATTATGTAAAAGAAATCCATCATGTTTAAAAAAGAATAACCATTTCTTAGAGAATTGTATCTTAAATAATATAAAAGATCTCTTAGATAAATAAAAATTAAATAATTAAAACAGAAGATTTCAATAGAGTCATTTACAATAAGCTTATAATCAATTAATACTATCAAATTAATAAATAAATAGTTTACTAAATAGACATTGCAGTATGTTAAAATAATTCATTTCCTAAAATGAAGATAGTAGAACAGCTATTTAAGGAATGTTAAGATTAATACTTTATTCTACATAAGATAAAGTAAGAAAATGGGTTTTGAATGTAGCAATGAATAAATCAATATCATTAAGAAAAAGAATTATTGAAATTTGGATGGATAATTTCAAATTTTCTGATGATGATTAAATCAATCAAGTTTAAATGATTACTGGATATCATGTAATCTATCCTATTTTATTCCATTCTAATTAAAGAAATGATTTGAATTAAATAAGCTAATTGTCTCTATTTTAAAGAATGAAAGAGATTAATGATGACTTTTTTAAATATTATGGTAAAATTTTAAGTGATATTGAACATCATTGTCCAATGAATTTTACTTATAAATTACCTAATAATTTAACAGCAAAACTTTCTGATGTAAATCATTATTATAAATCATCAGTGATAGATATGCTTTAAATTAGTTCTTATTTATTATGCTTTTAAGAACAATAATTACCTTCAGATTTAAAGATGTCTTTCTTATAATTTGGATATGATATGATTAACAAATCAGATAAATTGGTAGCATTTCACGCTAATTTCTATTTTAGTAAATTTTTAAAAAAAATTGGATTAATTTAAAATGATCCTATATCTGTAAATAAGAGATATTTGAAAATATATAATAAAGCCTTAAAATAATTAGATGAGAGTGGATAATCTGAATAAGAATTATATAGTTTATGTAAGAAGATATTAAGTGTTGTCTTACCATGGTTGGATTAAGTAGAAGTACAAGATCAAAAAGATTGGATTTAAGCAACATAATAATTACTCAAATAAGAATAATAAAATTTGGATCATGAATAGGCTTAAAAAGTTAGTAGATTCTGGTCAATGTTTATTAAGAATCATAAGATTTTTCACAAACATCATGAATCATTTACCATACATATAATCAATTCTATGTAATAAATTGGATTTTTCAATTAGAACTAATAACCTCAAGCATAAATTATAATTAATAGTTATCAAAATTATAGAAGAATTGCTTTGGATATGGCATTTCTATAAGTAGAATGGAAGACAAAATTAATTAAGAATGATTTGTTATAAAATAATTCAAAGAAATTCCGTGATTCATTTTATTAGAGCGAAGCCCAAAATCATGATGAATCCTTATCAAGTGAAATCTATTAATCTTTTTTTATAAAATAATCATTAAAAGCTCATAATATAGAGGATGCTGAGCTTTAAAAGAGGGCATTATATTTATTAAAAAAAATATTAATAATAGCTCCCCTTACAAATTATAAAATGAATATGGAAACGGTGAAAAAGAATATTGCAAATTTAATGAATTCAATAGTGGAACCTTAATAAGGGAATTAGGCAATGCGAACAATATCATTATAACCTACAGCTTCTCCTTATTTTAGATATTTCTTAATTGTATTACATATACTAACAATAATAGCAGAGTTTTAACCTGCAAACAAGATAAGTTAATTGTATTAACCATTTTTTGATATAATTTTCAATATGAATCAATTACCAGATTAAGTCTAATAATAAATGCCTCCTAGACCAAATGCTGGAAGAATTCCTCCAGCATAACCTAGATAACCACCTCCTTAATAGAGAATGTAGTATAATTAACCTCCATTGGATAGATCTCAATAACATTAAAATGCATTAAGTTAAGATCATGCTCCTCTTGTGTTCTAAATTTATAATATATTTAGAAAATTAGTGAAGAATGCAAAGGAGAATTTGAATGAATAGAGTGAACAATTTTTAAATTAACTGTCAAATTGGGTAAAGGAAACTATATAATAGCATCCTTAATTTAAAAGAAATAATCCTTAACCAATTAATTCATTTATGGGAAATAGAATTTCAACTTAAATAGTAAAAGTTAATATTTTGTCAATATTTTTACTGAAATTGTTTTTCAATCATGATTTTAGTTATGTAAGACCTTTATTGGGTTCATTAAAGAGAATAGCAGAAATGTTGATTGAATATTTAAAATAGAAGGATAAGGGAGATTAATATTTAGATAATATGAGAAAGTATACTATTCCTAAGAAGTAATTTAATATAAAAGAAAATGAGCAATGGGAGAATGATTCTTAGAAATAGTATACTCATTCAGATTTATCATAATATATAGGTGATTTTGGATTGATGACAGATGATTTTCCATTTGGAGTTAAAAAAAGTGATGAAATACTTTATTTTCCAGAAGAATTTCCTGAAAATTAGAAGATTAAATTTCATTTATATAGATCTGCTCTTCAAAAGACATTAAAGATGATAGGTTATAATTTTGATGAAATAAAAGATTAGAAGGAATAAGTGGATTATTTACAATAATTAATTTGGATAATAGAATCAGTACCAGATTATGAGTTGAAATTGGAATGTATAGCAATATTAAGAATGTTATTTATTAATGGAATATCAAATAGAGAAGGCTATTTATAGGCTATATCACTTTATTTATCACCAGTAAGGTCATATTAAGTAAGATAAGAATTGAATAGAATGGAAGAAAATTTGTAGTTTAAACCATCTAAAATGCCATATGAATAATAATTAAGTTTCTTTTTTGATTTAAACAAATTTCAAAATATGTTTGATAGAAAGATTGATTAAAGAAGTTCTGATAGTTATGATAATCAACATGGAAAGATACAAGACTTGAAAGTGTTGAAGTTATATTTTATGTTCTTATGTGAACTATTATTGGTATATCCATTTAAGAAATAATAAGGATCGATAAACAGTGGTTTTTATTTATTAAAGAATATATTTGATAAAGGAAATGGTTCATTAAGAGAATTTAGACGAATTTTATAAGTGATTAGTAAATTAAGTACATGTTTAGATTATTTGTAATTCTTTTATAGAATGATTCTTGATATTTATGGATATACTTATGATAGATTCCTACAATTTGTATTAGGTGATCCAAGTTGTAAATAATAAGACTAACCATTATAAACAGAAGGAGAAGAGATTATGTTGATGGCAGTGAAATTCTTAATGTTAGGAAGAGGATAAATGATATATAATAAAGAATTTTAACCCACTTAACCTAATTAGATAATTGTAAAAGTAGTACCTAAAGATGAAGACTCTATAATGAGAGAATAAGTACTTAATAAATATTTGGCAATTTATTATCGAAAGAAATATTGGTAGAAATTATACAATTCTAGTATAAAGTTATTTACAAGTGAATATCTACCATCAATAGTCATTTATAATTTATCGTATATTCCAATATAAGATTAACCATAATAGCCATTAAGAGAATGTATAATACCAAGTGCTGCCATTGAATTAATGGGTACTGCTGCTAATGTTAGTAGTCGTTTACTTAAACCTATTTTTAATCAAGTAATTTTAAATGATATTAAAACAATCACACAAATTACTGATTATCTATCTTAATAATCGGTATCTAATGGAACTCTATAAACTATATCAAATTTCTTGGTTCAATAGATTATATCTCAGGTGAATAATATTTATGATTTTATGGAAAATCAATAATGCCATCTAAATTTCAATAATCTAATCATGTGTCTTAGATAAAAGAATCTTTTACCTTTAGCATAATATTTATTGGAATATATTTATTAATACTTAAATGAAGATTCATAATATTATTCATAATTAAATGAAGATATACTTGTATAATTATAAGGAGTATATTAAGAATAATGGAATAAGTAATGTTTACTGGGATGTAAATCTTTAAGCGCCACTTAACCTTGGGTTAGATAATTGGTATTGATGAATTAATTAAGAGAACCTGCTTAATCATATTAATTAATATTAAACAATTAAGAAACTATTGATTAATTTTGGTTGTATTTAGAATAAGAAACTCATGAAGCATAAGGTATTTAAAAAGAATATGATTCATAAATAATTCATTAATTATTTACAGAATCACTCTAATAATTAAATCAATGGAATACTCTTAAATAAATTGATTTGAGTAAAGTTTAAGCTGTATAGAATAAAATTATAATGGGTTTTAGAGAAAGATAGAGAGATGCAACAGATTAAGGATGGAAAGAATTAAATCTATTATCAGAAGTGAAACCAAATATGCAATAGAATGATCTCTATTGTTATAATTAAGCTTATTTTAAATTACTGGATTTTGTTAGAGATGAAGCATCTTCAAATTAACATGGAAGAGGAGGTAATCATGTATTATAATCAATTGAATAAAATCTTAAATATGCTTAAATAATCAATTGTTACAATTTCATTAAAACTTTACCAAAACTAACATAATCTTATGATTAAATGATGTCATCTCCATAATTATGGGGTACTAAATTCCTTAATTTTGTATCATAATTCTAATTATATACTGAATTAGAAGAAAGTCTCAGATAATATGCTCCTACATAACCTGCTTATCCTGGTTAAGCTTAAAATGCTTATGATTCATTATTAGATGTTATATCAAATGCATATTAATCTAGTCTATCAAGTAAAAAATACTTTTTTGAAAGACAACCAACTATTATTGATTAATAAGAATTCACTTTTGATTTAATCAGCTAAAGAATGGTGTAATTATAAATGTGTCTATAACGATTTAATGGATAACTTAATTAATTTATAAACAATTAATAATTACCCTCAACTATCATTCTAGATTAAAAGAGTTATTAACTAGCTGCTTTAGATTATAAAACTCTCTTATATCCAATGAGATATTATCAATAGAATGGTATTTTTGAATTATTTGATGAATAATCAATTTTAAAAGAAGTACCTAAAGCATTATAAATTTATGCAGAAAAAGTTTATCAATTAGAAAAAATTAAATTTAAAACTGCCAAATTTTAGGATATTGATAATAATCAATAGAATTTAACAGATTTGTTTAATTATTTTAATGTCTAATAATTAGGAACTTATAGTGCAGAAGAATTCAAAAATTACATGATTAGTAAAATTAGAAGATATAAGATGATTAATCAATTTTATAAATTATTAAGATTAGATCAATAATCAGAATCTTCTGGTATGTAAATTGAAGAATAAAAATTAGAAATTATGGTAACTTAAACAAATGAATTCTTTATTTAAAATTAAGTAAACTATTTAAAATTCTGGAAAGATGTACATAAAGTTTATTAACTTGCTCATAAGAAATATAGTAATAATATCAAATTTGCTCATCATTATATTTAAATAACACCTCTTAGTATGTAATATAAACCATAAAAATTCCCTATTACAGGTATGTATATGTTTCATATTCTAAACATAACAAATCCTACTGATTCAATTGTAACAGATGCATTCTCTTAAATTGTTGGATCTATACCTTTACATCTATTACAAAGATTCATAACTTAATTAATATCAACATATTTATAAACTCCATGTGATTCAACCAAAAAAGATTGTTTAGAAGCTATCAATAAATTATGTATCTTCAATCCTCTAAATAGTTTATAACTTATATAATATATAAAAAGTATAGGTTAATGTAATGATGAAAGATCCTCATAACTTATCAATTCAATTCAACATTCCTCTAAATTAAATCAAAAAATTGCTTCTATTTACTCATTACGTTATCTTTATAATTCTATTTATGATTAATAAGTTTGGAATAATGTTGAAGAAATTATTTATCTATGTGGTAAAATCTTGGATTCCAAACATTTTGAAATTCCATCTAATAATCTAAATGAAAAATGTTAGACAATTTTAAATATTATCTAAAAGAATCCATAAATTAAAGAAATGATAAAATACTATTGTTAAATTAATGATTTCAATAAATAACTTAAAGCAGATCAATTAAATACTATATAACTTATTTATCTAGCTTCTTTGAAATGTATATATATCAATCTTTTTGGAATCAGTATGAACTCTAAAGAAGATTTCCCATTATAATTAAGCAATTCTATCAATTCATTAATTCCTAAATAAATTTAAATTGATTAATTGTATTCAATTAATGATGAATTTTCAATGAATTAACTTCCAATGTTAGGATATGATGGATTAATCAAAAGAACTTAAGCTTATGAAACTATCTACATTACTAATATGTTTCCAACTATTCATATTATGTTTTTAAGAAGAAAAAGATTTATAAGATAATTAGCCTTATTGGGAAGTGATGAAAAAAAATATCTATTCCTTTTAAAAACTAAAAAAATTGAAAACAAAAGAGTTATTCAAACTATTCTAGATGAACATATTTCAACTTAGTTTGTTAAAATGACCAATATATTGAATTAAAATTATAAAGAGACCAAAATTAGAAATGTTAAACATATGCTTTCAGATAAATATCTTTTAGAATATGAAAAATTAAATTATCAACTTGAACCATATCAAGAAGAAACTTACAATCTTAGTAATATTTTAGACACTATTCTTTAAATCCATTATCATGCTAATCCAAAAAATGATTCATCTGTAAAAATACCTTATTATAAGTAATTATAAAATAATTATAATTTAGTCGTTAAATAGAAAAAGATTATTTAAAGAAATCTGATTTAACTAATTACATACTGAGATTTTCAAAAACAATTGACACTTTTGTTTAAATAAGAAAAATTATAGTTGTCAATATTGGTGTTCATTATGCTTTATCATTTACAATGGCTAGTAGTTAATCACCTAAATAATTGGAAAATCTTCAAATTAATTTAAGCAATGGAAATTTCTTTTAGAAGAAATATTTGTTTAAAGTCAATAATCAAAGGCTTGCTTTATATGATCCATTTGCTATAAGATATTCAAGAAATATTGAACATTTAGTTGGTGAAGTCAATCTAAATGCATATTTAATACCATCATTTACAGCAACCATTATAGGCATTCTAAATATCGAGTAAATATTTTTATTTATAAATTTTTAGTCTTCATGAATACTTGAATGTTGTATTTTGGTAATTAGGATGTAAAGATTCTCTTGAACCATTTATTAAAAAATTAAAAGATGTTGTTTATGATAATGATGTTATAGATTCTAAATGTGATAGATTAATAGTAATTTCAAAGAATTTATTCAATGGTTAAGAGAAACTTAAATTATGGGTAAAAAGATGGTTCTGATTAAGTTTTTATGAATTATTATCATATAATTATTTCCTATCAGATCTAAACTATGATCTTTTTAATATATTAATATATAAATTTGATTTAATAATTATGACTTAAAAATTTACAAAGGAACAATAATTATTAATTGAAGAAATCATTAATAAAGGTTATAATCAAGAAGATTTTGAGTAATTCGTACTTTAGAAAGAACCTGAAAAAGGTATGAAATATATTATACTTAGGATATGATTTAAGTGAATGGACTTATGACGAATTATTTCGAATCATTTAACTTTATTAACAAGAAAGTAAATTTTAGTATATAAATGAAGAATAAGACTCATACTAAGTTTTAACTCCAGTAAATGAGCCTGAATCACCAGATATTTAAAGCACATATTAAATTATTGACAAGGAAGTATATGCTTAAAATTAAAAATAAGACTCAATTAAACTTGTATATGATATCTATTATTAGACAATTAGAATGAAAAAATGCATGTTTTACCATATGAGAAAACTATCAAATGCAAATAATTGTATTTTTTTATTGATGAAAATGTTGAATTATAATTTGAAATCAGCGCGTAATTTTTAAAGTTTCATTTAAGACCTATTGAAGAAAGAGGTGGAATTTTAGACTTTTTCTAAAAAACTATTGTATTTCCTATATAAGTCAACCCTATGCAATGGAAAATTAAAAGAACTCTATAAGATTTTGGTCAATTAAGAAATATACTATGTGCAGCCTTTCCTGAATTAATAGTATTTAATTATATAATTAGATACCTTCATTTCCATATAAAGACATAGATGATTATGATATTATTATGAAGGAGTAGTAGAATATTTTAAAAGTCTTAACTGTATTTATTTATATTTAAAAATATTAGATATTTCTATAAATTTACAACAAAAAACCAATCATAAGAACTGTTGCTGCTAGTTTACATTTTCTTAGTGAAACAAATCCAAAACAATTTTAATCAAAATTTTATAATGAGTAAACTCTAATAAAATAATTTAATCTCAATCAAAAATAATCAAAGACAGGAACACTATCCGTTTAATTTAATTAAGATTAATATTAAAAATATAAAGATTATTAAACATATCTAAATGCAGAATAAGCAAACTATGAAATTATTTAAAAACATTTAGAATAATTTGCTGAATTTACTTATAAAGGATAATAAAGTTTAGGATTTTCAATTGAAATGATTCATTAATTATGCATTTCCCTTCCTTAATACTTTGAGGCATAAGAATTTGGAAAAGCTTTGAGTATGATAAAGTCTCATTTTGTAAAAATACTTTGTTAATTATTATTAGTAAACCTAAAAAGATTTTATCTTAAGATCTACTAAATAGATAATGGATGTTTTATTGATTACTCTCCTAAAATTTAAAAACTCTAGATAACAACTTTTTGAATTAAAATCCAATCTCAATGAGACATTATAAAATTTTTCTAATGAATTCTTTCTCTTAGAAAAAAGAAAAGAAGAACTTTTTACATTAAGTAAAATTTTAATATATGTAAGAGGATTTGTAAAAATGGGGTTTAAATTAAGAACTACAATCTAAAATAGATATAAGCAAATGTTTTACAGATATTAAATATGCTAAAGAAATAATGTTGCCTAAAGAAACCTTTTACGTTAATGAAAAAAAGGATTAATATGTTTATATGTTAAACCATTTTAATGAATAGTTTGATTAATAATTTTTAATCGAAACAGATAAGCTACTTAGTGAAATTCATTTTTATCTGGATAATATGCGATATTACACAAATAACCAAGTAAATATTAATTTTTAAATAAACTTAGTTGTAAAATTGGGATTTTCTCATTTAAGAATATGAAGAGTATAAATTTCAATATAGTTAAAATTTGAGTGTTAATGCATGAAAAATTTATTTTATAATTAATAAAATTAATTCAACTAATAAATTATTCATACTCTCGATAACTTTTCAATACCTACTTTTATAAAGTTGAGTTTACTAATCCAAATTTATATTAATAATCATGTTTTAGTAATAATTATAATAATTAAGTTTAAGGGTTTTATTAATTATTTAATAATTTTGCTTTTTTATAATTTCCAGATAACTTAATCTATTTTATTAGCTTTCTTTTAAATTAAGTATAAAATGTTTTGGAATTATTATACAATTAAATTTCTATAAATTAGAGATATTTTATTTATTTAAGGAAGTTTAATCTTTAAAAATGACTTTCCATTTGAACTGGCAAGTTTTAGATAATAATAATTATTTCTGAAAATTACAATAATAAATACTGAATATTAGATAAAATTCATGAGACAGAAGTTTATTCAGATTTAATAAATTTTTGTTCTTTTTAAATTTAAAATATCAAACATACTTTTTGATTAATTTGATTGAAAGTGAAAATGTTCTATGAGTTTATTGATTTCGCTTAGATTTTAATAAATAGGTTAAATTGATATTCAAATTATTTTGGAGTTATAAATGGATTAAATGAATATAAATGGGAATTTTTGAAGCAAATTATCATATTTAATTAATTAAAGAAAATATTAACGCTATGATTAAATAACATTTCATAAATTTCTTAGAAAATTAATCTTTTCAAACAAGGATTAAATAAGAAATCAATTTAAATTAATTTAGTTAATTGTTCTAACTTTGATTTATCATCTATATCTTTAAAATATCTTATGTATCCTGAGATAAAATAAATATAATTCTATATATTGATATCTTAAGTTTTTAATTTTTTATCATTCATAGAATCAATGCACATTAAAGGCATAATAAATTTCATTTATTTGTTTATAACAATTTAATAAAAGGTAAAATTCATCCAAGTTCCTATTTGTTGAAGAAGTTTAAAAACTTTTATTTTTATTAACTAATTCTATAGAAAAAATAACAAAATCAAAAACTATAACAATAATTGTGTGGTTAAAAAACCAGAAAAAAAATTTGAAATTTTGTATCATTTGTAATAAGTTATAATATAATATAATATAATATAATATAATATAATATAATATAATATAATATAATATAATATAATATATTATAAAAGAAAAATATATTTGTCTCTATTAAAAATGGACAATTTTTATTACGAAAATAATTAAAATTCTTAATTAATAGACTCTTAAAGGTTTTCATAAATTTTGGTCAAATTTTGACATAAAACAAGCATTTTCTTTGGTTTACTGGAGCTATTAAAATCAACTTTCAGATCTGAATCGTCGCCAGTTTAAATTTAAATTTAATACCATTGTCAACATCATCTCCGAATTTCCCTGATAATACATTTTAAACTATTTAGAGCTCAAATGACTCCATTTTCTGAATCACTATATATTAATAATCACTTGATTTTAAAATTTTATATTTATTTTATAATTAAAATCAATTATAGTATTTTATTCTTAATTTCTAGTTGTTATTTTTTTCTAAAACATACATAAATATTTATGAATTTAAGATTTAAAGATTTTAAAATATTTATATTTATGGATTTATTTTTTTTTACTTCTTCAAATCAATTATTTTTATTTCTTCTTCAATCCCATTTTGATTATAACCATCACAATTACAAGAATCTTTTTATTTTTATTGATTTAAAGTTTGATTAATTGAAAAATGATTTTCTGATTTAGGAGATATGATAACTTGATCTAAATGCATTTAAAGCAACTCAAATTTATTCTAAGTTAATCTATTAGTTCATTGTTTATTGGATTAAGCAATAAATTAGGTTGTACCTTAAATTTATAAGAATTTTCAAGCTTCAACAAATTTATTTTAACATAATTTAACTCTAATAAATTTATCATTTTTTGTTTTGTCAACTCTAAATGATGGATACATTGAAAATATACAAACTTCTTTATTTCCATGAGGTACAGCATCGTCTTTTCATTCAAAATTAGTATAACTCTCAAAAAATATATTTTTTATTTACATATTCGCATTTAATAATAACTAAGAGATTGGATAATGATTTTATTAAAAGATTATTTAATAATTCAAAGTCTTCTCATTTAAAAAATTAGAGTAAATTAATTCTAATTTTATAGTATCTTTATGAATAAAACATAAAATAAAATAAGCGTAAGCAATTCTTAATTTATAACAATGATGGATTACTCAATTATGGAGAAAAAAATTAATTTATATTAACCTAGAAATTTATCTAAATAATAATCTTTAATTAGTTCTTTTATGAAGATACAAAAAATATCAATAAAATTTACAAATTATAAGATAGAAATATTATTAAAATCAAGTTTAGAAAAATAACATCAACAAAAGATTTAATTGGTAATAAGTAAATCATCATTTAGAGGATAAAAGATAGATGATTAATTATCATAGATGAAAATTCTTTGATTGATTTTGAATATTTAAATTATTAAAGAATGTATTAATTGGTACAAATAGAGAGACCATATTTTTGGTATAGTAAGGATTAAATTTTTAAAACTGCCCAAAATAAAGATTTCTGAAAATAATTAGATTTTTTGATAAACAATTACTTTTAATTCATAATTTTATAGACCCAATAAAAATCAATATGCATATTATCCTAAAAATGAAATGTCATTCAAAAATTTCACTTCATCAAGTAAGAATTATTTTTTCGATTTAAGGAATGTGTTGTAAACAATACTCAGGGTTTGTTAAAGTTTATCTTAAGAATTTTTGATTTATAGAATATTTTTATGGTTTATGAAGATAAGTAGAAATTTTTGTTCTATTAGTCTAACAATTTTCTGATAATTTATTTATTAATGAATAGACAATAATTATTAAAAAAGTATCAAGATATTTTATTTGATTACTTGGAGAAAGTTAAGAAGAATATTCCAAAATAGTATCCTTCTTTCAAAGACTTTTTGAATAAAATGATTGGTATTTATTGAATTTAGAATTTAAGATCTTGTAAAATTTGAAGGTTTACCGAAATTAGGAAAACATTTGGTGGTTTTTAGATTGACAATTAATATGAGACAATCTAAATTAACTTAATTAGCTTTATCTACATTATTTGTAATAAATGAATTTTGAAGTAATTAGAAATTAGTTTCAAATTGTTTTATTGATGGGAGGATAGAAGACACTTCATAAGAATTCTATACAGATGAATTTTCAGAATTGTTTAATGATTCAACCTATAATAAAGGAGAAAAAAAAGTATAGCATAAAATTATTAAATATTTTAGACAATCATGGATGTATTAATTAATTCTGTAACATCATGTCTTTTTGATAAAGATGAAAATATAATTCAAGGTCTAAAATTATTAGTTGCATTTATTCTAAATCCATATTGTTATGTAACATCATAAAATCTCACAAGAATTATTAAAACTATAATCTTCTCTTATACTCGTATTCTATATTTTAAGCATAGGTTCTAGAACATAGACAGTAGATAGATATGCTAAGAATATGCTTTATTAGATTATTAATTATACATTTCAAGCAGTTGAAGGGGAAGTAAAATAGTTTTTATTATTATAATTAGGTTTTTACTATTTAAAGAAATAAACGCAAAATGTCAATCAAAGAAGATTCAGTATCAAAATTAACTTAATTGATTATGCTCTAATTGGTAGATCTAGTATGTTTAAATTAAACTCAACTAAAATTTTCTAATTAATCCAACATTTTAAATGAATAAGATCAACCATCAGGTTATTTTGGTTATTGTATAATGTGTAGAAAATCAGCTAATCTTTATTGTAAAGATCATAGAGTACCAATCTGTTCTTTCATATGTAAAAAACAACATTAGGAATACGTAGAACAAGCTTAAAGTACTTACATTGGAGCAGTTAAATAGTTTGAAGAAAATCTTGATTGTGCATTATAATTGTATGATAGTTTATGCAATTTACTACTTAATAGAACTACCTTATAATTAGCAAAAAATCAATAAATTATTCTTGAATGTATATTGTATATTCTTGAAACACCTGATTTTGTACTTAGTAAAAATTAAAAATTTATAAAAACAACAAAAGAGAGATTATGCAATTAATTATTAAAATATTGTTTAGAAACAGAAAAAACTTTGTATTAATTTAGTTTTAGAATATTTCAAAGAATAGTGAGTATTATGAGAAAAAACATCAAACATGAAATTGCCATCTTTATTAATTAAATTTATTTAAATATTCTTTTAAGTGTTAATTCAAATATATTACATAAGTAAATAGCTCTAGAAAGTTTATGTAGTATATTGGAAAGACCAAAAACTGGATTAGAGTTTTATATAAATTATGACTGTCATACAAAACATGAATGTTTGATGTAGAAAATTATTAATACTTTCTATGAAATTATTGTACTCTCTATTTATTAAAAAGCAGAGTATTAAATATAAAGCTAATAAGAAATTCTTTTAAAAAATTTGGCAATAAAGGCTTTATTTTTTGTTATTGAAGGTTTAAATATAGTATTTGATAAATTCATTATAACACCTTCTGAAGAAATGGGATTACCCTAAATAGAAGATTAGAATGCAAATGTAAGTGAAAACATTACAGTAATGTATACAAATCCAATTGAAATATAAAGATAATTAAAATAGGAAATAATGAAGGGATGTTAAATATTTTAGAAGAATCCAGATAAAGGAATAAAGTATCTTTTAGATGCTTAAGTGATTTAGAATGAGTAATTTTATTTGATTAATTTAGTGCAAAAGAAATAGCTAAATTTTTTAGAGAAAATCAGCAATAAATTGGTAAAGATGCAATTGGAGCATTTTTAGGAGGACATTAATAATTAAATATCAAAGTTTTAAGTGAATTTACAGATATGTTGAAATTCAAAGACTTAACTGTTGAATAAGCTTTAAGATATTATTTAGATTAATTTACTTTACCAGGAGAAGCAATGTAGGTTGATAGAGTAGTTTAAAAATTCTCAGATAGATATTACAAAGAAAATCCAAATTCAATTTTTAAATCTAGTGGTAGTATTTATACTTATTGTTATCTGTTGGTTATGTTATAAACAGATTTACATAATCCGTCAGTTGCAGAAAAAATGAGATTGAGTGACTTTTAAAAATTGGCTCGATCAATAAATGATGGTGACGATTTACCATCTGATTATTTAACATAAACTTATAATTCTATTCTTAAATAACCATTAGCAGTAAGAGAAAAAGAAAAGAATCGTGTTTTTATGAAGGTTTCATTAACTTAAAGTATAAGGAAAAAATAAGATTTATTTTAGAGAGAAAAGGAAGCACTTCTTAAATAAGGAAGTGAATTAATTAAGACTAAATAAGATTTCCATGAAACTATTTATTAAATAATTAATTAAGATATGGCTTATTTAATTAAACCATTTTTGGAGTGTATAGGTAAACCTTTATTTGAAATGTTTTTGTTTATGTTTAATAATGACCATATGGATCAGATTTCAAATTAATGTATTTAAGGATTAGTATTATTTATTAAGTTATGTTCATTTTTTTCAATTCCATTACAAGATTATATGAATACATTAATAAAAGCTACAAAACTTAATCATTTAGGATCAATATAAAATAAACATATCAATTTGATTAAATAAATTTTGTAAACTGTACCTTTGATAGGAAATGGATTAAGAGAAAATGGATGGAAAAGTATTTTATAAATGATTAGTCGACTTGATGAAATAAGAATGATACAATAATCTAAAGATAATTTTGATGGTTACAATATAACCATCTTAAATGAATCATTATTAGAATTTGATATAATCGATAAGATATTTATTTAATCAAAACTATTAGATGATGAAGCAATTTAAGAATTCATTAATGCATTATGTTTTATGTCAAAATAAGAAATATATCAATCTCATCCTCGTTTATTTTGTCTGTAAAAATTAGTAGAGGTTTGTGATTATAATATGAAAAGAGTTAGTTTTGTATGGACTAAAATGTGGAATATTGTAAAAGATCATATTAATGAAGTTGCAGTAAAAGAAAAGAAAGTTGCTATATTTACAGTAGATTCACTTAAATAATTAAGTATTAAATTTCTATAGAAGGATGAGTTATATGATTTCTAATTCTAAAGAGATGTATTAAAACCTTTCGAATTTATATTTTTGTAGTCTAATTTAGAAGTGAAAGAATTCATTCTTTCTTGTATTAATCATATAGTTTTGAATCATAAACACAATATTAGATCAGGTTGGAGAATGATCTTTGGTTTAATCACTTTAGGTTTGAAAGAAGATAATGATAAGATTTGTAAAATAGCATTTTAGATTCTATCCTAAATCATGGAACATAATCTTCATCTATTGTAAGATGTTTTTATTGATCTCATCCAAACTTTGAAAGTTCTAGCAGGCAATAATCAAGAAGATATGGCATTGGCATCTATTGATTTTATTATATAATGTTTAGGATATCTATCAAAATAAGCTTAAATTATACCTAAACTTAATTGGAATGAATTTGAAGAACTAGAACCTACTATTAGAAATGCATCAACAGCAGTATAACTTGAAAAGATCTGGATTCCCTTACTTGGAGTATTATCTGGATTAGCAGGAGATAAAAGAAATAAAATATAAGCTAAGTCTATGGAAACTTTATTTGAATCCTTATAATAATTTGGGTATGCCTTTAGTGCTGAATTCTGGAAAATGGTATTTAGTACTGTCCTTAGACCTATCTTTGATGAAATCTAATTTACATTTCAATAAAATCATTCTGTTGCCAATACTAATAATAATTGGTTTAAAGATTCATGTAAAAAAGGGTTTTCTTTAATTATTAATTTAATGAAAAGATATTTTCAAAAATTAAGAGCATTATTGCCTGAATTTTTAAAATTATTCGAAAATTGTATACAAAATTAAAATGCCAAATTGGCCAAATATAGTATTCATTCAGTTAAAAATATGACAATGAAAATTGGGATGATGTTTAATGAAGAAGAATGGGAATAAATTGTTTAATTTATTGATAGAATAATTCGATTAACAACACCAACCAAATTATCAAGTTTTGCTAATTAATCTTTAACTTCAAGTAGAATGAAAAATATGATTGAAGATTGCTTCACTTAATGTGCTGCTTAATTATTGATGATTTAAATAAGCATAGAGATTTTACATTATTTCAATTAAAAATTAAATTTGCAATAATTATTAATTATTGAAAATACCTTTCTTTATTCATATTAATTTGCTGTTTAATTTAATTCATAAATAGAATAAAGATATCTTTTATGGAAATAAGTAGTCTTATAAGACATGAAATTTTTACCTAGCTTACTTAAATAAGAAAGAGAAGCTTATGGCTGTATGATCATTATTAAAAAATATAAATTGAAGAATCATCATATTTTAGATTTTGATTCATTAATTACACCAATCGAAATTTTTATTAAAAAAAATGAAATTCTTAAAGCAAACCCATAATTCAATGATGAATAAGATTAAAATATCCAAAAATTAAAACTTTAAGAAATCGAGAGAGAAATTTCAAATTATAGACAACTATTAGATGTTTACATATTGCCAACACTTAGTGAATTAGATGATATACATGTAAATTAAATATCTATTTATTTTAGCTAAAATAATACAATAATCTGTTATTTTTTCTATTATTATAAGCAATGAACTATTCAAGTGACTTAATTATATGTAAAGACTGTGTTCGTTGTTAGTTATGCTTGCAATAAGAAAAAACCAATTTAGATTAATAAATTATTTAATTAGTTTAAAAATTATATGATTTAAAATGAATTTATTTTTAAAATTCTAATATAATGTATTAAATATAAAAACTCATCTTCTTTTTTTTCTTAAATTGGCATCCTTTTGCCCTTGCTTTTCAATATTATTTCGTACTCTAAAATAAACTGAATAAATACATTTAAGCAGCATCATCTTATCCTTTAAGCATAAGTATTTTATCCTATCTAAATGCTGAATCGCTAGGTAATAAATTAGAGGGTTCAATCCATGGTAAAATAGGATCATCTATTCTCCAACAGACATCTCCATCAATTTCAAAATAGGATAGCCATGATCCTTATCCTGTTGAAACAGTGATATTGGAAGCATTATTTTCTTCATCAGTCTTTTTAATAATATTATTAATTACTTTAATTAATTTTTTTATTTTAACATCAACCAAATCTGAAAGTGGTTTTTATTATTTTTATTACCAAAACATCAACGTATTTTTAATTTTTGTTGTACTATCTTCATAAACATAACTAAAACTAATTTGTGCTTCTAATTTGTCTTAAACGCATTTTACAGTGAAACCATCTAATTTGTTGACTACCCGATCTCCTTTCAATAGTCCATTAATAATCATAGGAGGGACTGAGATTTCATAAAGCTTGCCATCATTAAATTTAATATATTTTGGTTTAAGGTTTCTTCCAATGAGTTCAGAAAATGTTGGATGAATGTCAGCAAGAACTACTTCTCCTCCATAAATTTGCCATCCATCTCCAATCACATGATAGAGAGTAGTTGGAGGATCAGCTTTAATGAATTCACAATAAATTTGAGTTCCATCTTCTTTAATTCTGTGACAAGTTTCTCCAATCATGGGATCGATTGGAGCTAATGATTTTAAATATGTGTGATTTCCATGTAGATAAGAAATTTCATTGACAACAACTAATTGCATTCTTTTTAAGGCATCATCACATTTAGCAGCCTCTGTAAGATAAATGTAGGAATAATCAAAATCACTAAGAATGTAATAAGAATAGAAGTACAAAAGAAGACATTCATTGCTCGTCAAGGGAGCCGTTAAACATATGGGTTTAGGGATTGTAGCAAGGTTAAAATCACCTTTGGCAATTTTATTAGCAATCTATTTTAACATGGCTCCAGCAACTTAAAAAAGTTTTGTATCATCTTCTTAATTCATATGAACTCCACCTGAATAATAAAAGGTAAAAGTACCATTTTTATGTGCCATGGGATGTCTTGAATAGAGTTTATCCTTTTAAAACTTTTATCTCCAACTTTCATTCATTAAATAATGTTTGAAATAGAACGAATATCAATAATTAATTAATAATAGTAATAATATAATAATATAATAAAATAAAAAAATGATTCCGATACCGGGGATTGAACCCGGGTCCCCAGGGTGAGAACCTGATATCCTAACCACTAGACTATACCGGAAATGTTAATAATCATGAATGGATGAAGATTTTATATTTAATAAGCTATGATTTGATGAATAAATCATTTTTTGGCCTTGTGAGTATGATGTTTTTTTGATTAATGATGATTTTTATTTTGTTTTTTCTACAATAAGGAATCCCAATCAACATCTTTTTCTTCATAAGGTGTGTAATCAATTACATCTCCTCTATCTTCTTAATCTGTAGAATCGTCATTTTAATTATTTTGATTGTTATTGTTATCGTTATCTTCATCTTCAGAACTCCAAGCATTAGATACTTCTTTTAATGGAGTATAATCAATGACTCCATCTCTATCATTTCCATTTAAATCCTAATATATATATATGCTTATAATTTACAGATTATCCATCACTAGATCCATCAGTTGAATCAGTTGCATTTTGATCGACTTCATCATCAAAATTGCCAGTTTAATAATGTTTAATAAGCCAGTCGAATAATTCTATTTCTTCTTCCAATTTTAATCTATCTTCATCTACCCATTATTGATCATATTTCAAATCCTCTTCGGCAACTAAAAGTGTATATTCTATTTCCTTTAATCTGGATTAACATTTATCAACTCTGCCATATAAGGTAGTCAATTGATTTTAGAAATGCTATAGGAATATGATAGATTTTAAGTACAGTTATTAAATCATCTTAAACTTCAATTTATCTATTGAAAATATCATTTTCTTTCTCAATCCTCACTTTAAATTCAGAGAATGTAACTCCAATCTAAACTTAACCATTTTAACCATTAGCTACATCATCTTAAATTTCTCTCTCCATCTAATTGAGCATTTCAATTAATTATTCAATTGTGCCATTCAACTCAACTTCCTCTTGTTTTGTCTATAGCATATTCATCTTTCTATATTCTTTATAAGCAGTAACAATATGAGATATCTCAGAAATTGTGTTCTCCTTAACTTCTGCAAATGATGTTGATAATTATGCTTACAAAGTTGCTCTTAAATAAGCAATCAATCTCAAAAGTACTCTACCATTTTTCACCTTATTCAAAGAATTATTATTCTTTTCGCACACATTTGTTGAAAGTACACCAATACGATTATTATTACTTTCTTATCTTGCTTTCATCCAATTTTTAAATTCATTAGCCAAATCTATTTCATTTTGCTTAGCTTCAACCTAAACAAATTTATCATATGCTTATTACATCTTGTTATCTGTTGTAACATTCTCCATTTTGTTCTGAAATTGCTTACTAAATCACTGCAATTTAATCTAATTTTGCTTACTTGATTGGTTAGAATCTTGCATGCAAAAGTGCCAATTAATCAACTGCTTCCTGTCTTAATTCAGCCAATAATTAGATAACAACTTCATTATCTTAAGCAAATGTCCCCAACATTAATATGCCTAATAACAATATGCTGACTCTCATTATTTTTATTATAATAAAAACGGATTATAACAATACATTAATTATAATCAGAATTCAATGCTTAAATAATCCTCTCCCTTCGAAAATTCGAATGCCCATGGATTATTCAATAAAAAGTCCTATGTAGCTTACTTCACATTAAGATTAGGATAAAAGTTCCTGCTGATTGGCTATCTCGTTGTAGGATCATTTGGCCCATTCTTCTTTATAGCCTCAATCAGCATATCACGCTCATATGTCTGACCAGCATCATTCACTACAGGGTTTTCCATTAATTCCTATATAATAATAATCTCATTTTATTATTACCAATGTTATTTTACATATTAAATAATTCGGGATATCATATTCCTATTTCTAATCTGGATTACCTATTGAATTTATGAAACCCTCCAACTCCTTTTAACGTTACTCACCATTTAAATCCTATCTTGAATTCAAAAAACTTTTGTAGTTTTCAATCGCTACTCTTTTATTCTTATTATTTATTTCTTAATTTTTGTACCATAATAGTTTTTTAGCTCTATAAATGTACTTACTTAATTCATCCTCATAATATTCCTTTTTTTATCCAGCACACAATGTTCTAGCCTTTGTCAATCTTGTTATTGCAGTCTCAATATCTTAAGTATTATCTGCACTCTTTCCGCGCTCAGCCAATACCTATCCACACAATAAATGAGCCTTTATGTTCTTGTCATCCAACTCTATTGCTGTTAATGCATCTCTATAAGCCTAAATGATAATATTCATAATTTAATACAGGCTCCAAACTTCCTGCTAATTTCAAAGCTAATCCTCGACTTCTAAAGAATGAAGCCTCTGTTCCCTCAGATAATTCGATTGCCTTTGTATAATGAGTTATAGACCCAAAGTAATCTCCATCTTCATAAGCTTCATCTCCCAAGATAGCCCAGTATTATCCTTAGGTTTATTAATAATCTTTCAATGGCTTTTTAACACTCTACATCAACTTCAAACTTGGTGGCTTCTTTTTATTTAGAAATTCAATTATTACTTTTGGAGCTTAATCTCTAAATTGTCTATTTGTATATGGCGGACGAGGAACTCTTACTCTTATCCCAGGTCCTTGAGTAAAGATATCGTCAAAAAAGTACAGAGGCAAATCGTTTCTGAATAAGTTGCTGACAAAAGGAAACATATTATTATTTATCAAAGATATTTTTATTTTCTATTATCAATCATGAATTTATTGTATATTATCACATTTTTTCATTTTTATACATTATTTATCTATTTTATCTATAAATATCCCCCCTTCATTTCTTAATAATAAATTCTTACATTTCACTAATTCATATACTTTTCATCTTTAAATACTTTAATTTTCATTCAAGTGGATATAATGAAATAACTAAGTTTATTAAATCTAATCAACTTACAACCAAAATAGAATACAACTACTTACTAAACAAACAACATCCCTACCAAAAAAATAAGAAGTTTTGATATTATTGCCAAAAGTCCTTATAAAATTAACTTGGCTAAATAAACTCAAAAACAATTCCAAAAAGAATACTAACCCATTACTAGCAGAGCCAATTAACGATAAAATATCAAGTCTCCCCCTGAAATTTTGAAATCCTACAAGCCTATTAGTATTAGCAATCATAGTATTTTTTTATGTATATAAGTTGAACTTCATTAAAATGAAACTTAAACAAAAGGATTTTAAAAGTCTTACCAACTCTAACTAAAATCGATACTTGTTAAAGAGTAAGATTAACTGCATTTATTTGATTAAGCCAAAAGTAACACAAATTTATACTATATAAGGAATTAATACTCAGATTAGTAGTAATCTTATACCTTAGATTTCAAAGTTACATCTAAAAACCAATCCCGAATAAATAGAATATGAACCAACACAAAAGATTTCAACTACTGTTCGCAATACTAATTTAAGTAAATCTCAAAAACTACTTTTCTTGGAAAAAAATTAATAAAAGTTCCAAGATCTCCAAAACAATATCACAAACAACATTAAATAACGAACTTAAACTAAAACATACTCATTAACAACTCATTAGCCTGCTATCAAATCTATTCCTGATAAATTTTAACTCCCCTAATCCTCCTATATTGTACTACAACATTATTCAGATCAACTCAGTGAAATAGAGAAAATAGAAATAATTGATTATGAAACTATATACTATCTTGCTCCAAAAAATATTTCTACAACCCAAAGAGATCCTTTAGGAAATTTATTTAATAATGGATACGATAATTAACAGTAAACAATAAACATATTAACTTAGTGGAGATTATAAATTTTTAAAACATGATCAAATAGCATTTAGATATGAATTGATTGAGAAATTAGGAAATGGTAGTTTTGGTTACGTTTTTAAAGTCTTTGATCATAAACATCGCAAAGAAATGGCAATAAAAATCATCAAAAACAGAGAAAAATTTTATTAATAAGCTTTAATTGAGATAGACTTATTAAAAATAATTAATAAAGCAGACAATTCTTATTGTCTCATAAAATTAATGAACTATTTTGAATTTAGAAATCACATAGTAAGACATCTAAATTAAATTAGAAAGTGCATGGTTTTTGAATTGCTTTGTTGTAATCTCTACGAATTTATAGCTTTAAATAATTTTGTAGGATTAGAGCCTGATTTGATCAGGAGATTTGCAATTTAAATTCTTTAAGCTCTTCTTTATTTGAAAGCTTGCAACATAATTCATTGTGATTTAAAGCCGGAGAATATCCTGTTAAAAGAATTTACTAAATCTGGCCTCAGAGTGATAGATTTTGGATCAAGTTGTTTTGCTAATAATAAAATGTATACTTATATTCAAGTAAACAATAATATTTAATTAAATAAAGAGTAGATTTTATAGAGCTCCTGAGATAATCTTTGGAATAAATTATTCATTCTAAATTGATATGTGGAGTTTTGGATGCATAATTGCTGAACTCTTCATTGGAGAATCTTTGTTTTAATCTAAAACTGAAAAAGAATTACTTTTTGCTTAGACAAAGGTTTTGGGAATGCCTCCAAAAGATATTATTGATTAAAGTCCAAAAAGATAAAAGTTTTTTGATGATAAATATCAGCTCAATTACAAAGTTAAAGAAGCAGAATAATTTTAATAATTGAAACCTCTTTCATAATTACTTGAAAAAGCAGATGCCGAGTTTTATGATGTATAAATCAACTTTAAAATTAGTTCATAAATAAGTGTTTGTAATGGAATCAATTTTAAAGATTGACCCCAGAATAAGCTCTAGATCATCCTTGGATCATCAATAGTCTGCCTCAGGCAATCAGGAATGAGCTTCTTCTCATAAGAAAAAATATAAATTCAATAATCACAAGTGCTAAAAATAACGATAAGCAAGAACCTAATTGATTGCATATTATAAAAGCATTAAATAGTTTAAAATAGTTTTTGACAAACAAAGTATAATTAGTTGGATTATAAAATAACAACAAAATTATGTATTACAAAACATTTTTTGATTTGATATTTTAGCTATTATGTTATTTAAATTCTCCTTTTAATTATTAATTATAACAATGTAATCTCTTTTTGTGATTAATTTATTAGAAACAATATATTCTAAAATTGTAAAAAATACATAAATGTTAAGTTTTAATTGCTTGAACAAGAAAATGAAGTTGTTTATTTAGATTGGTTATCAATTAAAGAGTAAAGATCTTAAATAATTTATCATAAAATTAAAAATATAATTGATATGAGTGATTATTTTGTGCCTAATCGAAGCGATATTTCTTAATAAAATTAGAGTGGACTGGGAAGTTTTTAAGATGTGTATTTTCATTTTCTTATTCAATAAGTTTAGGCGCTAGCTTTGGAAGAATGTAATAAGACAATTAAAGCTTTGGGCCAAATGGAGGAGGAAGTTTTGCTCATAATTTTGGGTTTCTCGTTCAATCTGAACAATATCGTTCTTCAGTGGGTTTGGAAGATGTTGCTGTACCAATTTAAATTTACGAATACTAAGAACCTTAAATTTAGAAAGCAGGTTTTTTTAGGAGTAGTGGAGATTTTGAAATGTAGTTTGAAGAAATTGGAATAGACAGATTGAATATTTAGGCAAAAATACTTGAAGATTAAAAAGAACACAAAAACTCATTATAAGAGAATGTAATGAGGAATAGCGAACCTTCTTCATAAGAATTTGAGATAAAAATAGGTAATTATATTTAGAAATCTTTTTATTATAGAATCTGGAGAACAAATAAATTCAAAATTCAAGCCAGAAATAAAATAGCTTGTTAATCAAAATATTATATAAGAAAATAAAAATCTCTTTAATGTGAATCAAGCAAAGAGTATTTATACAAATAAAATTACTCAATTAGTTGAACAAACATAAAAAAAAATTGAATTAGCAACAAAATCTACAACAAGATTATCGTAAAATATAGAAATTCTATACAAATAGGAAGAGTCAATAAAAGTTATAGAGAAAATCACCAATCATTTCTAGGGATCAATATGATGTGTCATCAAATGAAATGTAATCAAGTCAAATGAGTCCTGATGGAAATATGGATCCAGTCTAATAAAAATTAGCCAAAAATAGAGAATCTGCTAGAAATTCAAGAGCAAGAAAGAAAATCTATTATGAACTTTTAGAAACCAAAGTCAAAGAGTTGCAACACGAAGTTGAAAGATTAAAGGAATCAAATCGTAATTAATCTAAATATGCCGAAGCGTGTAATAAAACTCAAGAGAAGGTTTATATATTGATATAAAATTTAGTTCTAAATTTACTTGGATGAGCAATAATAATTATTTGATAAATTAGAAACTTGTTTACTTAAAAATAAAGACAATTTTGAAATTGCTATGGTTTTAGATGCTTTAAGATATAGAACAAATTCTAATAGTCAAGAACGTAATGAAGCTGCTAGATAATACTTTGATTCCATGATTGAAGTATGTTTGCCTATTTAAACTAAATATTTGATTTATTCCTTAGAAAAAGATAAAGATTTCTTTGCTCAATAGGCAGAGTATTTTATATCATAATTCATAGTGATTATACTGATTGGATGAAAGATACCTTCAAAAAATCATAAATTTAACCAGAATAAATTGTTAAAGTTAAAAGAATGAAAACAAAATTACAGAGTGTCAGAAATAACATATCTGAGTATTTTATCAATCCTAATTTAGTTCAATTTAAAAAATTAAAGATCAGTTAAAATTGATACAAAGTGAAGCCAATAAAGTTGACTTAATATGGGAATAACTTAAAGAATGTTTGACTCCACTATAATTGGGTACTTGCATTTTAGCAATGAGATAGGTAAATAATTATTTTATATATATAGAATTCTTTTCGTCAAGAACTTCAAACTTCTTCACTATTTCTTTAATTAAAGAATTCTTAAATGGTATCATGAATATATTTATAATTTTAGAGTGAAGAAGATGAAATTTAAAAAAATCCATATCATTCTCATATCCCTAATAATAACAATAGAAAGCTTGTTAAAAAATCTATTTCATGATAAGAAAATAGTTATTTATTTTGTGTTTATTATTTTTATTTGTTATTCCTTATTATCATTTTTATCGCTTTCATTTTAAAAATTCTATAACTTAATAAAATTGATTCTTTATTTTGTCCATGTATCTCATTCTTAAGATGCTAAGAATATGGTAACTTTTGTAATTAAAAATATTTATTTGGAAAAACATAACATAGTCAACATAAATATTTTATATCATTTATTTTCTCTAAATAAAATTGGGCTTTCTTTATTTTTGAGTATTGAATGAGTTGATATAGAAGTATTTCTTGTTATTGATGGAGACATTTCTTTTTTTGTCCCTTGTTAAAAATAGCAAACTTAATTCTTTCCGCTAAATCTCAAACGTTTTGCAGGCTTTATAGATGATTTTGGTGTTCCTTTTTGATAAGGACTTTGCAATTTTTCTTCTTAATCTGAATCAGGAATCACACTATCCGAATCTCCTTAAGTCTTAAGCAATTTTTCGCTCATAACTGCCATTAACTATGCTGATGTGCTCATTTAGTTAAATCAAAATGAATATCGATTTCAATTAAATAAATTAAAGAAAAATTTGTAAAATTCTAACATAGACTAAATTTCCAACAATTTAATTTACTGTAAATCTTAAACTTATGCGTTATATTTTAGGGTTCATTCACTTGAGAAGTAAATCTTCATGAAGCTGCATTTTTAAGAATATTTGAACAAAAAACCTACTCAAACTCATTTCTGATCTCTATAACAGTAAATTTGATATTATTAAATTTATATTAAATGATGTAGTAAATTCAATAATTCGTAATATATTATATATTAAACTAAATTAAACTAAGTTATTTTATCTTATAAATTATAAAAAATTTTAATATATTTCATTATTTAATTTGGAATAAATTTTACGAATTTTTAACTTTTCTTAATCCTACATTGATATT